TACCGGTCGTGCGACGGCTCTAGAAGCAGCCCGGCTGCAAGGAGTTACGCCGGTCACTGGACACCGTAAGGACGTTTGTATCACTTTGATAGCGCTGAAAAGACGAAAAGTCCAACCTCTGCTGGACGAAGTAATATCAATTGATCTATCACCAGGTTTAGAGGAGCGCCTGGGCGAAAGGGTCAAGTGATGTTGGTAAACGCTGAAGCCTATGATATTATCGCATCGCCAGGTACAGCCGTCTCACGAATCATGGCTACCTTACTTGTTGGCGGCTCAACTCACTGGGACATATCAATTAGAGCTGCTTTATGTAGGGAAATAGCCACGCAGACGACGTTGGCAAGAATTTCCGCAAAATACATTCAAAACTTCGAGCCGGGTAGTCCTGGGTCCTGAGGGAGACTATAGTAAATCGAACTTTGTTGTACGGAGGGCAACTTCGAAAGATGCTCACAGATGGATCTCTTCTGTTGCTTTCAATATAGGTTCATGACCCGCCATTCCCGGGCTGCCATCTCACAATAAAACAATGCCAGAGCCTCTAGCTGTATTGGGGGTTGCAGGTGTCACCGACGAGGACTCCTGGTACCTAGCCCTGTTACTTAGTAAACAGCTCCCGAGTAGCCCAAATTAGGATATCGATCTCTAATGTTCTTACTCTATTTCGGACGTGTGGCATGGAGAGTACGCTTCAGCGGTGAAAGGTATTCTCTCTTCCTTGCCCCGAGGTACTATATGAGTTCTAATGGGGTATGAAGCCTTTGCGAGAAACCGCTTGACATTTATACACAACATTCCAAACCCTCCCACATCAGGAATCTGGCAAACAATATTATATACCGTGTGAAACTGGGCATGGCATGCACTCGACTGCCCAGCAAGCCAAGGCATGCATTCTCTATCATGACGAACCCGCCAGCCCGCAACTAACCCTGCTTCGTACACTCAGTCAAAGAGGTTCAGCTTCGCAGTCCCAGAGTGATGAGGTTGACGGTTCCAAACAAGCTGTTAAGTGCAATACCGGACAGCGCTTGCTTCACAGCCCTAGCCTTTGCGAGGGCATGGGCTCCTCCCTTATTCCAAGTCACCCTCGTCTACAAACTTTTGACCCATCCCCGCCGCTATCCAAAGTAAGCGGGAGAGCCGGCCACGCCGCGCGGGGTAACCAAGCCGGGTCGGAATCATTCTTCCACCTTCTAGCGGTTCTCTCCCGACGGCGGGGTAAAAGGGAAGACGCCTGCTGGGGAAAGCGGATTCAAACTTTGAAGAAATCTCTGCTTCGAGGCTCCCGAATCCGGGAACCGACTTGCGGGAGCCGCGTCAGCAAGAGAGGGCCCTTTACGAAGCCAGGCGTCAAGTATTCTAACTGGTGTAAAACTGAGAGAAAAGGGGAGGAGACTCCGTGCCTGTAAGCCTCGACCGCAGGAGGCAACTACGTTTTGACCAAGGAGTAAGGTGCCTGAGGCACAGCGGGGCAGGGGAATTCTAAGCGAACCTCACTCGTGGAGGAGGGTTTAGCCAGCAACCGCACTCCGGTGGGCCCGAAGATGCTCTGTTTGGTCATTGAGGTGATAAGGGCTGGTTGGTACATGGGGCCTTCGCTTTAGACTGGAAAGCTTCACGTCTCCTTGGGGTCGGGGATTCGGATTTGGAATCTTCTTGGTATACTCGTAAGCTGGGGGAGAGGGAACTACGGCCCTAGACGAACTATGGTGTAAGCTCTTCGCTGCGGGCAGTACTACACTGTGTGTTTATGGATCTCAACAGCAGAGGAGAGAAAGGGAGAAAAAAGGCCCTCATAGAGCGCTACGTGCGAGTCGGAACAATGGATTACAGTGATAGCGCCGGTGTCAGCCACTAAGTGTGTCCCTCTGGAAAAAAAAAGAAATAAAGTCTCGATTTAGGCAGACTCTTTGATATTTTCGCACAAGCTTAGGTGTCGCTCCCCACCGTACCGACTTGGACGCGATTGCTTGATAGTGCCTCCCCAAACGCCACAAAGGAGTGCAAGTTGTGGCGGCCGGAGAAAGCACGTCGCGAGGGACATCATAGGGCTAGTTCGCAACAACCTCGGAGGCTGGCTACCGAGGTGTCATGTACAAGTCTTTCCGGGTGCGATTCAGCAAACGAAGGGCTGCTAGCCCCAGTGCGGACTACGAAAAAGGAACGGAGCCGGCACGGTCTCGGGGAGCAAGCGGAGCATGCTTAGAGAGCGGAGACGGTGGAACCGCCGTGACGGCTAATCAGGTCTCACGGAGCCGTGCCGTCCCCACCCCCTTTAGAGAAGAGCGATACAGGCCCGACGCCGACTGGCTCCGCCCATGCGGTCTAGCCGCCGGGACTGGGAGTCTTTCGGGAGAAGAAGGGCACTAGTCCGAGCCGAGTTGGCGGGCTGCGCGTCCACCAGCGAATGTGCCTTGAGCGAGGGGGTCACCATCCATTGCCGCTTGCGGTTTACCGGCTCGTGGAGGGTGGTGGAGAAGTATTGCGCAAGCTTCGGACAAAGCAAACCCTTTGCAAGGTTTTCGCTTTCCTTTCGACCTTGTGCCTTTCCCACATCTCTCCCCTTATGGATGCTATCTAGTTGGGAAAGGGGCGACTGAGCTATACGCCACCTTGGAGGGGTTGGCGCAGGGGACAAAGATTCCTGATAGGTGACTGAATCGACGAGAGTGCGCTGTTCCATTGCAACGCAAAGTTGGTTGCATCCAACATGTCCTTACCGAGGTAGGGCTCGCTTCAACACTGGCCAGAGCCATGATACTCGCTTCCGGAAAACCCTCATAGTACGAAATGTAACCCGAAAGTGGAGGGCGCAATCGCTAGAATCAGTGTCAAAGGCGAACTGTTATTAGAGAGAGCAATGGTTGAGGTTCTATGCCAAGGGCGAGAAGATATGCGCCCTTGCAAGACCTTGTGCCCGCCCTTCTCTCGGTGCTCTCTTCTGGATTTGTCAACTTGAAGCAAGCTTTCCACCGTCTTCCATCTCTCTCTAACCCCTCTTTCTCGAAGAAAATATCATGAAAGGAACTTGGGTAGTGTCGAGTGTCACACTACTCTTTGGGAGAGTCAGTCAAACGTGTTGAGCTTTTTTTCTGCAGATTTGAGTTTGGTGGCGGGGCGAGAAGAGGAGGATTGTCCTCATCCGGCAAGACCTTAATCCGGATGCGGAAGTGTGGTGGAGAGAGGGAACCACAAAGACTGACAATAGGGCTTACTTTCCCGCCACGGACCAAGTTTTCGGGCACGTTTCGGGAGAGCCAATGGCAGGACGCCAGCTGGAAAAGTGCTTGTTGTCTTAGATGGGACAGCTGCGCGAGAGAGAAGAGGACATCCCGAAAAATACAATGGAAAAACAAAACCAAAAAGGGACCAAAAAGACAAAAAACCCACCTTGGCCAAAAGCGGACAGTGGACCAATGGCCCGAAAATGGAGTGGCGGGACACATCAGCCATGGTCCTTGAAAACTCTTCAGACAAGGAGACAAGGCAACGTGGTTGAGGTACCGGTGACACGATGACACGATGACCAGGTGAGATTCCTCACCTTGAGAGAGAATCTGCCTACCATGCGCAAGTATCCAACAGCCAGACAATACCTGCCAACGTGGAGTCTGACCTTGTCATCTTTGGGATCGGTGAATACTCGGTTCCACCGCCAGCGCTGGCTGCGTCTGCGATTCGCCATCCAAACAAGTCCCCGACGTGGCTGCTGCGGGGCGGGAAAAAGAAACGGAATCCATTTTTTCTTATTGATTCATTCTCCTGCCTGCTGATTTCTTCCACTTTCACTTTGTGGATGTACACTATATGCAGATGCAGGCACTCACAGTCCGTCCAGCCCAGCGCGATTTTTCCCAGGAATGCGCCGTGGTACAAGTTTCAGGCTAATTTCAGCCCAAAGAACAAGTCCCCCCTTCATCATCGCCATTCTCTTGCAGGTCCCTGGAGCTAGGCCGAAAACAGGACAGAGGATCGTGGATCAGCCCAGTTTGATTGGACAGGAATGTTCCGTTTTGAGTGGATCTCACGTGACCGGGATGCAACCCGGTTGAGGCCTGGCTCAATCACAGCCCGGTGCCTGGCCCTTCCTGCGGTCTGCCCACCTTATTAGCACTAAGATTGGCGAATTCTCGGAGGGATAAACGCAGGTACCTCAGGTACTTCAGGTACAGCAAGTCCGACCGGACCCAACAGGTACAGCAGGTACAGCGGGCACAGCGGGCACAGGGATCCGCCTCCTTTCCCATGTCGACTTCAATGTTCCTTGCCTCTCTGCCTCCTTCGCCCGGTCGCACTTTGCACTTTGCACTTGGGACTTGGGACTTGGGACTTGGGCCTTGGGTGGAGATGGGCAGGGGCGACCCATTGTGGATTGTGGATTGTGGGATGTGGGTTGTGGAGGCGTGTGCTTGCGAGGCAAGGAACTAACAGCAAGTGCGGCGGAGTATGTGGGCGCCTGCCTTACCCGCGCACGGCATCGCCTGGAGTTTCATCTCCCACCCCAGTTTTCCGTTTCCTCTTTCCCTTCTCCGCCTCAACTCTGTTTTTCTTTCTCTCGTTTTTCTTTGCATCTCCACCCGCGTCGATCTTTTATAAAAGCCTGCCCAGATCCTCCTCGATCCCGGCTTGCTATCACTCTCTTTTTGGTATCATCCAACAGTCCTTCTAGACTCTCACACAAGCCGTAAACGAGCGGCCGGCCACTCATTCTTTCATTCTTTGAAAGACTTTCTTTTCTCGCTCACCTTCCTTTGAGCCCTTTTGACTACGTGACGCGCTTGTCGCATCCGTTTCTACTTGAGATATCCTCTCTTTTTGTGTGTGTTCCGAGATCCAAAACGACCAGTCTATTCCAGACGTTCCAACACTGCAAAACAACACTTCGCATCACGCGCATACCCAGAAAGTCTTTCGACAAACCACGACCAAATAGAAGCAAGCTTCCATCTGTTCACTTCTACCACCACTCTTTCTTTTCGCCAACGACTGCCAAGATGAAGACCTCTACTTCCTTCGCCGTCGTCGCCTCCGTGGCCCTTCCCGCCGTTCTCGCCGGCAGCTCTGGCTCTGCCTCAGTCACCCCTCACGAGAGCTACTCGTCGTCGGTTGGCGTCTTGGGTTGCAAGATCAACACCAACCGCGTCGCCTACTGGCCTGCTTCCATCGACTGCGACAACATCTGCGTCAAGCTCAGCTATGGGGGCCGCTCCGTCCACCTCCTCCGCATCGACCAGTCCGAGGGCGCCTATGATGTCAGCTACGATGCCTGGAACTACCTTTCCACTGGCAACTCTGCTTCCGAGGACCCTACCACTGGCGGCCCTGTCGCCATGGACTACGAGTACGTTGATGCTGACGAGTGCGCCGACCTCATCCTCACGGATAACGGCAAGCTCCCCTCAGCGCTTCCAACAGCATGAACTACGTCGCTAGCTGCCTCGACCAACCCAGCAGCTGGGTCGCCAAGAACTACGAGCTCTACAATGTGCTCGACCCCGTCTGCGCCTGGGGCTGCGACGAGAAGTGCACTCTTGACTGGCCTAGCAAGAACCAGGCCGACTGCCCCAGCGGCCTCGGTACCGCCAAGATTCTCACCGATGCCCCCGTCTACAACATCCAGTACGGCAGCGGTAAGACCATCCTCGCCTCTTCGGGCGAGGTCGTCAGCAACGCTGCCGCCGCCAGCTCTGGTTCCTCTTCCAACTACGCCTCGGGCGGCGTCACCATCAGCCTTCCTGGCGGTTCCAAGTCCAACTCGGAGAACGCTGAGCCTGAGGCCGCGCCCGAGCCTGCGGAGAGCTCCGCCCCTGCCCCCGCCGAGTCCTCGGCTGCCGCAGACGAGGCCGTTGAATCCGACACTCCTTCTGGCTCCACCTCGGGCCCTGCTTCCTCTTCTTCCGCCGCTGCTTCATCTGATGTCGCCTCCAGCACCACTTCCGGCTCTTCTCCTTCCGGCACGGGCGTCGCCGTCCCCTCTAGCTCGGGCAACGGGTCTGTGCCTTCCTCGTCGTCGTCCTCTGCTCCTGCTTCGTCTCGCACTGGCGAGACTGCTCAGAGCGCCGGTCGCAGGAGTTCACCATCCCTTTCGCGCTCCTCTTGCCCATCCTCACCGCTGCTCTGCTCGGATAAGGAAAAGGTTTTTGTTTGGAGCGCAGGGATGCCCAACAAACCAAAGAAAAAGTTTGTTTCCTTTTTCCATTCTTTTGAAAACATTTATGAACCATCCTTCTTTGTATATATTATACGCCTTTTTCTTCTTTTTCTGTTTCGTATCTCTCATGGTTGTCACCATAAACAGACGAATCTACGTCTTATGAGATTGGGATGGGGTTTAGGAACATTGGAAAAACTTTTGACATCACATGATGGGACCGATGAAGCCGGAAGCCGGCGAGGTTTTGGACGACACTCTTTTTCTTCTTGACGATACCAATATCATTCATTACCTTTTGATCATCTCGTTGACCTGAGTTCCTTGTTTGTGACGTGACCCTACGGGGATGAATGCGAAATCTCTTTCTGAGACGAACAACACTTTTGCGACGGCGTGCCAATTTCCGTTGAAGGGCTAGCTCTGGTCGCAAAAGTTTTGCGTTGATAACCAAGTGGATGTGACCCATGCAGCGCAGAGCCGGACTGCCAAACTTTGGATGAGACAATTGGACTCCCGGCAGTGGAAGGCCTCTAGCGCTTCAACGTGGTGCAGTTGCAGTGCAGCGAAGCCAATGGTGATCTGCAAGGCGCTCTACAGGGTATGGCGCATCATCGCCCTTTACCACCACTTTACCCTTCAGGTTTGCTCAATTGACATCGTTTCCTTTTGATTCCTTTCTTGCTATTTCAGGCCCCTCATCCTTTGGTTTCTTTTTCTGGAGCGCCCCTCCTCACCCACTTTCCGGCTACTCTTATAGGGCAGAGGGCCCAATGTCTGGTTCTGCGTAGCTAGAAAGAGGGGTAATGGGCTCCACAGACTCCTTCCCTTGAGGTTGAGTCAGATTGAAGTCGGGGAGAGGGGTTCAATGTCGTTATAATACTCCTAGACTTCAAGGAATAGGTCTACCCCGAGGGAGGTGGGTGTGGGTACTCTGGCGAGGCCATTTCACGAAAGAAGGCGATGGAGACAGAGAGAGATGGTTTGGAGCCACGTTTTTACGCAGTGACAACACAACAACGAGGAGGAAGGTAGGTGTGTGTGTACACTACCCTAAATGATTTCATTTTATGATGTGATGTCGGCTGAGGTATCATGAGCTGTCGTGAACCTTGCTCATTTCGGGCCGCCGATTTATGATGCAGGTGAGAACCCTCCCCATCAACCAATATTATAGGATATCATATCATCTCGTTTACTCAATCGGCCGAGTTCGCCAAATGGCCTTTCTAGAGGATTCGTCCGACACATGAAAAAAAATTGAGAGACGAATTCTACAGATCTGGATGTCAACGGTTTCCCCACCTACGCAAAGGAGGGGCTTGTCTTATCGGGCTGCAGCGACATACATGTACTCAAAGGAGAGACAGAGACAGGCGAGGCCCCTAGGGTCCATGTGCTTCATGCTGGTGTCTCTGTGTCTTTGCCACAAGCGGTCTCTCTCTTCAATGTTTCAAAGTCTTACCCGGCAGCACTTTCACATGCAGCCTCCACGCTTGGAGCTGGTGCGCTCCGCCAGCCCGGACCGGACTCCGGTGTAGAAATTACTTCATTCTTCCTTTTTATTCCCGTTTCCTTTCTTTTTGTAGCAGACACGTGATTCACCACCAACGAATTTTCAATGGAAGATGGCGGGCAAGGACGCCGAGACGCACCCTTATCTCCAGCGTTCCTAGTGGTGTTTCCCCCTTCCGCCAACTCCAGGCCACGCCAAAAGCTTGGAGGCCCAACATCATATGCGCAAGAGGGAAGAGGTGAACAACGAGCAACCCGGCGGCTGTGCGATGACAGCCCAGTGTCCAGACCAGCCCAGCTCATCCTATCCCGTTCAAACACACCCTCGCGCTCCCGAGCCCTCCCCTCGACCTCTTCCCCGCCTTCTAGCCTCGGCATGCTTATTGCTTGTGTCACCGCCCCCCCGCTGCCGCCGTTCATCGTCTGTCCGACTTTTCTTCCCGGACAATACCACACACAGACGGACAGACGCGAAAAAGGGAATTCCGTGGAAGGGTAAGATAGGGACAAGGACATTGGACCTCGCGGCATGAGGCGCCACACGTCGTCCAGCTATCCCGTACGTGCCACCGGGGTGCGCGTTGGCATACTCAAGCCGCACTTCGGTAGTCGTTAATCTAAGAAGGTTTGGTCGCACAAGCGTTTCCCGTGGCTCTCTTGGACTAACCTAGACCTTTGGGTTCTTCTGGGTCTATTGTCTCCTCATTTCTCCTTCGTTCTTCCAATATCTGACGTCGGTGTGCTGTCGCACATGCCATTGTGAATCCCCATATGTTCTTGGAAGGTAGATTCGATGTGCTCTAGGGAGATCTAGGGAGAGGAAAGAGGGAGACCGATGGCTTTCCCTAGCCAGGCCATAAAACGAGCCATCTGGAACTTTGTTTTAGAGACCCCTTGGAAATATCATGTGTCAGTGAAGCACATGCAAATTTTCAATGTTTGTATGGGGTGAGTTCTGTTGAAGAGGGCTGACTCCGGGCGGCAAGCGCAATCATAGTGAGAACAAGAAGACAAAGAGTACGGACCCGTGTTTCGTCACCAACAGCAAAAGAACAAAGACTCCATCCTTCTCCCCGAACCAAGTCGTGGTCCCCAAGAAAAATAGAGAGCGAGAGAGGGGTTTGCCTCCGAAGGTTCTCTCTGTCCATGCCCGCTCACTGCACATATCCACACCGCCATGTTACCCTCAAAGTGGCTGCCCCTCCCTTTACCCATCCTATCCCATCCCATCCTATCCTATCCCATCCTATCCTATCCCATCCTATCCTATCCCATCTCATGCCCTCCGTGAACAAGAGAGCCTTCGTTTGCGCCGACACACATGTATATCCGCCCGAAGCAGGTTTGGGAGTTTCCCGGCCTGCCAAGCGGCCGGCTCCAACCGCAGCAACCCCCATTTCTCTTTTCACCTTAGTTCCCGCCCTTTGGTTTTCCCAAATGCAAACCCACCTTCCAGCCCGCCCGTCCGCCCTCCCGCCCTTCCCTTTGCATAGCTTGTTAGGCTTATTGTCAAAAATAGAGGTGGTTTCATTGCCGCTACGTCCCGGCTAGCTACGGTGAAGAGACGTCCTTGTCGTCCGCCTCGCTCCGTGAGACGCGGAGAAGAAACGGAGGGGTTGTTTTTTTAGAGGAGAGAACCTTGAATGAGAAGAACAGATGCAACACAAAAAAAAGGCCGACGCGAGAATGAGCCGCCAGAGAAAGGATGTGATAAACCAAATCCCTCAATGAGAGCGTCAATTATGCAGACGCCACCACGTCAGGCTTCCTAACCCCTCCAAGAATATGAAAAGAAACAAAGAAACAAAAACCGCTGGGTGATGCGGCTGTCCCCCTCCCTCTGACAGACCTGCACTGCTCGGCGGAGAAGCGGGAGGAGGGCATCGCTAGCGCGAAATTGGGCAATGAAGAATTTTGTGAGATACGATGAACCGCGTGGGCGAAACAAGAGAAATGCGTGATGGGGGAGGCAAAAAGGAAGAAACGACGAGTAGGAGGAGCGAACCCTGGTCTAGACCATGAATGCTTTGTCGGATTTTTTTCCCTCTCTCTCCTTTTCTCCTTCTTCTTTTTACGATGCGCTGATGTGCTCCGTTCATCTTCAGACTGAGAAAATTATTTCCCTTTTCGGCCAGTCGCCGACAGGAGCGGCGCTCGTTGAGGAGAGGGGCGTCGGACGGGAAAAAGCCTGCAGATTTCAAAGGACAATCTAAGCGCTAGAGCGCTTGATGTGTGGGAAAACTACGGACCATACTCGCAAAGGATCCTGTGCCCAGACTCCACGCCAGACTCCCCGTCCCCTTTCCCTATTCTAAATGCCAGGCGATAAAAGAGAGCAGCGGAGAAGGAGAGGGGGAGTTCCCCTCAGTCAAGCGGTGATGCAACTACTGACTCTGATTGATCCATCCATTGTTTAGTGTACTAAACCACCAGCGCGCCTACGCCCGCGGATGGGACCTAGCAATGTGCCTTGGCTATTAGTAGTTGAATCCTTGCCGAAGCGGTGTGGGCACTGGGCCGACCTACAAAGAGGCCTGGCATCTTGAAAATGTAATCGCAGACAAATAGCGAAATCATGAAGGGCCAGGGAGGGGATACCCCAAGATACGAGAGGGAGATGAAGGAGCACCGAGAGGATCCAGCCTGGCGCAAAGGCCGCCTTGCACGTCCGTCATCACATTTTGGGACTGTTTCGCGAGTCGCTTTTTGAACCAGAGGAGTGAGTCGAGGGCAGGATTTGGTTAAGGGTTGATCAGAGTTGTTACTCTTCGTTTATTCGGTCAAACAGGCGTCAAAGCTTGAGCTAGTGCGAGGGGCCAGTGCTGAGCGACAGTCAAAGCGAAGAGCCCCCATGAGAGAATGTGATGATCACAATGTCACAATGACTGATGTTCTGATGCTATGCCTCCACTTTCCATTGGGGCCAAGGAAGAAATAACAATCGCATTTGGTTGTTCCTTATTTTTGTCTCCGTTTTCCTTTTCTAAAAGTGTTAAAATAGACAACTGAAGATCGAGGAGAAGGGGGTTGAGAAACAATGACGAGAGAAAATAAGATAAAGTAGGAGGGTAATAGACCGAAAGATGGAGAGGAAGCCAAGGTAAATCCCCAAAACAAAGATAGCCTCCACCTATCCCTAAACAGGAATCGCCCACTGGGATATATATCTACTACCATGGGGAATCAACTAATAATAAGAAAAAAAGAACTGCTGATCGAGTGATGAAACAACTCGCCGCATCCTCCCTTACCCTTCGCGCCGTAAGTTCTGTATCCACGGGTAACCTAACCCATTCTCCGATCGAAAATGCAAAGCGTAGGTAAGAAAGAGATAAAGTGAAAGGAAAGAGGAGGGGAAAAGGGAGAGAGAAAAAAAGGGAAAAGAAGGGGGAGATTTTTAGGATGAATAAAACGCAGAGTCGTGACAACAGAACGGAAGAGATGAAAGAAGGAATAGGAAAGAGGAAAAGAAAAATAAAAAGAGAGCGAGGAAAGAACCGTTTTCAACGGTGAATATCGTTCACTTTGGACTGAAACACCTCGGCCGCCTCGGTGCTGACGCCGAGCATCGACATCACGGCTTTGAGCTGGTCTGCGGGGCGGACGGCACCGGCGCCTTGCTGCTGCTGGCGTTGCTGCTTCTGCTGCTGTTCCTCACCCTGCTGATGCTGTTGCTGTTGCCCAGCTCTGGCGGTCAACCTACTTTCGTTTTGAGCCCATCGTTGATTGCACCGCGTCAGACGCGTGAGGGCCTTAACGAACCGGTCGCGGGGCTCTTCGACGGCAAGAACGGCGAGTGCGATGCACACTTCGGCCCACCCGAGTACCTCCCTTTCGCCCCAGCAACCCTCTAGGAATCGTACTTCCACGCTGCGCGGGCTCCTGCCTGCCCTCTCATCCTCCAACCCAAACGCGCTGAAGTTGAACCCGAGTCTCCGATATGGCTTCGTCTCACCCGAAAGCAACTTCCCTAGGGCTTGGTGGTCCACCGCACTGCTAATCGCCCTCAGCGCTGCCTTGTCCCTCTCCGTCATTACCTTCGGCTCCGTTCTCACCCGGGCCTTGCTGCGTAGGCGGACCTCCCCTCCTCCGCAGCAAGCGCTGACCCTATGGTCCCTTTTCTGCTTCTGCGGCTTATTACCCTCCTTCTCCGCAAGCATCGTGGCTAGGCGGCTCTTCTCCTGCAGGGGCGATGACCACGTGTAGGCGTGTTGGAAATTGGGGGACAACGGGTCTTTGAGTAGGCGTAGAGCCGGCTCCATCAGCCAGCACAGGGCAGCGAGGCTCTTGAGCGACGAAAGGGCGAACGGCTTGCCGTCCACCCGCCCAAGATGCGTGTGCATCTCGCAGCTGTAGTTGACTGTGATACGGCAGTGGGCGCTCAAGGCTCTGACCACGGCGCTGAGTGCTGCCGGTGTTCTGAGGTCGTGGGCGGGCATCCTGGGCGACGAGATCTCAAGCGCGGCCCAGGAGAGACCGGGTAATAGCCTCTCCTCGGGGCTAGGTTCGGCAGAGTTGGATTTCTTGACAATCCAGCGGTCCGACCAAAAGTCGCTCTCTTGCCAGCTGCTGGCCTTGACATCCTTGATGGAAATGGCTGGTTGTTTCGCCCAGGCTTGCACAATGTCGACGATGAACTGGTAGGCTTGGTCCTGGAGGCGGTCCGGCGAGTCGGCGTGAAGTGTGTATGCAATTGGCCGACTGTCTCCCGGGCAAGGGTCAACCGCGCCGGCCGTGAGAAATGGCACCACGAATTTGAATTCGACTCCAATGGCTATGTCGGCAGGCGCATCCTGCAGGACTGCGACTGGAACCGTCGCATTGCCGTGGCGGAGGTTGGGCTCGATATCGTCCCGGAAAAGCAGAGCCATCGTGGCGGCGTGGGTCGTGGAATATTTGGCCTTTGTTGCCGAGGACCTCGAGGGCGACACAAAGGATACATACCGTGGCTGCGGCATGATAAGTGATATATGGGGGAGAGGGATGAGGGGGAAAGGGTTGGAACCGGACTCGGTGGACTCGGATTCGACCAAGTCGGACTCGAAAGGGGAGCTGCCGCAACGAGCTTAAACTGGAGATGGTGTGCGTGGCTCTGCTGCTGAGTCGGAAGGCGCAAAGGGCAGCAGCGAGGGAATAAAAGCAACCGCGGCCGTGGAGCGGAGAGCGGAGAGCGGAGAGCGCCTGCCTCTACTTGTTCGTCGCAACTTCCTTTCGGTGCTGGTGGAAGAAATGAATGATTTCATCAGTTGCACTCATGGGCCTGAGCTCCGTTCACTCGTTGCCACACTTGCGCGCACACTGCACACGTACGTACATACATACAGAGACACGCACTCAAAGGGGAAAGCTTCATTCACGCACGCACATAGCATAGGCATTCGCCCACTCATTTGCGGCATGGGGAAAGGGTAAGATCAATGGATCAATGGATGGCACGAGGTTACGGAGCACGGGGAAAATGCAAAGGAACCATTGCTCGCCGCAACTGCACTGGGGAAAAGGCCCCTCCCCTGCAACCCTTGAGGAACCCCATTGTTGTTCTATCCTGGTTTATGACATTCCCAGTTGCACTGGTGGGCCTGGCCCTTGGTCGAAAGTGACGGTGAAGAACCGGGGGATGAGGAGGGAAGGGGGAAAATATGACATGTCCCGCCTTAGCCAAACTGAGCGAGCCAAGCAGTGGTTGCTCGACAGGGTATTTCGGTGTCCTGTGTGGTGCAGGGAAATTTGTTTGAGGGTCTATTATTGAATGGATCCATTGGATTATCGGATTACTGTATGCGTTTCTGGTACCTGTGAGGTGAGGGTATATGCATCTATTATGTATGCGCCTGCTGCTTTCTGATATTTCCGCTTCATTTTCTTGTTTTCTCTCTCTTCTTTTCTCTTCCTTTTCTTCTCGGTCTCTTTCACGCCCTTTCCTTCCATATTGGGGAAGGGGGGAGGAACTGCCTCCTTCTTTCTTTTTTGGCCCGTCTCTGTTCTCCTCGCCATTAACAATCATATTTTTTTCCTTGGACAAGGGTGTGTGTCTCCCCACTCTGGGAACCGACTGTGGCGCGATTAGTCCATTCTCGGGAGACATGCTGACGCGGGCAGCCTCTTACAGCACGAAACACCCAAGCGTGCGTATCTATCCAGCGGCCGCTTCCATTACGGGAAGGCCGGGCCACATGACTGGTGCTGGGAGTGGGCAGTCGTCTCAAGTGCCGAGCTACAGGTCAGTTTCTTCCCTCCAACACCCTCCATCTGTGATGCTTCCGTGCATGATGATGGGTGATGAAAGGGGGGAGAGAGCCCGACGAGTGGGGAGACTGGGAGTGAACATACCATTGAAACTAGTTAGAGAGGCGACTGGCTGGGGAGGCAAAAGAGGAAGGGAAAAAAATTGGTCGGCGAATGGCGGAATGCGGCCGGGGGGCCCCGGGGTTGTAGAGATTGATGGAACCCAGAGTTGGAAATACCATTCGCTGGCTTGGGGCTGTTTTGGGGGAGCGGAGCGGCCTCGCGAATCAAGGAGTTGATGATGAAGTACAAGACTACGGGGTTCAATGACAGCGCAATCATATTGAGAGAATATTGTTCGCCACAAAGGGACCTTTTTCGAGCTGGACCAGAAATGGGCTGATGTCAATGGATGGACGAGCAATAACTGCCATGCTGCGTGTTGCACCTGGCGTACCTCGAGAACTGGCTGGCTGGCCCTGTCCTGCCCTGCCCTGTCCTATCGACAACCAAAAACCTCACTCACCCCCAAAACGACTTACACAGATAAACAAAAGTCTAGAAGCCAAGGCTCGGCCATTTGTGGACACCCACGTCGAGGCGTTTCCCTTCGCACCTCATCTAGGTCCCCCATGTTCCACAAATCACCCGTCGATGCATAATGTATGTGGCTAATACTGCGAGGCGTCAAGGGAGCTCCAAGGTCGTGGCACATGGTCACGGAGGATCAGGCAACGATTAGACCAACGTGGGGGCGGGGGTGGGTGGGATCAAGAATTGATCAAATACTGGGAGGAGTTGGGCAGATGGGGATGGGCAAAGTTCAAGTTGAGCAACCTATGCGGTGTTCCTCCCCCGGGAGGGGCAAAGCCTCAGTTCAGCCAGAACCAATGTCAAGTGTTTGACTATCATTGCCAAACCCCTTGTAGCTGGATCGACAGAGGGCCTGACGGCGTCTGGATGATGATGGTGGCTGCGAACCTTTTGCTACACTCCTCCGATCTGGCCAATTCCCATCTAGAAGATCATGCTGCCCTCCGTGAAAGAGTATTAGGGAAAAGAAGAAAAAGAAAGAAGAAAAAGAAACCTAGACCGAAAGGTGATTATGTGTGAATATGATATCCGAGAAATGTCCGAGAAATGTCCAATAGATGCTTGTACAATAAACCCCGAGGATGAATGATACGACGCTTAGAACGCGGAATACGATATTCGAGGTATTCGTACAAGTTCCTCGCGCCTGAAAGACTTCTAAAGTAGATGCAACAACCCCTTACGAGAAAAAGTCGAGAACAATGATTGTTTAAAAAATGTGCGCGAGTTGAAAAAAGGAAATAAGATCTAAGCTATAACAAAAACACAAGGCCCTCCGCATAAGTAGATATATCCGTATATCTATGATTCTCGTAATACATAATGATACATGATGATGATACATGGCAGTAGTTCTAGTACCCTCTGCCGCTCTCCGTACAGCGCTAGAATACAGTAATAATACATTTTGGGGTTTTGGACGGAAGAAGGAAAGGTGCGAGAAGAAAGAAAGAAAAGGACGCGAAGCTAGACTAGAGAAAAAAGACAGAAAAGACAAAAACGATCGAAGGCGAATAAAAAGTAATATGTGGGTATCTCGGAGAGGAAGTTGTTCGGAGTGAGGTCGAAACAAAAGTATCCAATGCTTTTCGACACGCTAGGACGAGCAAGTGGATCAAGAAAGGTGGTGCAACGTGTAGCCATGAGGAAAGCGACTAGACGATGGGCCCGTTCGCGAAGAGAGGAGCTGAGCAACGGGACGCTTCAACTAGCGCCGCGTCCCGGATGCTAAGCATATGGTGCGATGGAAACGGAGCCGTCGGTCGTGATCTCGGTGGGACGGGTAGAAGCGCCATCTTCGTCGTCGTCATTCTCGTCGTACAGTATCCCCAGTCGGTGGAGGAGCTCGGTTTGAGAGTCCTCTTCGGGCCGACGGGGGACATGTCACCTTGAAGGCATCTTGACGACGGAAACCGGGAATGGGAGTGTAACGAGGTCGGGGGAACGCGTTGGTCGGCTGGTATTTCCCACGTGTAATGAGGCGTCCGGTGGGTGCACCTGCACCGATTTGATACTTTTCCGACTTCAAGTTCTCTCCGCGGTTCGGGTCACGGGTGGTGTCTCGGGGTCGGAAGAGATGGAGCCGTGCGCCTTGCTGTGGGGAGTAGCGACAGCGATCCGGGCTGGAAGGGCTGCCAGACTCGGGAGGGTCGAGGAGAAAGGGACTAGCTCCGGGTAAGGATCCGCTATTGTAGTAGGCGTCGACCATGGTGCGCAGGTGTGCGGTGCGACGGAGTCGGTCGTTCGTTGAGGGTAAGGGGAGAAAAGGGTGTGAATCTGTACAGGGTTCGGTGGGTGGTAGAACGGAGAGCATGAGCGTGGTTGTCAAAAAGGTTTTGGGTTCGGGGTTTGGCTCGATGGCTCGCAAAAGCAATCGTGGGGGGCTCGTCCGCGGGGGAAGGGAGGATGAGCTGAGATTGATGCTTGTTTGTGAGCCTCGAGACGGTGGATGTGATTCGAGTTGAAGCAACCTAGCGTTGGGGCCGGGTGCGTGGTGGGCGTGGTGCGTTGTTTCCTTTTATACGGAATAAGAGGCGAGAAGGGGCAAAGGCGAGCAGGCCGGGGTTCCCCTCATTTTGCGTCAGAGTGAATTGGCCTCTGCTCCCTGCAGCCTGGATCCTTGGCCCGCTGTGCTGGCCGTGAAATGATCAAATGCGGCGGGCGGCGGGTCCTCGCTTCTATTTTCGCCTCAGCCCAAAACGAGACAAAGTACTATTATCTCAGGCAGGAAGGGGCAACAAGGGCAGCAGGACAGCAGGGCAGCAGGGCAGCAGGGCAGCAAGGGCAGCAAGAGCCAAAAGGCAGGAACAATGCTCCGATCTACAGCCAGTTTCTAGCGGGTACCAGCGGGTCGGGAGGACCGGGGCAATGCGGTTGCTGGAATTCGCCTTTAGATTGGCCGTATTTCGAAGCGATAACGAGCCCAAACGGTTGTCTTGTTTTGGTGTGGCAACGTATTATTCTGCCATAGTATTGTTCCTTCCCCTTCGCACGCTTACAAGTGTCCTGTGACTCACGACCTCAGCTCGCCCAACAGCCCAACAAGAAGAAGGGGGTGACTCTCAGGAGCAGACCCCAATTGATTCTGCCAGCGCCAGCTGGGGGAAAAGCGCCAGGCCAGGACAAGGGATTACGAGCTGGAGGGTGACGTTGCTGGGTATTGATTCGGGCAGTGCAACAGGCTCCAAGAGCACCTCGTGCTGCCTGTGGTGCTAGTGCCAGGGGTTCATGGAACCGCCAGCTCGATTTGTCGGAGGCAGCCACCAATCATGGCCCCACCAAGACACGCTCTCCCCAATCTTGACCCCAGAGCCATCCATAGATCTCGCCCATGTGATGCGACGGCCGCCGCTGGCTTGCCTTGAGATCTCCCAGATTCGAGCCCTCGCTGTTTCGCTGTGCCCATTTCTCGGGGGCGAGAAACCACGACTTTGGGATCTTCGGAGTTCGTTTCGCTCCGCTGGCATTGGCCGACCTTTTTTTTTTCCTTTTCTTTGAGGTGTTCCTGCACCATTGGCGTAAATTCGAGGCTTTGATCCAGATTTGCCGATTGAGATCTTCTTTTGCCGGGATTGGCAGCGGGAAGCTGTCTCAACACTGTCTTGTGATGAAGCAGTTCACATCACTTGACGTGACTCCCGGTTGCGCCGAGTCACCACTAAAGCTGATGGGTATGCCAACAAATTATGTCACAGAATGACGCTGCCAGCGGCTTGAACAGCAAAAGCAGTCACACGAGGAATCCGCCGTCATCGCTTAGGCCGCAAAAGCACCAAATTGCTCAGTCATGGTGGGTGGGCTATGATTAACAGACTTGCGTGCGAGCAGTGCGAGCTTGAATGGGCGCAGCGATGTGGACGGCCGAACAAAAAGGGCCAAGGATTCACACCACAACCCTGTGGGATCACGCTGCGAGTGAACAGGTACATTGCTGGGGAGTCGGAGATGGGTCCGAAACGCCGCTCGCCCTCTTCTTCGGAGAAGCGCGTAGGCCCATCAGGGTCGATACTGAATGCATCATACTGAGGTGGAGATGGTGATCGGGACTTTTCCTTTTTTTTTTTCCCTTCTTCTTCTTTTTTTTTTTTTTTGTGGCGGGCAGAACCGGTTGGGCAGGGCCTTGAAGCAGCAACAGCCAACAACCAACAGCCAACAGCCAACAGCCAACAGGCATCACATCTGGACAAAGGCACCAACCATGGACGGAAGTCGTGCCACGGTAGGTGGAACTTTTGGATATGCCTCGCTGGAGGTGGAAATTCAGACATCCCATCTGCGCCGACCAGCAAGCCTCAGCGTCCGGTAAGCAACGATGCCGGCGGCGAAGCAGTTCGTGGCCCCATCAGCAATGACTACATTCATCCATACATTGTGGCGGAGGAACCATCAAGATGTTTTGGCGAGCTCCTGGGCTCAGAGCACTTCTCTCTCAACACTAGTGGCACACGGAACCAGCGATGCCCAAGGCCGCGAGGTGTGTGCGGACCAACTATTATGCCAAGGGTCCTGGTCGGAGCGGACCGACACAGACGAGTTTTACCGGAGTGCACCACTTTTCGATCAAGTTCGAGGTCAGTGTTCATCCTAGTGAGCGGCTTTTTGTTTTATTTTTTCTCTCTTCTCTCACGTCTCCGTCTCTACCCTTTTACGCCCAAGGACTCGGCATGTCCCTCGGCTCCTTCGGGAGCCTAACCTTCTGCTGAGTCGGGTCATTGAACTGGCAGACCCAAACCTGCACCCTCACACTTGATTCACTCTCCCCAAGTGGCACTTGTGTACCATTGGCCAAAACTCCGCCATTAGACTATCAAGGCCCAATGGAATGTGATTACACTTCTACCCTCGCCACATGTCAGCTGCCAGCCCAGGCACACGGAGGACCAACAAATCAAAGATGACTTGCTGAAGGCACCGATAACGTTCCACGGCAGCAGTGCCAAGATTCCGTCGAGGCGATGACGATTAGGCTAGTGCCCGGCGCACGCCGGCCCTTTCCCACCGTCCCCATTCGGCGGGGCAGTCAGTAACAAGCCCTCGCGCGCGCGTTTACGAGACATCCATGCCAAGTTTCTGATGACTTTTTTTCGGGCGTCTCTTCCCCTCTCCTCTTTTTGCTTTTTTTCTTCACATCTCCCCGCTTCGAAAAATCCAGTCGTGTACCCCTCAGAGGGGCTCATTGGATTCTTGTGCTGAGCTTTCTGTGCCGTGCCTCCCCGTTATCAAGGTTTCCAGCCCAATTGATCGTCCACTCCGACGCTCGTGACCCGAACAAGAGCCGGTTCCGATTACTTGTACAAGGAGCTGATCCACAAGGCTGTGGTGCAGCGCAAGTAAAAGAGAGAAAAAAATAAGGCCAGCGTGTGGTGCGTGGTGGTGTGTGGTGCGTCAAGCCTAGGAAACCACACTCGTAAAAAGACCGAACCGAGCAAGTGCAATTATCAGAGACGTTACTTACGTATCACTGCCAAATCACCACGTATTGACAGCTCATCTTATCATTCACCATGCCGTCATCGCAACAGCCGCTTCGAACGGTGGCACCGGAGCCCATCTCCCCGATCCCGCCCACCGAAACAGACCCCCTCCTCCCCTCCTCCGACCACGCGTCCACGCACGAAGAGGAAAAATCCTTCCTATCCCGGATACCCTCCCCACACCCGCTCTACGCATCATCGCCTTCGTCCTCCTCATCAACCTCCTCGCCTGGGCCGTCGTCGCCTGGCCCCTCGCCCGCCACCCCGCCCTCGTCGGCCCGGCCGCCCTCTCCTACGTCCTCGGTCTCCGCCACGCCCTCGACGCCGACCACATCGCCGCCATCGACCTCTCCACCCGGCGCCTCGTCGCCGCCGGCCAGCGGCCCGTCTCCGTCGGCACCTTCTTCGCCCTCGGCCACAGCACCATCGTCGTCGTCACCTGCATCGCCGTCGCGGCCACCGGCGGCGCCCTCCGCGACAGGTTCGGGGGCGCCGAGGATATCGGCGCCCTCGTGGGCGGCATCGTCAGCGCCGTCGTCCTGCTCGTCTTCTGCGCCGGCAACGCCTGGGTCCTGCACAAGCTCGTGCGCAAGGCCCGCGCCTACCGTGTCGAGGGGAGCGTCGCCGAGGGTACCCGCGACGACGGCGTCCAGATGCGCGGCGTCGTGCCCGGCACCGGCGACGACGAGGCCGAGGACTTGGGATTCCTGGCTCGCGTCTTTGGAAAGCTGTTCAAGCTCGTCGACGCCCCGTGGAAAATGTTCCCTCTTGGTGTGCTTTTCGGCCTCGGTTTCGATACGAGCTCCGAGATTGCCATCCTGGGAATCGCTAGCATCCACGCCGTGCAGGGTACTAGCATTTGGCTGATTCTCATCTTCCCCGTCCTCTTCGCGTGTAAGTCATTCCCCCTCTGTCATGATGTGTCCCCGCTCGGCTTGGCCGCACCCCACCCCTTCTTGTGGTCGGCGGTGCCGCCGTAAAAACAGGCACCCTTAAAGGCTTCCAGTTACTCACACATATCCCAACCCCCACAGGCGGCATGGCCCTCCTCGACACCACCGACGGCGCTCTCATGTCCACCCTCTACCTCTCCCCAGCTTTCGCCCGCGACCCCTCGTGACCCTCTACTACTCCCTCATTCTCACCGCCATCACCGTCGCTGTCTCCGCCTTTGTCGCCGGCGTCCAGGTCCTCTGCATCGTCGAGACCATCTTCGAGCCCAGCGGCGCCTTCTGGGACGGTCTCGACGTTTTGGCCGACCACTTTGACATCGTGGGCGCCGCTATCTGCGCTCTCTTTGCCCTTGTTGCCATTGGCGCGGTCTTTGTCTATAAACCGTGGAAGGAGAGGATGACGCGAAGGGGCGTGGAGGCGTAGGAAAGACATTTAGACTATAAATATCTTTTAAGTGGCCCTGTCTCCGTCTCGTCCGAGACCTTTTCCAGTTCTCGCATCAAACGACCAGCGAAAACGTTGGCGTTGATGGGCAAGGCGCCCAGGCTCACGATTCACTAGGCTCATTGGCCTTTCTGGGATCATCATGTCATGATTGTGTAAAAACAAAGGGTTGACCCAAATTATTGCTATAGGATCAGCTGCTAAAAGAAATAGTCATGTCTAAGTAATATAGATTTCATTACACACTGTTAATGCGTAGGTGCGCGAAAATGCGCGAAAAAAAAAAAAAGGCCAGGAACAGACGTGAAAATGGAAACCCTCAAAACTCCGGTAGGCGGCCAAGAACCAAAAACTTGACGGCGTAAAGAAAAAAAAAGAGTTGGGTATTTAGCCGAGGATCTCGTTCTTGAGGTCATCAAAGGGCGTAGGTTCAGGCGTGCGTACGCCGACCGAGGAGGTGTCGGATGAATCCTCACAGTTGACGTAGTCATCCTCCTCCTTCGCCTGGTCGTTCTCGCACTTCTTCCTCTCGTCAGTGCGCTTCATCTCCTTCATCTCCTCAGCGCGCTGCCTCATCTCCTCGGCGAGCTTCCTCATCTCCTCCTCCATTCTGCGCATCTCTTCCTCCCTCTTCTTCAGCTCCGCCTCTCTCTTCATCATCAGCTCTTCCTTCAACTTCATCTCTTCCTCCTTCGTCCCGCTCTCATCGCTTGCGGACTTGTCCTTGGACTCGGCGACGGGTGGCTCCTCTGGGGCGGGTTCCTCAACCTTTGCCTCCGTCTCAGGATCCTTGGGTGTGTCCACCTGCGCAGGTTCCACTGGCTCGTCTGCGACGACAACCTCCGTTTCGGGCTTGGGGGTAGATACGGGGGCAGGGACGGGGACATCTCCCTCTTTCGTGTCCGTAGCCTGTGCCTCTGCTGCTTTCTCAGAAGCTTCCGGCTCTGAACTAGAAGACTTTTTGTGGTTTTCTTCTTCTTCGCCTTAAGCTTCTTAGGACCTTCGTCATCGCCTTCCGACTCGTCATCACCATCCTCATCCTCGGTCTGCTCCGCAGACTTGGATTCGGATTTGGCCTCGGGGTCCTTCTGGTCTTCGCCAGCGACAACGATGGGATTATACGTAGTGAAGGCGTTGCAGGTTTCCTCACGCTCGCCGGCAGCGTTGGCCTGCGCGTTATCGAGGTCCTTCTCGCCCTTCTGGCCCATGCCACCCTCCAGCATGTCGCCTCCCTCCATGACTACGCGAAGCTCAAGGTTAGAATCGCGCGAGAACACTTTGAAACCGACAATGCAGACGGCATTCCACGCATCGGGAAGGCTCTCATCTTCCGAGGGATACCTGTCCGCCTCGGTGGTCTCGGGGATAGGCTGCGTGCGGGGCTTGCGGATATAGTCATCGCTGCTGTAGATGGCCTCCCAATCCTCCACGGGGAGTCTGACGAGTAGTCTATGGCAGGAGGCGAGGGAGCCGGCTCCTTTGGTACTGAAGTCTTCTTCGCCTTCTTAACCTTCTTGGCCTTCTTCTCCTTCTTTCCTTTTCAGGCTGGGCCTGAGGCTCAGGGGCTGCAGGGGTTGCAGGGGCTGCTCGGCCTTCTTGGGCTCTTCAGGCTTAGGCTCAGTGACCGTCCTGGCGGGAGACTTGTCAGCGACATCCGGGTTGTTTGCGTCACCAAGGACAGGCTCCGAGGGGCAGCGCCGAGGATCCCTCGCCTTTCTTGGCTTCGAAAGTGGCCGGCTTGTCGGTGCTGGGCTGGTCTTCCTCCTTGGAGGCGGCAGGCTCGGCATTGTCCGTGGACTTCTCCTCGGTAGGCGTAGCTTGCGCGGCTGCGGCGGGAACTGTTTCTTCCGTCTTGGTGACGACGGCCTTTGCAGGCTGCTCTTCCTGGTCGTCTGAAGAAGATGAAGCGTCTTCGCTCGTCTGAGCCTCGGCTTCGTTGTGTTCCTCGACCGTCTTTCGATGGGCCGCATCTCGCTCAGCTAACAACCTAGCCTTCTTCGCTTCATTCTTGTCAAGCTGCTTGCGCTTGATCGTGCGCTCGGCACGGCGCCTCTCCCACTGCTTCCGCCTCTCCGACATGCGGCAGCCGCTCGCCTTGTTCTGGTTGGCGGTCTTGCGCATCTCCCTCACCTTCTCGATGTGGTGATGGGCCTTGGAGTGGGCGAGGTCGTAGGCGTAGCCGACCTGGGCGAGCTTCTCATTCTCCACGCGCTTCTTGCACTCGCGCTTCACGACTTCATCGACCGAGGGCTTGTCGGTATTGCGCTCGGCGGTGACCAGGATGTAGACGGTGTAGTTTCCGGCAGGCATGTCGGGAATCTCAATGGAAACGGACCGCGTCATGAGATAGTTGCCGTGGGAGCGGACAATGTAGTCCTCGGCACCGAGGTGGCCCTGCTCGTGAACGCGGAACTGCAGACGGAAGTTGTACTGGCCCTCAAGCCCCTTGAAGTACCTCCGATCGAGTTGGGAGAGAACGAGGACCAAGGGCGAGTCCTTGGTAAGCTTGATGTGAAACTTTTCGTGGTAACTCGCCTTCCAGGGCACGTCGACGCCGATCCAGCGTTGGCAGCAACCCCAGTCATTCTCGCGGAAGAGGCGAGTGCGGTCAAAGTGCTGATATTTGCTAAGGAGATCCTCATAGGAGATCCAGAAAACGGAATCATTACCAAATTGGTGACCGAGTTCCTGCTGAACATCGGTGGTCCACTCTTTGGAGCCGTCGCCCCAGGCGCCCTCCCAGACACCCTTCCGGGCCTTTCCCCAGGGGTTCCGGAGTTTTACAAGACGCTGGCCGGACTTTAGGGTCCTGGCGTCCATGACGCCGTAGGCGTGGCGTTCAGTGATGCCGTCGCGGCTGCCGTAACCTCCGTCGAGGAGGCCGGTGGAGCAGCCGAACATGAACTCCTTGTTGACTTTGGAGAGCTCATCATCCCAAAAGGCGTCGGTGTCGAGGATATCCGAAGCAAGCAGCTCGGTTGTGACGCCGCCAGTCATATCCTCGAGGCCCTCGCCGATCCAACCTCCAATGAGAGACGCATAGTCTCCGTGAGCCTTGGCATAGGCCTTCTCCAAGAGAGGTAGCCAAGTCTCATTTTGATCCTTGTTCTTGCCGAAAAATAGGGCCTTGGAGCCGGTTTGGTACGTCTTCCGATAATGCAGCTCAATGTCCTCACGATCGATCTGCGTCAGAAGCTGGCGCTGCAGGCTTGGGCAGTCCCAGTTCGGCGACTTCAAGTATAGTTTGTCGTCAATGATAGAATAGACCCATTCGCCATCTGCATGATTAGGCTGTTAGCATGCGAGAGATCGGGTTGAGGCGAGGCAAAACAAAGGAAAAAGAAAAGAAACACCCTCAATATTAGGGTAGGGGGAACGTTGATCTGAATGTACGACGCAGATCTCTGGGCAGTGCGAACTCACCTCGATAAAAGACGAATCCGTAGATACCAACACCTAAAACAGAAAAGTCGCCACAACCAGTTAGAAAAGGGGTAATTCTCCTCACAGTGCCACCAACGGCCCAACGGCGTTGAACCGGAAAAAGCCAACGGCCCCGAAAACGGACAATGGCCACAGGGTCCAGGGTCCAGTCCAAGAAGGGGGGAGTGTGCGTTGCTCGGCAGGGAAACTCACGAGTATCGTACTCAACACAGAGCTGCTGGATACCGTCCTTGACGTCGGCAAGCGCGGAGAGGGCGGCGACTGCCCAACAGTTTCCGATGCTGCCTTGGACGATCTCGGAGCTGCTCACACTCTTCATAAAAGTGGGATTCTCGAAGATCTCGTGCACGCGCTTGACGGCTTTGGGCAGATTGGCGCTCGACGACGGCGGGTAGCCGACCTCATAGGTTTCGTGTCCGAGATAGTTGAGGCAGTTGCCTTTTTCCATTTTGAGGTCCCAATCCTACACACACAGTGTGCACCGTTAGCCCATGTCGCCTTTTTCGACTCATGATTTCAGCCACACAACGAAATCTGAAGCGTGAGAGGCCGAAGCATCTCTCAGCAAAAGTGAAAGATGCGGTTCCCCTCTTCTCAAGCACACCTGTCCGAGGGATATGGCCAGTGGGCGCAGGGATTCGGCGAGGAATTGAAGTCGCTAAACATCAATCCCGCTGCGATCACCAGACGCAAGCTGCAGGAGAGATTGAGCACGGAGAGGACGGGCGCCGTTCGCGGCGGAGCACACCGCCTGTTACAGGGCCTCCCTGCAACATTAGCGGGTGTGTAGTACGCTGAACGCAACCCTCCAATCCAGTGCTCTCAGGCGCTCTTGACTTGACCCAACATAGCATTGATGCTGCTTGCACCCCGGCAGGCCGCCAATCGATGCTTGTGTCGCCAGTGGTCTCGGGCTCCCGTCGCCCACCATTTTCCGCTTCCGATGTTTCGTGCTTCTGCAGTCCCCCACACCGTCTCGCCTCAACTGGCTGCGATGAGTGCAGCTCCGGATGTCAATGCAAGGGTGAGACCTGCGCGGTTCACCGTTGTCCAAAAAGAACCATTGAAGCCATGCGTTCGGGTATCTTCACCGCAAAGAGTTCGGTGTGCGGAGCCTGACCACCAGCAGCGCGTTTCGTGCGCCTCACCCAGCGAGGCTCTGAACCCGACCCCCTTTTCGGAGGAGGAGAAGCCGAAAAACAAAAGAGGAAAAAGAAATAAGAAAAATATAGAAAAAAAAACTTACCAGATCCCAGCCCGGATCTCGATAGCGTGTGTTCACACGTCTGCACTCCTTGATGATCTTGCGGACCTTGCGGCGGCACTCTTCGACCGCCCTCTCGTAGGATGCGGCCGAAGACTCATTCGCCCTATCGGGGCTGGCCGGGGTTGCACGGGGTCGAACGGAAGAACTGCGAGCGGAATTGTAGGCTGGCTCGCCTGTAGCTTCTTCCATATCCGGTTGATGGTCGCCTGCGGCGGAGGCTTCTTCTTCTTCTTCTTCTTCTGATCGTTAGAGGTACTCGAGCTGGAGGGAGCAGCCTTGGGTCGCTTGGGGTCCTCGGACTCTTCTGACGAGCTATAGCCGTGCATGTTGGCGAAGAGATTCAATGGCGAACGGGAAGGAATGGTGGGCGGCTGTATGCCTCGATGAATCCGGAATATCTAAGCACACCGGGGCTTCCGTAGAATCGAGGAGGATATGTTGTTGAATTCAGGTCCTCTTCGCATAGAGCGAGGGAAATCCCTACTCTTTCCAAAACGTTGCTCGATAAAGGAGATGGAGAGGTAGGAAGGAGAGTGGAGGAGGAGGTCTGAATCAATAAACGGGGAGGGAAGGGGGGAAAAGGGAGGGGAGGGGGCAGCCGGAAGGAAACGGGGGAGGCATGCCTTAAAAGGGCGCAGGCCTACGCTCTTCCATAGATCCTCATCTCCAAAGTGGAAGATTGATGGGCGGGAGGTGGTCCGGGTCTAGAACGGAGGAGTGTCTGAGCACTACCAAGGGACGTCTCTGGCCTGGCTAGCTAAATTCGTCACGAGGAAGCACGGTGAGGCTCCACCAACAACGAATCTTGCCCGCCCCTAGCCGCGCCTCTCCGGTATCATTGAGGAATGTGTTATCCAGGCCCAGGCCCCGGTGGTGAAGGGGTCCTTCTAGCGCCGGGACTAGAAAATCGCCCCTCGCTCTCGTCCGTTTGGTTTCTATGGGGCTTGTGGGCCTTTGGAGAAGATCCACGATTCAGGTATCAAGCGCACTTGGGGAATGGGCCATGTGTATGGTGTTGAAGGGGGCTTTTGGTTGAGCTGGCCACCGCCTCGTTCACTGTGCGGGTAGATGGCAAAAGATTTACAGGGAAATTTCCATCTCAGGACTCCCCCGTTGGCGGCATCTAGGTATTGATTCCAAACACTAGGTGTGGAAGGGGAGGAGAGGCCAACAAGTGTACTTTGACCCCGGCAGTGTTGTAATCCTGAGGTCGGCTTGCCCAATGGCAAAAAAGTCAAATAAAGAAAGAGAAAAGGGAAAATAAGGGTCCACGGGTGACCCTGAGACCTCGGACTTCTGGTGCTCAAGCTAGACGTCTTCTCGGCCAACGAACCGGCGCTCGGTGGCGACTAGGTTGGTCTGGACCAGTCCAGTTCAACCAATTTAGTGACCCGAGGAGATCAGCAGGACTGCTGCCAATAAACCACCATTTCCTCATGCAACGCGACATCGGCTTCCGCTTCGATATCGCTCTATCCCGCACTGTCTATCTTTCGACCTATCCCCTCCCTTGTTCTCCCATTTGGGGCTCTTCTCTCGATAGTTAGCCCAAGCCTGCTCAGTGAGTGGTTAAATACTTACCGAGCCTTCCTACCCGGGACGATGTGCATTTGACATGCCCTCGTTTTTCGTGTTTGAGGGTCGGACGACCCTTGAGTGGGGGGTATTGGCCGTATTGGCTGGTCTGATGGAGGTGGGTGGACAGGCTGACCGCGCCTCGAGCCCAGCTCGCGATAAGACGCAGCCAGCCAGCTACTTGTACTCACCCCCGGCATGTGTAGCTCCATAATCAAAGTCGAAGCGGAGGCTGTATTGCACTGTTTCGCTTGCGGGGTTGGCTGCCTGTGGAAATGGAATAATAATAATAGAACTAGCCGATGGAACATTGCCCCAGCAGCACTGTTGACACCGACATCTACAAGTACGCCGTAGTCCCCCATGTGCAGGCTCTCGATCCCTTGCAGTCGAGCCAAGATACCACCGCCGAGACATCCATAGATCCAATGGATAGGTCCATCCCTCGCCAGTTCGCTCTAGCTGGCTCAGTCAGTAATAGACTTGGTCAATCGTTGTGAACATCGATGAACACCGGCATCGGCGGTGCGGCGTGAGCAATGCCGAACTTGAAGCGTGAACCGAAAGACCCGAAGCTGGCCAAGACAAAGGGGGCAGATGCCGGAAAGTTAAAAAGGGGAGCAGGAGATGAGGCCCAGGGGGCAAGGGGAAAACGGGACTAAATTATGGAGAATTATATGGAAGGGTTTCCCGACAAGGCTCAACCCCGAAAAGTCTAACTCCTCCGACGCCGTGGCTTCCACTGTCCAGTGCCAGCGATAACAATTCCTCATTACGAAGGAAGGCACACTGGATGGTGGGGCAGAACAGGCAGGTCCGGTCAACGCCACCTTCCTTCCGGTGAGGCCCCAAACTCCACGAGGCGCTGATCAATCAAATTCTTCAAGTCTTTCATATTCGCATCATGGACCCGACGAGCGCGAGGCCAGGCTTCCCTTCTCCTGACGAGGTACATGCCAGATTTTTGACAACAATACTGGACCCCGGTGCCTAAATGTTGGTGGAAGGGATAGACATGGCTATCTATCGTTGCAGGCAGCCGGCCGGTGCAATTTACTTTCCGAGGGCCAGGCTGACAAGCAAGTCCGCCCCAGCATCGGTTCCATGAAGCCCACGACGCCAGGCCAGGTGACGCCGGATTTTTTTTTTGGGTGCGTTGGCCATCCAGGTGCAGGCTTGAGCACCCTGCTGGTGCTCACCTTTCTCCTGCACTTACTTCCATGCTGCTTTGTTTCTCGCGCAAACGAGCCGGGTGTTTCGGGAGTGGACATGGAAAGAAGGGCGGGATGTATGCATCTACGAAGGAAAAAGACAGGGCGAAAGGGAAGCCCCAAATGCTTCGAAAATCAATCGGGAAACCCGCTTTGTCCGCATTCCAAAGAATACGCTAGTTGTGTCGTCCAATTTTTGCTCTTATCCAATCACTCAGTGGATGGAATGACACGAGAAGTGGCGCCAGGCCGGGGTGGGTCGAACGCCTGGGGAAAACTGCTGCGGCATGCGGGACATCGTTGGCACTTCTTTCAATGTACACGAACACTTCACAAGGGATTCTGGAAGCAGACACCAACCTCCGAGCTTTTATTGACCTTAGAGATACCTTCCATCTTAAGCCTTAAGCGTCTTTGGCCTGCTTGGCTTGACAACTGATCTCGCCTCCGGCATCACCACTATATTCCTCATATCACCGACGCGCTCGAAATGCCCTCTTCCAGCACCCATAGTGTATAGTGAGCGGGGCAGCAGAACATTCCTCCATGGTACTAAGCCTTCTCCGCCAAACACACTCACCGCTTCGGGTTGTCCTTCTGTGTTTTGGGGCTCTGACATGGTCTCTCTTGTGAATCAACGCTGGAGGACAAGAGGTTTGACGCGAGGCTGGGGTGATACTCGGTACCCCCATATGTTGCCCCAAAAATTGTTAATTCGAACCCTAGTTGACCCCACAGTTGGCGGGCGGACTTTGGGGACTAGGGAGACCCTGACTGCAGACCCTGGCTACCTGGCCCTCCCAAATGTGGGGGAATGGCGCCAAAGATCACAGGCAGTTGCACCGCCTAGGATGTGGAGCGCGACCCAGGACGCATTGTTATCCTCCCGTCGTCGTAAAAACGAAAAAGAGCCGAAAATATGGTATTTGGAAAAGTGAAATTGAAAAAATCACGATCATGAGGACCGGATCCTCGGGATCCTTAGGTAGATGTGGTCTACGTGAGCTCTGCGCCACATTCTGCTTTGGTCAGCCCTTCCTTCCTCTGAGCCATTCTCGTAAGAGGGGCCTCCAAACAGACAGCATCATCCTTCTATGGACGAATGATGAAGCATCCCAGGGAGGGGTTCGCATATCCCGCACAATTTTGCCCTGGCAGAGGGAGGGGAGGGTATATTGCTGACCTCCGTCTCGCCGGTATGTCATTCTCGGGAGCCTCGGGGCCCATGAGTCTGCTGATGGCTGCCACGCTCGGTGTACGTAAAAGGCAGCAACGCGCATTAGAGCATCGAATCTCAGCGTGCCAAGTCAGCAGGTATATATTGAACTCATCTTGTGCCTCCTTCCCTGCGCAAGGCGGGTGGATAGATGGGGTAAGGCGAAGTGACCAGGGCTGTGAGGGTAATAGCTCAGTAGAACCGAGCCTGATTCTGGTACCATTGGCACAAGCGCGCCAATACGATCAAAAACAAGAAAAGGGAAGAAAGAAGGAAATCGGAAGAGAGGGAGAGGGAGGAGAGGAGGCGAAGAAGGAGAAAGGGGAGGGAGGAAGGAATGTAAAGACGGGCGGCTCAAGCGGAAACGCTCAATTTCGCGAAGCCAGGAAATGGCGTTTCTAAACCTGAATCAACACTGCTAGATATCAGGGCAGCTAGAAACTTGTAAGCTAACAAGCGACGCTCCGACAGGCGTGGCACCTCTCCATACCTCCGCCTCTCTCACGTTCCGTGTGTTCGTTCCCCTTAGACTTAGACGGCGCGATCTACCCTTCATTTCCCAAATGCTATACTCCTTGATAAGCCCCTGTACACACTGTCATTCAACATTGCTATGGATGATGGGCTGTTTTGAAGGATTCTAATGTGTCCTGGTTCACCAATGCAAGCACGCGATGAACAAAAGTGAAAAGAAAGATGAAAAAGAACAGCCACTCATTTTCTATTACCCATACGTGCCAGGATCCCCGTAGAATGCGTGGTCGTGGTATACATGTAGGCCCTATTTTCTCGCATAGACATATACAAAACTTCCAAAAATTTGCGCCCCTACCACCCGCCCTTCCCAAATCGCGCCAATTAAAAAGAAAAGAGAGTCCCAGCTCAAAAGTAAAATCCTGATTGCGGCGGCGGCTGCTGCTGCTGCTGCTGTTGTTGTTGTTGTTGTTGTTGCCCTTGCGGCGGAGCCGGCTGGGTCATGAAATCAAAGTTCATGGCGTCGAAGCCGCCGTTCCACGCCTCGGGAGATTCTAGAAAAGGACGGCAGAACGTTAGCACCGACATGACGATTTAAGGTTCCGGGCTCACCCCAGGGTGTCCGATACTTACCCCACCAAATGGAGTCGTAGAGGTCAAGAGGGGACATGTAAGGGGACGGGTCCATCCCAACAAGGTGATCCAAGTTAACTCCTGGTATTTGCTGGGCCGGAGAGAGGCTAATTTCAAAGTGTTAGCTACGGTGCATGGTTCAGACTTTTCTAGGAGCGTCCCGCGTGTAGTCTGGACACTTTCATACCTAGTATAATCAGGGACAGGTACCGCGCTCCGCTGTTGCATCTCTGCCATCGTTCGCGCCGCATCATGATGCGCGGGATCGATGCCGGCGAGTGGGGGCGGGCGGTATTGCGCGTCTTCGATATTTGTACTTAGAGGGGTGCGGTAAAGGGTAACGCGGGAACCGCAGGCTCAGACATTGCGCTGGGCGTGCTCTCGGCGCCCTCGCGCTTCACCGAGTTGCCTGTGATGGAGCCGTGCTTGTAGATATTCTTCAGGGCCATGAGGGCTCTCCATAAGGGACCCGATAACTCGATATCCTTGTCGGTCTTCTTCACCCCGCCCGAGGGCGACGGCTGTTCTTTGGCGGCCGTCGCGGAGAGCGCGGCGATCAAATCACCTTGAAGTTGGCGGATTTCGGGGTCTGCCTTGGTATCTACCAAGATGCCCAGGAGAAGCGCGGACGAGAGGCCGTTGTAGGTGAAGGCCCAGCTTCGCGTAGGGATAACGGAGAGTTGATGCATCGAGAGGAACATCTTGACCGTTGTTATGAGGTTCGCCTTGCATTCATTGGCAATGTACTCTTTCTGTTGTGGCTCAAAGGGGCAGTCACGCCGCAACGCGGGGCGACATGCAACAGATATGGTAAAGGCTAGATGGAGCTGGATGGCAAAGTGCTGGAGCCGGTCCTTGACTGTTCTGCACCGATCTTTGAATTGGATCTGAGGTACAAGCTTGGTGCCCAGCTCTCTGACGGAGTCGCGTATGTCGATAATCTGCTCGTAAGTGGCGCCCGCGATGAGATCTGGAGAAAGTCGTCGACATATTATGTAGGTGAGATGGTACATGGCCTCCAAGTAGGTGTACTGGTCCGCCGTATCTGGAAGGAGACAGGACGGGATATTTGTCACTGGGTAGCTGTAGTATCGCAGGCTCGCATTAGCAACGACGGGAACGGGGTGAGGTGACATCATGGCGCGTACCGATCAAAAGAGAGTGAGATGAGAGTGTCATGCCAGGTACATGTCCACCAGAGTTTCCTTCGTATGGTCTCCTTGACTTTGGAGTCGGGAGTTACGACGTCCTTGACGTCATGGGGTGAAGGACGATGAAGGCCTAGCGACTGGGCGAGACGGCACGTTAAGCCAAGTATGGCCCAAGACGCCTCAGCCTTCATGTCATTAAGAAGTACAAAACTTGTCAGGAGGAGGACCTGAATAGAGTCATATGTGGGTCTAGTTATGATAGATTAGAATCACCCATCTCCGGGCTTGTCTCTCACAAAAAGTAGGGAGAATGTCCTTTCTTACCTTAGCAAGAAGTTGCCTAATCGCAGGAAGTGAAACGCGACTTGGATGTACTTTTGAGAATCCTTGGTTCGAACGTGATACGGCGAATCATGATACTGGGAACCGACTGCGAGTATCGCAAACAGAATAGCGAGCCATGTTGCCGAAACGGGTTTGGGTGAAATGGCGGCACCTCGCATTGACCGCGCTCTCTCTTCCAGGTACGTAACGAGCTTGACCTCGAACTCATCTAGATCTATCACGAAGCCCCAGAAGGGTTGCGTCACTTCCTTATAAGTTCGGAAGAGCCTAGCAGGAAACAAGGTTAGAATGTGCCTGGAGGGCGCCGTCAAGAACATGAAGTGTGGGGGTCCTGTCTCTCTCACTTCATCACCTCTCTATCGGAGGGTAGCTCGGATGTAATCTCCTGAGTTAGGCGGTCGAGATGTTTTGTGGACATCAAAGGAAATGGCGCCGACGTGTCGAGGCCGAGAATAGGTCTCATGTCTTGCCGAATATCGCTGACATCACCACCATTTGTGGTTCCTGGTTGTTCCCTCAGCAGGACAGGAATGCTGTTTTGGCCGAGATATCTCACAGGTTCCGGTACATCACCCTCATCAACACTCGTGGCTTCGCGCCAAGTTAGTAAGTAAGAAAGGAGGGAGGGGACGGCCTTTAGGGGCTTCAGCAGCACAGAGGGTGGAAAGGGAGCTCTTCATACTGAAGTTTCTAGGCCAGCTGCGATTTTCTTTGCGACCACTATCCGCACTCGAGTCTGGCGAGTGTGTTCGTTTTCGGCCAACCGCCCGCCCAGACTGACTAGCATTCTTGCCAGATGCGCGCTGGTTGGGTTTATACGAACACAGCTGAGGATGCTCACGCTTGACACAGTTCTCACAGGGTTGCTGATTGTCGCATTTTACTTTGCGCTGCCTGCAAGGCCAGCATGCCGTCCCTTTTACCCCACGTTCACGTTAGCTATACATGGGTATATGTATATATAAGGCCGGTGGTCAAACAGCGCCGGATGAGTGAGGGGCGGGATCGGGTATGACAGCAACAAGAAGAAAATATAAGGGAGTGGTATGCATGAAGCTGTGAGCGGGATGAGAGCAAAAAAATCAACCACCTTCTCAATCAAGCAGTAAGACTCGGGTGAGATTGGGCAAGACAACAAGAGTGAGGAGGAACTAGCGGCGGCGGTTTCGAGGGGCGGCGCAAATGCGGGTTTAAAAGAGGCAAACATACCGTACCGCACCTTGCGATGTGAATGGATAATGCGGCTGGCCTCTTCCGGGGTCAGGTCCTTGATGGACGTGGTGCCCTCTGGAGGGTCCAATGAGTCCTCCATGACCAGACAAGGGAATATCGCGATGGAGTGTTACGAATGCCGAACTCCGAGCGAGACAGGTGCCATGCGGATTAACAAAAGATGTTCAAGGAGGGGCAAAGATTATAAGCTCGCCTGTAAAAGTTCGAAAGGGTGGTGAGGTCAATGGATGGTGGCACCGAATCAGTCTCTGGCATAAACCGCCGGCGGTGGGTGTGGAATGACGTCCAGCACGGCGCATGGGCACTGTGCCGCATCACCGGGACCCTCGGCATATCCACAGTGTGAATAGAATTGAACAAGCTCATTCGTCAATCCCAGTCCCGCGGGTCCCCTTCGATCATGTTTGGAGGCGGCGTCATTGGGCTGTCCAGTCCCCGCGGAGCTCGAGTCGCAACTTTAGAAGTCACGTGTGGCCGCTCCTGACTCGGTTACTACTGAAACGCCATGGTCTCACAGGAGCATGGTCAAGTGCGACTGGCCATCAACTTCACAAATGGCAGGTTGTTCCTTCCCGTCCCATCAGTTGCCCCCGTCATACCCTTTGGCGCTGGAGCAGTGATGCAAAAGTTATTTAATGGGGTTGGCCTGGCCCATTTTCTTGTATCAGCGCACCGTAAGTATTCCGCAAAGTGGTCGACAGTCCTGCAGTCCGACTGCCTGTGGGTGAGACCAATCGCCTATTCTTCCTGGCCGCCGTTTTAGAACACTGAATTCACTTGCATCTAACCAACTCGGACTGCGAATATTAATTGATAGTGCTGAATCCGGATGTTTGCTCGCATGGGTGAGCTTTTGTCTTATTGGGGGAGAGACACACGGGTACTAGGGTACTTACACTTTGGTCAGCAGGTGTGCACAAGGCTGGGCATGCTCGAGATCAGAAAAGCGTGGGGATTGCGCAGGGATGTGGGGGCAGGGGAGTTGGGAGTTGGGACAGGAGAGCAATTGATCCGTCAAGGGATGCAGAAGCCAAGGGGGGCAGCACCTCGTTCATTTCAGCTCGCCTGCGAGGACTGCGGAGAAATCTACCCATCTTCCAACCACGGACATATCAACGCTGGGATAGAGAGGTCGACAGTTTTTCCCATCGAGCTCTGCTTGCGGGAGTTTCCGCGGACCCTGAATTTTTAAAGCGCAACGCTCAGCGCCAACTGTCCTTCCGACCCACCCTTTCGTGAAGCGAAACGGGCGAGCGACGCGCATTGGCCCGCCGAATGCCGCACAGGATTAGCCTAGAGAATTTAGCTCGTCCTGACATTCTCGTTGACGGCGGCGTAGAACCACAAGTTTCCGGTCAGCACACCATTTGGTATCGAGAGTGAGTGGATGGCACACATGGAAGCTCGCACACTGGTACCGTCAATGGACACCACACCAGTGACGAGCGATCCCGTGGCCGACCACCCCTTTGTCGAAACTTTGAACGTAACATTTGGCCTGGAGATCAAGGCTTCAGACCCGCGCCTGTCGCCCGAAAGCAGCAGGCGGCCCTTCGCCTTCGCAGTGAGGGCGAGAAGCGTGCCGCCAAGATCTATAGCCTCATTCGATATTTGGGCTATCAGACTTCGGATCCGTTGTCCGCCATTGAGACGCAGTTTCGGGGCGCCGCCAAAGTCATCTGTTCCCAGTGGGTCTCAAAGCCCCGGGCCGTGCCGGGACTTCTTCCCTCGTCCAATGCCATACCACGCGCCACAACGCCCGACCAGCGGAAAGAATTGGAGCTTTGTCTCCTAGACCTTCTTCAGCAAGCCAGAGAGCCGACCGCGCGCCGGCTTTTTACGAGCACGCCCAAGGATGTAACCATCGCCGGCACTGCTCAACCGGCCCCGGCCTCTCGCCCAGGCGACTCCCGGCAATTTCGCAAGAGGCACTCGGACGAAGCGGAAATCGTGCGGGCCCGAGATGGACCGTCGGTGTCTAAGCGCGCCAAGTCGGCTCTTGACCAAGTCCCTGTTCGCGGTAAAATTGGACAGGTTGCCATCAATCGATCTTTTCAGCTGTCCCGAGGGGAAGATAGCCGCTCATTCCTCAGTGAGAGCACATTCGGCCCGGCAGACACAACATCGGCTGAAACAAGTTACACCTCCATATTCTCAACCACGAACCGGATAGCAGATGATACCATTCCCTCCGATTCCCAACTTACCCAGCCCTTTGATGATGAGGACCGCTTACGCCCGGGTCCTAAAACGGGTATAATCTCCGCCACCACGGCGTTCTATCTCCCCGAAGACCTCCGACCCTATCCTTCCCTGGCCGATGATCCCGCTGACGGGGATGCCCATCATCCCTCGCCCAACCCCAGCTACCATCCCCGAGTGCAGTTGCCCATGACCAGAACCATGCCTATGGAGCAGAGCAATCGCACCACAGCTACGACGACGACGACCACCACCACCGTAATGCAGGGCGTAGGCTTAGAGAGGGGCAGTGGCAGAACCCTCGGCATCTATGACAATTCCCGGCTCTCCAATGCCGGCGCTGAGTATGGAGCAAGCGAGATCTCTGCGTGTATCTTGCCATTGTCCTCGCAACCCAGTCTATCCGTTGCGCTTTCTTCCCAGGGCGTGGCCTTTAGGGAGCCACCGCGTCCAGCTCAGGGCACTCCAATTCCAGCAGCTTCGTTTACTAGTTCCTTCGACGTCGATTTTGAGCCTGGTGAGCGAGTATTGGGTCCGCACTTTGCCCTTGACAAGAGGCTCGAGGATTCCTGGCGTGAGTAGACTTTTATCTCATCCCCCATTCACCACGCGAAATTAAGCCCTTGAGCTGATAGCGTTACTGACTTTCTCAAAGCCAAGCTCCCAAAGGACCTAGGCGATGCTCCGCTTGCCATCATGTGGGAAGTGACTCGAGCTGCCCTCCATTGCGGCGTAGATCTTGGAGACCTTGGCCTGAAATACAACATCACTTGGAAAAGTCAAGCCGTGTTTAGAGACGCTCTTCTGTCCGACCCATGTTTCCGAGACAAGAAACTGCCCACTATGTGTAGTCCGAGCGTCTGGGAAGCGTCTCTCTCCACATTTCAGCAGGGAGGCCGCACAATCTCGCTTGTAATGGAGGCCACCTATAACCCTACCACGACCGGCCCGTTTTTCCTGCTTGCTTTGGAGCCTCTGGCCTTGAGTCTCGGCCATCGGCTTGACAGGCGATTTGGGTCCGATCGGTTCCTCGAGGTCATCTTTCCTTCGCACACGAGTGAAAAGGCACCTGCCATGCTCAAAGAGCCCGGTGCTGTCGACTGTGTGAACCGCTGGATTTCCCAACACCGACACGTTCTTCTTGGTCGAATCTGGCGTGGCTTTTTCTCAGAGATGCCAAGAAGCAAGTCAAGGAAGACGAATTCTTCTGGAAACGAGTCAAGTACGACCCAAAATTCAGAGTGCACATGTTCTGTGAAGATGGCAATGAATTCGAGCGCAGTAGTCTGGGGGCCCCTTTCCCCCAAGAAGCCAGGCAATCACTCCCCAGATCCGTACAAGAATGAAGCTTTCCCATTTGATGGAGTGGGCGATTGGTATTACTGGCAGCAGGGCTCAGAAAAACTTGAAATTATTCTCTCGGCTAGCACTCAGTAAGACTCGCCCGCCGCCACCCCTGGCAGGCTAGGTTTCGAAAGCGCTAACCCAGTCTTCTCTCTTTGCTAGGCCTAACTCCGAGTACCGCAACTGTTGTTCTTCGCCAGGACCAAATCATCCACCACCCGGATGATGTGAGGTCCGCGACTGGACAAGTCATGAATGATGGCATTGGCAGAATGTCTCGTGCCATGGCCCTCAAAGTGGCCCAGCTGCATGATCTCGATGTAATGCCAGCCGCTTTCCAAGGGCGCATAGGAAGCGCAAAGGGCCTCTGGATTGTTGACGGTGATTCATACTACGACGGGGATGATGAGGTTTGGATCGAAACCTACCCGTCTCAGCGAAAATGGGCATGCGACTTTGAAGACCAGGACCACCGTACGTTTGAGGTCAAAGACTTTTCTCGAGAGCTCAAACCGGCCTCTTTAAACAAGCAGTTCATTACTGTTCTCGAGGATCGAGCGATTGACGCCGGTATCATGAGAGAGAGGTTGGGCGCCCTACTGCGCACCACTGTGAGGACGAGTTGGATTCCCGAGCCATCGCAGCCACCAATCCTCTTGCCTTCCAGCGCTGGGTGGACGTGAACCCCTTTGACCGAACGGAGAGGATCTCCCATGGCGTCGTCCCTTTTTTAGCGGGTCTTCCTAACTCTGATGAGGAGGCGCTCAAATTTTTACTCGACGGCGGGTTCCACCCACGGGAGCTGAAATATATCCGAGACTTGGTCTACAGCGTCGCCAAGAAGAAGCATGAAGCCCTCCAGTCAAAGCTCAAGGTACAGGTCCCGCGGTCCACGTATGCGTATATGGTTGTGGACTTTTCGGGCCGATTGAAGGAAAACGAGGTCCACATGTGGCTTTCGTCGAGCTTCCACACGGAATGCGGAGAGTCGGAGACCATATTGCATAATGTCCCTGTTCTCGTTGCCCGAGCGCCGGCTCACTTTCCAAGTGATATCCAAAAGGTTAAGGCCGTTTTCCACCCTGAGCTCCGGCATCTAAAGAATGTGGTGGTTTTTTCGTCCCAGGGTAATAGCCCGTTGGCTGATATGCTTTCCGGTGGCGACTATGACGGAGACAAGGCCTGGGTTTGTTGGGATCCGACCATTGTGAACAACTTCCGGAACGCGCCGGTACCGGAAAAGCCCGACCTCCGGGAACTCGGCTACCTCCGGGTCGACTCACAGACGTTTGAGGGGACCATAGCAAAGTACCCTCGACGCCTAGACATGGCCGTGTCGCACTTCCTTTTGACGGGTTTGTCTTCACGATGCAAGGCGATTTGCTCGGCCAGTGCACGAATTACAAGGAGAGGATATGCTACCGCAACAACAGCATTAGGGACGAGGCCGCCGTCGTTCTGAGCTCGCTCGTATCCGACTTGGTTGACAGGGCCAAGCAGGGCATTACCTTTACAGAAGCCGACTGGACCCGTCTCAAGAAGGATCTTATCCCGGGATCCATTCGATCTCCCGAGGCGCCAGCCTACATTGATAGGGATTCGGGAGGACCAGGTAACCATATCCTCGATTGGCTCAAGTTCCAGGTCATCAAACCAACCGTCGAGAGCGAGCTCAAGGCCTTTGAAGTGTCCCTCGGGCAGCCCGAGCACTACGACGTGGACCTAGTCTACTACTTCCGCGAACTAGAAAACCTCGCCAACGGGACCCCAGGTGGGGCTCTTCCCGCCATCATCGATCCGGCCACGGCTTCCCGAACCTACAGCGCCCTCCGGAATAAACTCTGCAAAGACCTCTACGCCGTGTCAGACATGTGGAAGGACACCATCGCAACCGGCACCGCGATCGGCTACGCGGACCGCGTTAGACTAGTACACCAGACCTACCTCGACATCCGGCCGAACCCCGCAAGTCTCCGGCAGCCCGTCAAGACCTGGCTCTTCGGCACCGACCCTCCACCCCCGACGGCATCAGCACCTGGGGCAAGGTCAAGGCCTCCTTCTTCTTCAAGCTCTACCATAAGAATCCCAAGCTCGTCTTCACCCTCGCGGGCGCCCACCTGCAAGCCATCAAGGCTGAGAGGTGCATCGCCAGAGAGGTCACGAGTTCCGCGCGGCCCCCATCGCCATCATCCCCAGCATGTACGCCGCCCACCGCCCGGATAAACGAATCATCACGGCGCTGGGCCGAAACGAGGGCGACACCGGAGACACCGAGAGCCTTGCGGACGTGCTCAACGATTACTATTTCGACGGTGAGGGCAACGAGATCGAGCACGTCTAGGCGGCGCATTCGAGATCAAGTGCCCCGAAACCCACTGGCCCTACGATTCGTGGACCTCTATGACACAGCCTCCCGCCGCATTATCCTTTGATAAACCACCCGTGCTTGTAGCCATCATTTTTTTCACCGCCTTAGAGTCTTTCCTGATCCCTTTAGCTTGTTCGCTTCGCATATAGGCCCCCTTAATTCTGTATTCTATCAAACTTCTTCACCTTATTTCTCATGTTATCCTTGTTTGTGTCCCATTGGATTATACCCGCTACCTTGTTTCCACTTGGATCTGAATATCCGCGTCTTGAGTTAGCCTGTCTATTTTCTCTTCTCTTGCATTTCATAGCCGCATTTGGATTTCATGAATTTTTAAATGCGACGTCTTGCGACGCGTTGCCTTATTCTCTCCTTCGATTGATGCGACTCACTCCTACTCCGTTGAAGTGATGCCATTTATAAAAAGCGTATTATCATCATTCAGTTGCTGCATATGCATCTACCCGACCTATCAACGCCCCTGTGAACTCGGCAGTCATAAAAGCCGGTAAAAAGAAAGCCGCCTGTCAACTCTAATAATCACACGTCACTGTTCCCGACAAGCGCGGATGGGCCATCACCTAAGGGCGAGTCCTCAAGCTGAGACTGTCCCCCTTTAGCTTTAGTCTTAGCTTCAATAGATCCGACCGGTTGCATCTTTCCAACGACATTGACCATGTACCAATGGCATAGATCTCGCGTTGCAATGGTATCTTCCAGAGCATCGTGACTACCAATTTGAATCTCCCGGCCTAGCCGATCACGGGCGAGAGCCTTGAGGGTCAGGCTGCCTGATCTCCGCTGCTCGGGCTTCTTCTCAGGCTTCGTCCCATCTAGGGTGGCACCACCATCCTCGTTCCCGGGCTCTTCATCAACCTTCCCAACCTTGACAGTGTCGATGCGGCAAGTCTCGGCTATGTTCTGCTCAAGTATCAGGGTGTCTACGACCTTCTTGTGGATCAGCCTCATCGATGAGAGATCCTGATGCAGCGCGTGGCCAATAATGATAGTGTCCGGACCGACGTATGAGTAGAGCGCGTTCCTTGCCTCGTCTCTCCCGCGGAAACATTTTCCCGTGCGTTTTGCGAGCTCCAGGTCGGAATACCGAACGCCAGAAAATGGCGTGTTATAGTGGAGCATGCGCACCTTTGGGAAGACAAGCTGATTGATGAGAACTTGGCCTGAAAAGTAGTCTACCACAGCGAGACTAATCAGCTCGGAGTCGCCGGTTGCGGAAACGCCAAACTCGCAGTCCAAGGTAACGGCGTGGCGAAGCTGCGATAGCCGCCAAGGGCTTAAGGTGGGTGTTGGGTAGTAGTGCCACTGTGCAAGTAGCCACTGGATAGAATGGTCGGATGGCTGGTGTTGTTCGGCGGCCTGGCAAGGCCTGGAAAACTGAGAGTGGCCATTGCAGCAAGTCCAGTTCTAGGGCAGGGTGGGAAGAAAGAAGGGAAGAGCGTTAGCTTGGGTGGTTCGGCTAGGAAGAGGGTTTCTTAGGCATGAGCATACCCCGCGAACAATCTGTCCATCGTGGAAACGGCACGCCTTGGCACCTTCTTTCTTCGGTGTCTTGGGCGGCGGGGAGGTGTGAGAGTCAACACAGCTGTATATGACGTGTAAGTTAGGCTAGTAGCGGATGTCTATTTCTCTAAAAGAATAGAAGGGTAGTTTAGACATACCGGGCTGCGAGGGCACAAGTAACGAGTTGAGCGAGGCGATGGCGGGATCAAGGGAGGTGGGGTCTGACGAGGCCCCGTTCTTCATGGCAGCTTTTGCGGCGTCTACTGTGTCCTTGAGTAGCTGATGCTTCTTATTCTTATTCTTAAACTTTTCCTTTCCTTTTCCTTGGTGTTTAAATAGAGCTAGGGAGATGCCAGTCAGCCAACCACGAGCCAGACATAAAGGAGTAGAGCACGAACAGCGGAAGCACCGAGCACAACGCCTCTTCCTCTCGACCTCGGACAATTTCAGAGGCTCGACTACATAGCCGCCTTGAGTCAATACTTCACAGTCGTGAACCAGTTCAGTGAGTTGCTGTAGATAGCTTTCGGAGAATGGAATAGGCACAACCACCACTTGTGTCGGCGCGGCCATGGCGATGGTGGTGCGAGCAAGCGTTCGGAATGGACGACCAGCTCGGAGTCGCTCAATTAAGAAAGTCCCAGTGCGATATCAGATGTTAGGTAGGGCCCCAAGCCCAATTCAAACCAGAAGTGAAAAAGAAGAAGCCGCTAAATTCCGAGTGACGCCAGGGTATAGTAGTTGAGGAGCGATAGATGGAGGCAAGAAGGGAGGATCAGGGTGCAACGGGCAGAGAGTGTGAAGGGGGGCTATGGCTCCCCAAACCGAGGGATAGCCAGGTCCGTTCCTTCCCAAATACAACTTCCGGTAGACTAGCGATTCACATGGTTTGCGAGCCGGATCAGACAGTTAGTTTGCTTGTCCAGTAAGGAGCGACCGATGGTGAGTCTTATTCTTCTTGAAGCAAACCAGGGTCGTTGACCGGTGGAGAAGCTGAGCCAAATTGACTGGATGAGGGAAACGCAAGGCGCACGGCGGGCGGCCACGCTTGCTGCCTGGGTTCCCGGCGACAGCTGTTAGCGTCTGTCCTGGGAAACGGGCCAGCCCGTGAGACCATGTTCGTGCGTGTAAGTGCGATTGAGAACATGCCCGCACTCCCAGATATACTATGGGCAGGTGTGCAGACAGTTCCCCATTCAGATTTAGCAGATTGGAGAAAATATTGATTTGAGAGATTGTTTTAATATTGAAAACTAGATTAATTCTAATTTATTATGCAGTATTGTATGGCTTCAAACATCTTTGTAAGAGGGAAGCATGGATCTAGAACTAAATGACTGAGGGCCGGTCGAAATCCAGGCGTGCCGTGATTCGAGAATCAGAGCGAAATGCGCCAGAGAAAAGGAGGGCCATTATAAACAGATGACAGGAAATCTAATAAATGCAGAATGCTACCGTGCTATTTCCTCCGTGATATTCCCCGATGCTCCGATTGATGCATAGATGACGAGATTAAAAGAGAGGAGAAACGAGGTCCGGGAGGAGTGGATAATGAGAGAGTAATGGAAACGTAATGAGGCGGCTGTCAAGATTCTCCGTGGAGAAAACCCTTAGATACCAGCGTTGGGCTGGGGGTTGGGGATGCGGCATCCGCCCTGAATGTATGGCTGAGAAACACCGGGGCCGGCGTTGGTAGCGAGCTCGCGGAATGCGGAGAGGGTCTTGGGGGAGTTGACGTTCTGGTTGATGGAACCGACCATGCCCTTGGAGCAGTGGTCACCCTGGCTGCAGTAGAACCAGATGGGCTTGGTGTCCTCGACGACGATCTGGAAGACCTCGTCGCTCTGGCCCTGGGAGACGGGGAAGAAGCCGGAGAAGAAGGAGTCCTCATCCTGGGGCACGCAGGGCTTCTCAAAGGAAGCCTGGACGACGGAGTGGTTGGCGGGCAGGTAGTGGAACTCGACCAAGTCGCCAACCTTAGCAAAGATGTTGTTGGGCTCAAAGTTGAGACCGGCGCGGCCGACGGCGACAGTGTGGGTGACGCCGGTAAACTCGGTGCGGGAAGCAATGTCCGCTGTGGTCTTGGTGGGGGCAGCCGAGCCGAGAGCGGCGGCGGTGGCGAGGATGGTGACGATCTTGGAGAACATTTTTGAGGTTATTTGTTTGTCTTTGAAAAAGAAGAAGTGGTGGATGTTTGTTCGTTGAGGGAGATGAAGACGTTGATTGTAGCGAAAGCTAAGATGTAATAGTGTGTGATTAAGTGTGAAAGCTGGTAAGAGGATTACTATTGATGATGATGATGAATGATACGAAAAAAGAAACAACCATAACCTGGAGGGCAGCCTTCTCTTAAATATTTCGTAAAATTTGAGCCATCACGATAATTCCGTCGATAAGCCTCATCTCATCGCTGAGACCTCCAAGACCCGAGCGGCGCAGCCTCGAATGTGAGCGTGGAATGTGCAAGCCCATCACTGTGGATTGCGTTACCCGAGCAGTCGGGAGCAGGTGTGGAGCCTGCGGAAGATCCAAGTTTAGAAACAAGCGGGAGCACAAAGCAAACACAATCACCGGGGCTTTTCGAAGCCGGCGCGTTGGTGCCACCACATGGCGCCCTCGAGGGCAAGAGCCAGCACTGCCTAATGGGAGAGGTTGGATGGAACACAGTGCACATGTGGTATTAGGCCCGGAATGAGCAACCACCGACCTTCTCCGCCTCCTTCGAAGCTCCCAATTTAGCAGCCCAGTGCTAAATCCATCCTTTCGGGTCTGACATTTGCCGGGCACAGCCCCAGCTTTTAGGCGCGCGAGCTTCTACCCAACGGCGGGGCTGTGCACTGTGCCGCTGTCGCTGTGCTATCGCGCTTACTTCAATGTTACTTTCCGGTAGCGCTGAGCTAAGCTCATCCCCGTTCACCGAATAAACAATATTATCAATATGGACGAGGGAATGGATCCATCCTGGGGATCAATATGGATCTCTTCAGTGTAACTGCACAACCCTGGATGTGGAGGCGAAGGCATTTATCATGACAAAAACACTAGTACGGCAGAAGTGTACCAGGGTAACGGCGCCGCCGTATGCTGATCTCCTTGGAGTTCTCGGTTCGGGACCTTAATGATCTGCTTTCGCAGAGGTTCATTCACTTATGCTACTCTGTGGGGATAGCAGTAGCGAGATCTTCACCGTTCTATGACAGCACATGCCTCGGTGAAATCGCCCCACTTTGAGGCACTAGGTCTGGCCACATCCAGTTCTGCTCTTGCATCTGAAAGATGCAGCGGTGGACCTCATGGTATGCATTTGAAGGGTCCAAGCAGCAGGGGGCTAGCTTTGAACCCCTGTCAGCATTCCCAAGATGGACCTTGGGTGTAGGAATCACCCCAAAATAAACAAGCTCGGGATTCCGGCGCAAGGTTGGGGAATATGCGAACTCGAGCGTACTGTGCCCTCCACTACTCCCTCGAGAAGTGAATCTTCCATTTTCTGATTAGTTATTTTTGACTCTCTAGTCAACGGAAGCCCAAGATTCGAAGGATTGTTTACCAGGCTTTGTGGGTGGAGATTGGATGACAAAAAGGAAGAGAGGAGCTGGCCTCGTACAACCCCCGGTCTTCCACCTTGATAATGCGCCTCGTTTAAACCTACATCCCGGGTAGATCGTTTCCGAGCTACCGGTAAGTCGGTGCCAACTTGGATGTAGGTCCTTCAACATCAAAATCTTCCGGGTGCTCGAATGCTGCAGAGCCCCATCCCGACTCTAGCTCCGCCCCGGCCAATGATGAGGCAGCACAGTCAGGTCATAAAACTAATCGAAGCCACCCTACCACAGTGCCGGGAGGATGAGAGCGTGAGAGATCCAGCCCTTTAAAAGTTGGTTCGCAGCGGCGGTCTCGGGAGCACTGGAAGCTGCTAGCAGGTAAATCAGAAGCCTTGGTATAAGTGGGTATCCATCGTATCGGAGGAGTAGATACGCCGGTATATCCTTGACGGAGGATCATATTTTTGTCCAATCCTCCACTTCCAATCTCCGCGGAGATGGATGAAATGTATCTGCTCCAAAGAGTGAAAGAAACGGCCTGGCGATCGAAAGAAACAAAGCTGCCAGCCGACCTCAATGTGATCTGACCCTTCTGAGTTGACCTCTGCTGCTCCCAAAGATCAATTGATGTACCACTGTGAATCACGTGAGGACGAGTTTGCCCGCAAACGTGGGGCGTCGCATAGCGTTGGCCAGGCCATGTTCCAGGTTCCCCTCCTCAGTGGCAGGGGAAGTTCGCGGGGCGGATTCCCGCCCCGCCATCCAGGCTGCCAACTTGTATTAATACTTGAAGCACAGAGCGGACGAGGAAAGCTAGACATACCACCCAAATGGCCGACCCAATCTGAAGAGCTCCCAGCCCAACCCTTGATTCCTTCCCAACCCTTTCACGCGATCCATATTGTTCCTCCTATTCTCCCCACGGATCCCCGGCCGGATCCATAGCCTTAGTTCGCGATGCAGTCAGGAATCTCAGGTAAGGACCCAGCTCATCCTGCTTGGACGTGTGCCACGACGGGGGAGGGTTCGACAAACCGCTAATGACCCATCCTTCCCTTGATAGCTTCCAAGGAGCTCGTCTCCCAGTTCAACACCCTCCTATCGTCCGACTCCTATTTTGGGCTCCTCATCAACATCGCCAATGAAACCCTCAATCCTCTGGAGCTCCTCAACTCCACGTCATCCGACTTCGCCTCCAATCTGTCCTCGCTGACCCCCACCTCGACCCCAAGCAACCTCTCTACATCCTCCTGCGCCGCTACCCCACCTCGCCGCGTCTCGTCGCCGTCACCTACATCCCCGACACCGCCCACGTCCGTCTCAAGACCCTCTTCGCATCCACCCGCCTCACCTTGACCCGTGAGCTGGGCTCGAGCACTTTCGGGAAACCATCTTCGCCACCACCGCCGCCGAGCTCACCCCGGAGGGCTTCAGGAAGCACGATGCCCATACCAAGCTGGAGGCGCCCCTTACCGAAGAAGAGCAGAGCCTCGGCGCCGTCAAGAGGGCTGAGATGGAGGCCGGCCTAGGCAGCGGGAAGAAGGAGATTCACCTCAGCAAGCACTTTGCCATGCCAGTCAAGCAGGATGCGCTGGACGCTATCTCTGACCTCGGCAACGGAGGACGCACCGTCGTCATGCTGGTAAGTCGCATCAAGACGCAGAAACGGACTCTGCTGCATGAACCCCCTCCGGGCTTCCCCGATCGATTTTCAATACATGTACTGACGAGGGTGCGGGTGATTGTTAGAAAATCAACCCCGAGACGGAGAACGTCGAGCTCATTCCCGAAAGCCCAAGCCCGAGTTCCATCTCGGAATTGACACAAGCCATTTCGGATAAGGAGCCCCGCTTCACCTTCTACCGCTTCACCCACAACCACAACGGAGCCGAGTCAAGCCCAATCTTATTCTTCTACACTTGCCCTGCTACTGCGGGCGCGCGGTCAATCAAGAGCCGCATGCTCTACCCGCTGATGAAGAGGGCCGTCCTCGAGGTGGCCACATCCAGCTGCGGAATCGAACTTGAGAAGAAGTTCGAAGTGGAGGAGCCTAGTGAGCTCACTGACGAGACCGTACTGGCCGAGTTGCATCCTGTAGCCCAGGTCAGGCAAGGGTTCAGCAGGCCTAAGCGTCCCGGCAGGTAAACGGACAGACAACTCACGACAACGGCAGATGAGGGGTGGATGCCTTTCTGTTAGCTGTCCTCCCTGTGAGCTGTCACAAGGAGAGCGGGATAGGTGAGATGAGAGGGTGGTCAAAAACGGGCTGGCAAGGATAAATCCTTGGCATCAATGTATGTAGGGGCGGGAAGCTGCCGAGTGCTAGAGGTGTGTTCGGAGCCAGCCGCCAGCTTCCCGTCTGCCCTGCGGGCTAGGGCGATTCTTTAAGCACAGGCATACGAGTTTTACAATACGCATTTCTGGGCCTATCTTCTAAACCCATCCTTTTTTGTTTTGGCTAACCTAAATTCCATTGTGCAATGCCATGCAAGGAAGGCTCTGAAAAGGGATATATATGGACACAAATGAAAGGGGGAAAAAAAAACACAGAATACCACCGAGACAAAGACTAGAAGGAGTGCAGGACCCCGGAAACATTTCGCAGGGCACCCCTTCTCTATGCGCTTTTCTTCCTTTTTTCTCTCTCTACTTCCCTTTGCCCGTTCCCTACAGTATCCCGAATTCCGCGCGAGAAAATGCTTTAAAGAGAATAAAAAAATGCTTTGCTTCCCGACTGTGACAGGAGGGGCTATCCCCATCCACTTTATATTGTCTCATGCCTAGAGATTGTTTCGAAAAGAAACCTGCCGTTGACTTTGGATTGTCGTGTTCCCTCATCACGGGTATCGCGTGATGCTGGGTGATGAATAAAAGGGTAAAATGAAGTACGTCGAACAGACGGTGCCGAGGGTATGTACTGATGGAAATTTATGTATATGTACCTGAGGAGGGAGACGAAAATAGACGTTTATTCCTCATAGGCGTCGCCGAGGAGAGAGGCCTTTGGGTCTTCTCAATCTTATCCCTCAGGTACTCATACACGGTGAAAGTGACGGCCTGGCCGGGAGCGACACGCATAATTCGGGGGTGATGCCCTTGTAGAAAGCGTGGAAACCTTCTTGCCTGGATTGCGCGAGAAAAAGAAAACGGTCAGCACGTGCTCCAAACAAGCCGGTGATTGGGCAATTTGGCGCAATTTCCAAATCAAACGCGGGCGGGCTGGCGGGGGAGGAAGCATGGGGTTAATACTCACTTGAACATCTCGGCGGAGATGGCGGTGATTCTCTGCCAGGCGCTGACGCCGGGCTGCGCGGCCTTCCTCTGCAGCCTAGTCTTGATGGTGTCGATAGGCGCGTTGGAGAGGGGACCCATGGCACCAGAAACGAGACCGATGAGGGTGGTCTGCCAGCCGGGGAGGTTCTGGCCAACGTACTCGGGCTGCCACTTGTACAGGTAGTCCTTGAAGTAAGAGTAGGCGGTAAAGTTGACGGCCTGGTTGGAACCCTGGCGAAGAGCAGTCAGGGACACGCCGCGGTAGAGGGCGCCGAATCCTTCCTCCTTGACGACGGTGTAGAGGGCGTGGGCGGCGTTTCGGTACTTGGGAACATCGAGGGGATCGGACATGGAGTGGTTCTGGGCCTGGAGGCGAATCTTGATAACCTCCATGGGGGTGACGACGGCGACGGCTTCGGTGACACCAGCGGCAAGACCAGCTGTTTAAAGGGAGAGATTGATTAGTTCCATCGTGCCCGAGATTGGGCTGGGGTGGGGTGGGGTATACAGGAGACACGGGAGGCGAGGGAAGAGTGGCTCAGGGAGAGAGGGAAAACATACCAAAGAAGGTGGCCTTTCCGCTAACCCTACCAGTCTCCTTGTCGGCGAGGAACTGCTTATAGGCTTCGAAACTGGTAAATCGAATGGCCATCTTGGGGACGATACCGGTCAAGACAGCACCGAGACCCTTATAGAGACCGAGAGGAGACTCCTTCTTCACGATGCTGACACCGGTGTTGATGAAGCCCATCCTGGGCTCACCGGGGCGCGCGCCCTCTTGGAAAGCTGCATGCGGACCTTGATGGTATCTGTGATTCTTTTTGTTAGTGAAACGAAGGATGTGGACTTGCGCCTAGCGCTCAATGGCAGGGGGCGCGGCGAAGACAACTTACCGAGGGGATGGCACACAAGGGCCTCCATCATACCGGCACCACCACCAGCTAAAAGGGAGTTCGTTAGCTATTAGATCCATCGTAGGGGAACAAGTGCGCTCCAAGCAGGAGCAGCAAAATGGGATCCTAAAAACATACCAACCAAGTTGGTAGCGGCGCTGGGCGGCGTCTTGCCGTTGTTGGCGGATTTCGAAGCCATCGCGGGGGTATGATTGTGTTGTGTAGGCGTGAGCTCGGAGGAGGTGGAAGGACGAGGCGGAAGGAGAGGACAGGTCAAGAACTGAAAAGGGATTGCTCTTGAATTCTTGCTGGTTGAAGTTTAAAAGGGTTCCGCTTCGTCGGACCTCTTGTTTGTGGAAAGGAGGGGGTGGGTGACTGATTGTGTGTTGCTGTATCGGGCGATCACAAGCCGATTGATTTACACGGGCTCCGGAGCAAAGGGAATTCTCGGTGTTGCTGGCCCGCGGTTAAGGACGATGACGAAATGCACAAAGTGTATAATCCACTTTTCGCGAAGAATCGATTTCACAACGCAGAGAACTTCTAGAGAAGATCAAGAAGACACACAAAAGGATCAGATAAGACAAGTCAATCCACCTCGAGGAGAAATAAAGAAGGGGAAGAAGAAGGGAAGCGAAAGGGCAAAGGGGACGACGAAGAAGGCCCGGGGGAGGGGACCAAGTATATGGGGTGTAGGAGAAGATGGCGGCCTTTTTTTTTTTTTTTTTTTGGCTTAGAGGAAAAAAAGAAAGGGCTTCTGAAGCTTGAAGATCGCGAGGTGAACTACCGGCTTCACCTCTCTAACCATGCTGCTACAAGCGTAAGGGTCCGGCTCCGCATCGGAGAAGCTCGAAAATCGATTTTTTATTTTTTTATCCTCGGCGCGACTCGCTCTGACCTGACTCCTCCACATTTTTTCTTCTTTTGGTCCACGTTCAGCGTGCTCCTTCAGACCCCAACCGCCTGCGCCTGTGACTACAAACACGCTAATAAAACTACTTGGTAGACTTGAGCCCCTCCCCGGGGGTCACAATGGATCGAGTGGTGATGGGGGAGAAGCAACCTCGGAGAGACTTGTACCAGGGACCCGTAGGTGGGCTGGGAGCGAGGTGGGCGGTCTTTGGATAACTCTCGGCCTTGTTCGTACTAAGTACGGAGCTCGGCTTGATGGGAGCACGTTTGACATTCTGGGAAGGGGAAGTGGAGGGGGGGGGAGGGGGGCGTGTAAGTTTTCCATGCTCCCTTCCCGTTTGTTTTCTTTGCTGTGTGTCAGCCTCTACGGGTACATTGTACCGAGAGCAGCTGCGATGGATCACTTCATCCCTTTTGTGAGAAAGCTGCCCCTCCGAAGAGGGAGGAGGGGCTAGACCCGAGTTGGACGGTCAAGGGAAATGGCAAAGGTGGAGGAGTGGGACAAGGAACACGGAAAGGGCAAGGGAAAACAAAGCTAAAGAAGAAACACAAAACGGAAAAAGGAAAAAGATGGAGAGTCCAAGTAAAACGGGACGGGGAAATGGAAGCCGGTGTATAAGACCCCAGATACTCAGCAAAGCTCGGAAAACGCTGCTCTATGGTTGAGGAAACGGGAATTGACCTTGAACATTGAAGAATTCCTTGACAAGCGCAGCCGCCCATCCCTCGGCCCAAGCCAAACCAGTGCAGTGCGGCTCCGCGGGTTAATATTTGCGAGCGGACTGCTCGGCCTAGGAAGGAAAGAGCGCTGAAAACGCATCAATCTAGACACAGACGGCAAAGGAATCAAGAAAGCAGATCAGCTTTCCTTTCGAACAAAGCAGGCAGCACTTCTAACATTGCGCGGTGATGGAAACCTCCCCGTAGGGCTTGCGAGAGAAGTTGCCGGACTAACATCGGGGCACGGGCGCGGTAATGCGATCAATCGACGGCTTCTTGTTATATCGTCCGAGTGACAAAGCGGATTTACGGTTCTAGATCTGGGGGCGAGACTGACAGTTTGCGCCGTTTTATCATCTTTTGATTTTTTTCTTTCTGTTTTCCTTGCGCTTCACCTGAATGATCAAATGGCAATAATACATCTGTTGCCCTCGAGAAGAAATAGAGGATGCACGCTAATCTCCCAAGCGGCTAAGTTCTTTTTTCTTTTCTGCTTTGCCAGTCGTCGCCGTGATCTCACCTGACCCGTGACCGACGGAGCTCTAGACAAATGAGGCAAGGGGAAAAAAAGGTAAGTGGCTGTCATCAAGACCTCATCTCAAACTGATTCTACTCGTGACCTCGGTGAAGCGGACACGAGCCAGAGGCGAAACATGTGCGTTCCACGGTCCCTCCACGTTTCCGCAAGCAACTTTGACGTTGTAGAGCGTCAGTTCCCTCCCCGGCTCTGGGGGAAAAGGGAAGGGGAAACGTCATTAGGTCACTTGATAATCCCGACAATTCGACGAGATTTGCCTGCGCCAAGGGGGAGGTTAAACTATCCCGATGTATTGATGGTAGGCTAGGTACCTCCTGACATCAAGGACGGACCCGCTAGGTGGTGCGGAAGAACCAAAAAAGAAAAAAAGAATGAAAAAGAATGAAAAACAAAGGAAAAAGGGCGGGAAGAACCTCGCATACTTCTTCAATACACTCCAGCTGCAATACTCACTCTGGCTGGTCCACCCCACGAAATAAGAAGCGCTGAGAGCCAATACCCAAGCGGAAATATGTTGTTCTCTCGAGGCCGCCGTCAATGATCCCATCAAGGTCGTACCCCATGCGTTGGCGCATCGCCTCGCCTCGGCTTCCCCTCCCTCCCTTTTACAGTCACACCATCCTGCCCTTTGCATCTGCGAACCGTCTTCTCCCAATCTTCTTCACAAGCCCGCAATGTCCCTCGCCTCCCCCACACGAGCCTTGATTGTTCCTTGCACGGCCGTTTCGAATAGTGACGGGATTAATCACACACACACACACACACACACACACACACACCACCCTTCTCCCCCAGCCCACCTTGTCTTATCCCCGCGTGCAGGGTCTCGGTCCCCACGAAAACATCTAGGAAGCGCTTCCTAGGATGACTAGGGGTTTCTCCAACTTTCTCCAACTGACCTGGATAGTCAAAAAACAGGTAAGCGGGTTTCTCCGCTCGGATTCCGAAGGGGTATCTAGTTCCTGCTCACTTATGTCCCCGAGGAACTCCAGCGTCTGAGCTGAGTGTTCCTTGGACAAGGTCTCCGACATCGTTGTTGCGGCCTTCTCTTCACATTCAAAATCCAGTGCCTCGCGATTCTTGCCGAATACCACGATATCCCTTCTCCTTGGCAAAATGCCCTGGCAGCGAGGACTCGCTGACTCGTCGCAAATCAAGGCCATGATGCTACTACAGTGATTAAACCCCTACCATATTTTTATCCTCGTTTTCTTCCTTCCATTTTACTATTTCCTTTCTTTTCACTCCTTTCCATCATCGTGTTTCTTCCTCTCGTTCTTGCCACACGCCCTCTTGCCCTTTCAGACACACCCTCGCTTTGCCGAATAGGGACCCGAGCTTGTGATTTTGCGGGGTGTGGTGTCGTTGCGCCGACAAATCGGAGGCCAGGACACTATTAGATAATCTGTCGAACGATTCGTCGACGCCTTGGACCGTGAGGCTCTATGGAGTTCGTCACCCTCTCGGTCTTGACACTGCTCGCAACATTACGGAATTTTTGCAAAGAAAAAAACCGATAATATTGGTGCATTCTATTCGGGATGCGAAATTGTGGTACATGATCACGTTCCACCACCTTTCAAAGTACAAGCATATTAGATCCCTTCAAGTAATTTTACAATGCCCGGCTCTGCGATGGAGCTGTGTGGAGTGTGTAGTTCTCTGGGCAAATCATTCCTTTTCGTAGCCCACCCAGCGGCGATGTGGGGCCTTTGTCCCCGTTTGCCGGGCGTTTGCCGAGGCATTGATGACCGAACCCGCACCAGTCAGGATGGGCCATGGGCGAACTTGGGCAGCCAGCTCTAGCTCTTGCCCGCTTTTGCCCAGAACAAACTGGCGTTTCCCAAGGACCGACAGGACTGAGTCAGAAGACCATCGATGGCGCCATCACCAATTGAATGGTTTGCCCATGAAGGTCCCAATCAGCCGTGACTCCAAATACAGTCACGAACTGAGCACTATTGGCTTCACAACTTCCTCGGAGCTGTCACAATTTGAGCACTTCGTTTGTCAGCATCCCCAGCGCCAATCAAACAACATTCACACCACTGGCCCCAACCTTGAATAGGCACACAAGCACGCGCAGAGATGCCAGAAACGGGAGAAAATAGTCAATATGATAATGGGCCATTCGAGGCATCGAGTTCATTCGTTCTATCTTGTCTAGTCATGTGAGATCAAGAGAGAGGGCGCCAAGAAATAAAAGATAGACTCCCAACGCACTATGTTCTCACCGAGGAACGAGACAATGGAACTAAGGGAAGAAAGAAAAAGACAGAATCGAAAAGAAAGGGGGATAGAACGATGAGAAAAGAGTTCGTTCTATATCCCGAGTTTAAATTTTCGTAACAAAAACTCCGTCCCATGGTTTTTGTCTTCACATTGATGGCAGCCAACATGTTTTGAACGAGAAAACGTATGAAAGGGTATCCTCCAACTCCAACCCGAAGCCAAAAGAATAAAAGACGAAGAAGAAAAAGAGAAAAAAAGAAAAAAAGAAGAAAAAAGAGAATACGGTCCAACTCCACATGTCCTTGAAGACGTCTAAAACAGTCTGTAACTTGTAGCGCCGCCAAAGGGAAAAAGAAAGGGGTGGAGGAGGGATAAAAGAGGTGGTTGTTAAACAGGTAGAAGCGAGCTGAGCCCGCTATCATCTCAAGTCGTTTCGTCAATGACTGAGGGAATAAAGTTATTTGTAAGAATAGAAGGTGAGGGAACCCTTGCGTGAGTGAGCTAGGCTGGCGTGCCATACTCTTCGAGGTTGGATGCGTTGCCCTCAAAGATGTAGATTCGAATCTCGCCATCCTCACTTGCGCTCGCCATACGACTGTCGCTTAGACCGACGCAGGTGACGGGGCCGGCGTGACCGGTAAAGGTCCTCTCGCATTTTCCAGATCGGGCATCCCATATCTTGATGCTCGAGTCGTTGGCACCGGAGACAAATCGAAGCGTGTCACCGGCGAGGCCCCAAATCCCCTCGAGATGCCCAAACATGGTTCTGATGCATCTTCCCGTGGCGATCTCCCACAGTCGGATGTTGTTATCGTGGCCGGCGGAGAGCATGTACCGCGGGGGAGCGCTCGGCCTGGTTCCTCCTCGAACAAGGGACCAAATGCTGCGCGATCATCTTTGACTGGTGTGCCGTCGCGATGGTAATGGTTATCGTGGTGGTGTCCATGGTAGGCCAAGGATGACGTCGGCGTGCCGCCTCTGCCACTAGATACGGACGCATTGTCCGCCTCGCCAGATTCTTCGTCGGGCTCAAAGTCATCGGGAAGTAGGACAAGCTGCTGAACCTGGCCGAGATGTCCGGTGTAGGTCCTGATGCACTGCTTCGAGTCCATGTCCCACATCTTGATGGTGCAATCATCCGAGACGGAGAAGACGGTGCGGGACGGCAGGTCCATCCGCACTTCGTTCACCCAGTCCTCGTGACCGCGGAAGCTCCACGTCTGGCGCGTCTCAAAGTTGAACACTTTGACTGTCCTATCGATGGAGCCTGATGCAAGCCATTTGCCCTCAAAGTGGACGGAGATGACGCCGGCGCTGTGGCACTGAAGCGTGTTGACGCACTCGCCAGTCTGCCAGTTCCAGATCTTGATAGTGTTGTCGAAGCTGCCGCTGATGAGCTTGTTATCATCGAACTGCAACGCGCGCACCGCGCCAGTGTGGCCCCGGAGGGTCCGTAGTTCCTCGCCCGTGGCAATGTTCCAGATCTTGATGGTCGAGTCATATGAACCGGTCGCAAGGATGTTATCGTCGAACTGCAGGCAGAGGATGCCGTTGGTATGGCCAGTGAATGTCTTGATGGCACAACGGCCGTACTTCCAGTTCCATCCGATCTTGAACCGATCGCGATAGACATCCTTGAAGGGCCTAAATTTGGGCTGCGTCTCGACGACGGCTGTGGATGACGACCCCTCGGAAGAGTCGTCTACACGTTGCCTCTTTGCCGGGCGGTCGGCGTGGTCAGCGCTATCTTCCGTCTCAATCGTCGTCCGAATGCTATTCGCAAGTGTTCGCTGTCGGGTCCAATCTCGCAGCCGCTTTCGTTCGAGCAGGGGCAGGCCCCAGCCGCAGGCGGTGCATTTTCTGTCGATGTGCTGCTTGCACATGCGGTGCCAAACGACGTCATCGTCGGCCAACCCACGCCAGCGGCGGCTGACCTGGGCGGCTTTGCAGAGCGAGGCCGTATCGAGGTAGCAGAGAATCTTGAAGGAGATCTCAGGGGGCAGGGCGGTCAGGAAATCAATTTTGAGCTGCTCATGCACCTCACGAGCAACGGTGGACAGCTGCGGGAAGCAACATTGTGTAATTATTCCTTGAAGCATGAGGTTGCGATGCTTGGAAGGTGACGCAGAGAAGAGAGACCAAAAGTTAGAAATGGCTTCTCGATCGCTCGAGGGAAGGGTGTCGAGTTCCTATATGGATCGGAGTTTGTTAACGTGGGGTCCCACAGCCCTACCAGGGCACCATGACATGTCTTGACAGGATCAACAAGGACATGAGGCGACGACGCCCCAACACCACACAGTGGCAAGGTAAAATAACAGAAAACGGGCAGGGGTGCGATGCGAGATAGGAAAAAAAGAAAGGAAAGAGACAGTCGAAGCTTACCCTCTGAATCATGGCCATCTTGGTTTCGTCGGCTACCTTCCGGCATTTTGCGTCGGGTTGGTGTCGGTAGCAGAATTTAGTAGTCTTGGACTGGTCGAGAGAGACTTCCATGGACGACGAGGTCTGGAGGTGTTGTGATTTTCCGAGGGCTGTTGGTATATGATCCCTGAGGAAAGGCGTGACGGCCTTGCCCACGAGCTCGGGGGCCACGTTTGATAGTCGCGATGAGGATGGATGTTGTCGTCGACGACGGTCGCAGTTGTCTCGAGATGGTTGGTCGACAGCGGAGGGCATGATGGAGAGTGGCGAGGGATATGGAGGAGGAGACGGTGTCGTCTGTCGGGAGACCATGATGGGCGAGGCTCTCGAGTTGATATGGGAAATGGGGGAAGGGGGGCCTTCTAGAAGTAACGGAAGGGCGGAGGAATTACGGCAGGGTGCAGAGGATAGGGGGAAGGAACTGCTGCTGCTGGCCCAGCCTTACAGCTAGGAACAATGATGACAGTCAAAGGTGGTTTGTTTAGGTCAGATTCTCGCAACCTAGAGGGGCGATGTTGCCATTCCCTATGGCGAAAAGTCAAATCATTTCAAAGCGCACAGCCAGCGAGACAGGATGGTCGGGGCCAGCAAGGTCCCCGAGCGAGTGAGTGATGGCGTGCGACCTGGCTGGGGAGGAGCCAAGGAAACCGTCTCGGGAGGCGAGGGAAGGAAAAAAGAGTAGTACCCTGGGCCTATGGGTACAAGTGTGTTTCGTGCTGGTCTCGCCCGGAGGAATAAAAGACGAAGCAAAAAGCCTGAAGGAATGGCGTGTGCGCGTTGTGTATCAAAAAAGGTACACGAAGTGCTGTTGAGCAAACCAGCACAGCAAAGCACGCAATTTTTGTCAAGGGAGAGGCGGGCTGCGTGCGATTGGGACGGTTTGGATGTCACAACGGCCCGGGGCGGGTTAAAGTCGCTGGACGTCTTGCTTTAAGCGTCGAAAAACTTTTGCTGGCCAAAGGCTGTCTGTCTCGTTGGTGCCTCGCTCCCGTTTTTTCGTCTTCTTCACTTCTCGATTTCAAATTCTAGTTGCCACCGGCGGAGCCACTTTTCGAGTATGGATTCTGTTTGGGAACTGGAAGGCGGCGAAAAACACAAAAAGATGGGGTAACGATGGGGTACGAGATGGCGCGACGAACTAAAATGTGTAGTGCTCTGCGCATGTGAGGAATGAATATCGAAAGGGAAGAGAGCTCGAGGCGAGATCAAAGAGGGGCGGGCCTTCTTCGCCAAAGACTCTAGTTAATATTAGGAATTAGACTCCGCCGCCGTTTACGGATGTCGGCCTCAGACTACGGATTCGCGGACTTCTTGATGGCAACAGCAAAAGCACAGGACACACAGCACCGACAAGGGCAGCAAGGGCAGCAAGGGCAGCAAGGGCAGAGCAGAGGGGGACAAGGGATAGACAAGACACGACATGCCAAGGGACTCGAGAGTGGAGAAAGGAACCTTGTGCACGGTGAGTAATCTTTTTCAGCTTTTGGGTGCTTTGGAGGGAAAATGGCGTTATCTCGTTTTCGGTCACGGGCTCACCGCATCTGCGAGTGGGGCCAGTTGCCGACCGTGAGGAGGCGAGCTTTCACGACTGTCAAGCGAACGAAAAACTGGGGAGCTGGGCTTGGCGTCACTGTCATTGGAAAAGAAAAAGAAAAGAAACAAAAACTCTCTCATCACCCATCCATCACCTCACATGTTATGTAAGTGCCCTCCAGTGGCGATCAATGGATTGTTCATTTTCATCAAATCCAACCGTCTTCCATTGGTTTCGCTTCGGGCGGCATGCGCCAATGTGAGGAATCGAAGACCGCCGGATTGAAGATTGTGACGTGAAAGTTTTTTCATCCCTCCCTGTAATATCATTCGGTTTTCTTTTTTGGGAGGTCATGGAAAACAATAACCCTCTTTCCTTGGCCTTCTCAACAATCTCAGGTGTGATATTATCTGCGTTTGCTATCCCCCCCGCTTCCCCGTCTTATCTCGGGAGGCATGCATCCCGCAGCTGGCCGAGATATCGATTTGAATGTTTTATCTAGACCCCGGGTTCTTTCCAAGTGCCTTTATTAAGCTGATCTACGAATCAGAAGCGCCCGCGTTTTCCTCATTTCCTTCGTATCATTCTTAGGTGCTATCGCAGAAAGACAAGGGGCGATGGATGATACGGCAGGCGGTTTTATTATGCCTCTCGCCAAGGGGGATGATACCATTTGCAAAAAGAGCAACGAAAGCAAAAAGAAACGAGAAGCGACAAAAGTAGAATGGGAGAGAAAAAGGGATAAGGAAAAGACAGCCTCAACAGATTCCATGCAAGTTTGGTTCTCCCTCTGCCCTCCAAACTGACGGTGAAGCATGCAAGAGCGGTCCCGCTCTCAAGACATCATTGATGCTTGGAGTGAGGATTCCGGACTCTCGCACCGTATCCATCAATCGATCTGTTTCAGTCGTCATCTTTGAGACGCAGTGCTCGATTGCGCCATCTCGCCTCGCAGTTCCCAATGGATAGCTGTCTGCTTTTTGCTTTCTTTTTCCCCTTTCTCTCTCGGTGAGGCTACCAGCACATCCTCATGGTAGCTCTTTTGGAGGGTGGCACGAGGTGGGTCATCTCACTCGAGAATCTTCAATCTTACGTCTGCCGGCCTCGATCGTGTCGGTCGACTGCGTCTTCACCCCTTTCTTCCTTCCCTCCCCCTCGGGGAGATTCTTCCCCTTCTTCCGCCCAGACTGATAGCGCCACATAATGCTGCCGCCTTGGAAGGAGACAAAAAGAAAGAAAAAGAACATCAATCATGGCCCGTCTCCCGGTTGCGGTTGGGCTGCGCCGTGCCCAAGAGGGGGTGGCATCCGTCCAGAAAATACATACCACCCTACCGGCAGCTTCATTATTGAGGATGAGCATTGAATATATGTATGCCATCATTGCCTCATTGGCTGTGCCCATCGCAGCTAGATCCCGGCCTAGGCTCTTACTTGACCTTCATTGGAAAATCGCTTCGGTCCAACTCCTGTTGATTCACTATATGCCCGAGCGGCTTAGCCATCCATCCAATGCTGTACTTGTAGTGATAGCTCATCCCATTCAGGGCTTGAGGCAAACCGTGCTTACGCCATTGGAAGGATGAGACAACCCTCTCCGGTTCGTCACGCCATTTCCCAAGTAGACGAGGCTCGGGAGTTTGGTTTGTAGTGACTGACTGGCATTGTTTGTTTCTACATAGCCCATCTTCAGAATACAAGTAATCTCGCGGAGGGCCCGGAATGGGCGCTGGATGGAGGGTACGGAGATTAAAAAAAAAAATAGTTTGGAAGCATCCATGATTCCAAGATATTGGCCCGATTGAGCGCCATGATAGTACATCCATGTTACAGAACATAAAACAAATAAGCAGCAATGGATCCTGACAGGCTAGAACGATCTCGGCTAGAAAGGGAGGCTTCCGCCGCGCAAGGTTCCTCCTGGCGTTCTTTCCCGAAGCTCTAGCGCGTGATGTCGTCATCAACCAACGTTTTTGCCATGTCCGATCTCTCACGTACATGGAGCAGCGGTGGCCAGCCCAAACCTTAGGCCAGCAATGCAATGTGCCTCAGTTCACTACCACGGAGCGTGTCGTGTTAGTCCGTCAAAGTTCGGAGAGATCAAAAAGTCTGGATTTCAAAAGGGACAAGTGAGGCGGCACACGGGCCGACCCCAGGCAAGAAGGCCCAACGTGGCAATGCCGGTCCTTGGGTATACACACCTTTCAACTTGCTTGCCCACCTTGAGAGGCGGATACACCACCTCCTCTCCCTCGTCTCTGCCTAACTGGGCCTGCTCGGCGCGGACACTCCTGGCCTTTTCAGCCAGTTCGGGGAGGGGCACGAGGTCAAAGTCGGAGGAGAGATGCCAGAAAAAGGTGGAGGAGATGCGGACCAGAGGCCGATCCGGGTAGCTGATCTTGCGCTGGGCGATGACATCGAGGGTTCGTTCGTTGACCACGACTTCGTGGAACCCAGCCTTGACGAGACCGCCGGTGAAGTGCTCGAGCTGCTTTCCGGCTTGCACTAGAAGATAGTTTCCGGGGGATCTTGACCGCAATACGCTTGCCAGTGTTGCGGGCCCAGATGTGGAGACCGGGGTATCGAGAGCGGCCGTGGATGGTCAGGAAATTGAGGTCGGTGTGGAACCCTGCAAGTATCGTGTCTTTTTGGCCATATTTTTGCAGGTCCGAAGCGGTAGGGGCTAGGAGGTGAGGTCTAGCAAGCGGAGCAATGGGACGAATCGATGGCGTTAGCAAGCCACAAGCAGCTCTCCTGGGAAGGGATCTTATGTGGAGAGGGGGGAGCAAATGTGCAGGGATCGGACTTCACTAACCCGTACTTCCCAGCAGCGCTAAAGGTTTCGGCAGGGAGACCGAGCCCAACGGCAGCCATCTCCGCAAGTCCAGTTACTCTAAACCGAAGAAGAAAGAAAAAAATAACATGTGGTTAGCTTTATGATGAATCCCATGCCGTCACGTTGATGATGAACGGATGGCGCGGCATTATGCAAAGGCGGCGCAAGACCGGATGTTCGCGATCGAGGTCGCAAAAACGAGCAAGAAAAAAAAAGACGGCGGGACAAGAACATGACAACTCACGCGCTTTTCATGGAAGTGCCCCACTTGTTCATGACGGGCTCCCAGCGGCCCTGGATCGATGGGTCGCGAGGCACGACATTCTCGGCATTTAGGCCGGGGAACTCGGTGGTGTAGGGGGCTTCTCCGTCATCCTCCAGAAGAAGCGACACTTGGGGTCGGGCTCGTGTCCGGCGATGTCGAGCGGGCGCTCCGACTCGGCCAGTCTCTGGATCACGTCGAGGCATGGTTCGTCGACGGCGCACTTGGGCTTCTCGGTGTTCTCGAGAGTCACGCCGACCTGGAACCCGAGTTCGGGCCGCTCGTCCTCCCTGAGCCTCTCCTCGGGCTGCGCAAAGTAATCCTCCAAGAGGTCGAGGAAGGTGGTGTTGTCATCTTCGGAGACGCGCGAATCGTGCAGGACGAGGGCGCCGTAGGTGATGAGGGCCTGGGCGGCCTTTTTGCACTCGTCTTGGACGAGCGACGAGTCGATGTCCTGGTGGAGGTAGACGTCGAGGTCGATGACGGGAAGTTCCATCGGAAGGTCGTGCGGGGCAGCCATGGCGGGGTCGAAAGTTGCAGCGAGCGCGGTGGCGGGTTGGGTTCACAACGGCATGCAGGACCAGCACAGGCGGACGTCGGGGTTTGGAGGGATGGTTGCGTCCTGGTGTAAAAAGAAATGAAGCGAGAAGAGGGGAAAAGAAATTTGTTTTGGATTTCGGGCCTCAAGATCAACGGGGTCTGTCGACGCTTCGCGTGCGGCTCACTATGATAATTCGCGTCTCGTTTGCTGGCGAAAAGTGCACTTGTGCGAATTATTCTTCAACAGTCACTACGCTTTTTCAGCCGGGGAGATGAAGGGTAGAAATGGGAATGGAGAAGAAGAAAAGAAGAACAAATCCCCGCCCGCCAGACTATGGTAGATCAACGTGTTCTCGTGATGTCCCCTGGTGGGAAATAAATAGGTCGATAAAAGTTGCCACGAGATGGCCCTCATCGCGAAAGCATGTGGTCAGCCGGTCGGCCGGCTCCAGTCGGAGGGGAACCCCAGCCATCCAGGACGACTAATAAGATCGATTGGCCGCGCGCGGGCGATAACAAGTTTGGCGCGTTTTAGAAGCGATCAAATCCCATGCAGCCGACTGGAGCCGGTGCGTTGGTACCACCTTCCCCAAACCAACATTTTGAACCGGGGCTCATATCTGCATTCGGTAGCCTCGAGCGGAGCGCCTGAGCCATCTCCATCCACCAACATTGAACGCGATAGCGAAAACCGGCGCGGATGCCCACCAAATAAGATCCAATCCCCTTGCAAGGTGTCAGTAGCTGCGACTTGGCCGTGTGGACCGTCGTTGCAGGCACTTTCGAAAGCTGGGGGCCGCTCCGGAGGGGATCAATGATAAATGTTCACCATCGGCCACCTCCGACGTGAATATTGGCTCGAGATGCTCTCGACGAAATTAATCAGTAATCACGACCCGCGTGCGTGCGATGGCCTTTTGCTAGTCACATCTTGCGAAAGGAGGGGGGCCGATCGGAATCCTTTTTTAACCTCTTGTAGGCCTCGACGCCGCGATCAATGCCCACGTTTTACCTGGCCGGACTTTTGAAATTATACGCCAAGAAACGCTCGAGAACGATAACAATGCAAGATGGACCCATCTCTCCAGGAACTCATCTCATTTCACATGTCGACTATGATTCTTCCGTCAAACAGCGGCCCAGGCTAAGGACGAGATAGTAGATGGATCTATCTGATGCCCAGCCGGGGCTTTTTGTGGAGTTGACGCCGCTACCAACGGCCGAAAAGCAAGAGTCTAGGAAGGCATGGGCAGCAGCAGGCTTTTCTTCTCCATTTTCCCTTTCGTTTTTTTCCTGAGCAAGCCAAGAGATCCAGCCCATTTCGAGCGAAGTGCAGCCATCAAGCTGCCAAAATTTCCCGACTTGAGACATTTTCTCAGCATGTCGTTGATGGATAGGAGGGCAAGGGATCTTGGCTTGCGAGCTCATCCGGTGAGAGTCAATGACGACTCGATTACGATCGCCTCGGCTGCTTGCCACTTAGTTTTGGGGTTCCTTTTTTCGGGTTTGTTTTTTCCTCTTCTCATCTCGAGTCCCATGATTTCCCAAAGTCGTCTGGGCGGATACGATGCACGATGCCTAGCCAGTGATCGACACTTCCGCCGTCCGCCGCCCCTGGATCTAAAATGTCCGTCGTGTCTTGGGAAAAAAGCAGGATCCGGCGGAGTCGACGCCGTCCCTCGGTGGGTGGATGGCTCAACTTCCTTTTCTAAAAGCAGGTTTGTCCGAAAACAGAAACTTGTCGTAATCCAATCCAGGGAAGATGCGTGCAAATCCCATCTCTCATCTCTCAAGGACTGAGGACGGATCGGATGCCAGATCGAGCCCAGGGAGGTGGGCAAACTCGATAAGGGTGCATAGCAGATGATCGGGCTTTGCTTGTTTCCCACGGACGCCGAGTCCTTGAAGTCATCAAATGGGCGTGTACTATGAACAACCCTGATGTCTCTTCCACCTCGAACGTAGAAAGACGCCTTTTTGTTTCCATTCTCCGATACGATGCTTAGACATGGCGGGCTTCGTGAAGTCGGACAATTTTGTGTGTCCGTGGTTTCTCATTTCTTCCTCCGACAGCTTCCCGCCCTCCCGCAAGTCAAGTCTAGGGCGGGCGAAGCACCGTCGAGTCTCCCTTTGCTCCACGAACAGAGAGCGCGCCCCCCCACATGGGGATGAATAGAGACATCTCCCCACAAACTGTAGAGCGGCGTCAAGCATGTCAGGCCTGTCAACGCTGCGGGTGTGCGGGTCAAGACACACGCTTACACTAAGCAAGCGCGGAAGCAGGGACCATGAGCTAGTTATGAACGGCCCTGGGGACCTTTTCTTTCTTTTTTTTTTTTCATCCCTTTTTATTTTTCCGCCATAGATGCAAGACATTCACATTCGGAGGGCAACGATCGTCACCATCCCGCCTCCGCTCATATAGGTTAGGAGGCAGATAGAGCGCGGATCTTTACTCCCCGCGGACGATAGGCAAAGACAGCCAAGGGACGTACTAGTCGAGAAGTTGGGAGCTATCACAATGCTTCCCATGGGTCTGCGCTCGTCGATATGCACCTTGAGATGAGATGTATCAGAGAAAAGCTGGATGCATGCCCGCAACACTCCCAAAAGCCGTGATGGCGGACCCTCCTCCCCTGAATGATGTCTCCGCCCCGGTGTCCACCTTGCCCTATCACTCTCGAAATAGCTTTTCCCTGTCTCTGATGCCCTAGCCCGCCGCTTGCCGGTTAGCTGGGGCCCTCGCGCCCAGCGTAGACCCTTCGGCTCCGATGGGAGATGCCAAAGATGTAATGACACCGGCTAGCTCCCAGAGCTGGTCTGGAACAGGTTCCAAAGATGCCCAGCGTCTAGCCATCTAGCCCCGGCGCTTTCTTCTCATGATCCCTGCCCGGCTGTCAAAAGGCTACTAGATGTAAATGCTCTGGTTCGGGCGAGGCTTGCCGGCAGGCCAAGAGGCCGACGGACGCAATCGGGTTGTCCGAGCAGAAGCACCCCATCGCCAGTCTGCCCTCATCCACCGACAAGCTGACCGCCCAGAAAGGTATTCGTGAGGGCAAGACACGAATTCCTGAAGCAGCATGGTCGCAGCCCCTTGACAGGCGTGCTTCCGAATCTCCCGCTGCCTCGTCCTCTTCCTATATAGAGGTCAGTGTTTCGCCGTCTATCAGAGTCTTAGTTTTCCCATCCCTCATCAACCCTCCTTGCAGCTTCTCGCCTCCAGTCACTCACTTAGACCCAACTTTCTACACTCTTTCCTTCCTTTCTCGTTTACACCCTCTGACCGACCCCGTCGCCGGGCTCCTATTCCACTCCTTGCATCACACACACACACACCCTCGTCCCCTCGTCACCCTTTTTCACCATGCGCCCCTCTACCTTTACCAAGGCAGCACTCTCTCTAGGAGGTGTCGCCCTCGTGGCAGCCCAAGACGGAGTATGCCCCAATGGATTAACCGTCTTTCAGGTTCAACCCGCGCAGATTGTCGCGCAGCAGCCGGTTTGGATCGAGGGATATTTTCCTCACGACTGCGAGGTCCCCATCCGTGACGGCCTCACTGTCACTATCACCGGCGCTCCGACTTCCATTTGCACTCAGGTTACCTACACCCAAGCCTACTGGACGACATTTACTAGGTAAGTCCCTACCCCTACCCTATCTCCGAGTGCGAGGCACAATATCTCAAATTCCCCCTCTTTGCACCGTTCACTAATACGCCATGACCCCTCCACCAGGACTCTACACGGCAACAGACCTGACGATGGCGCTTCCGCCATCACAGTCACCGGAGGCTACTCCGGTACCCAGACCGTCACAACAACCCTTCCCCCGGTCCTGGCGGCAGCACCGTCACAGTAGCGATCCTCACTCCCACGACCGTCACCGCTCCCGGCACCACCGTCACTGCCCCTGGCGGCACCGTCACAGCCGTCATCAGCGGCACCGTCACAACCACTCTCACAATCCCCAGCACAGTTTCGGGCGCCGCGCCCACATTTACCGGCCCCTTTGTGACCATCACCGCAGGCTACCCGGGCCCGGAGACGAGCACGGTGACGGTCACGCCCCTGGAGCCACAGGAACCGGAACCGTCATCGTCCTGACGCCCACGACGGCCATTTCTACCGCACCTACTACAGGTAGAGTCGTGGAGGAAACTACTACTACTACTACTACCAACACTGACGGCGGCGCCACCACGCCCGAGCCCTCTTCGTCCGCGCAGACAACCCCAGCAGCCGCCATCACCTCACCCGCGGAGACGCCCACGGAAGCCACCACCACCACCGTCGTCACCACGACAACAACCCTCGTGGTGCAGGAACTCCAGAACCAGCTCCTCGACCTCGACCTCGGGCTAGACATTGCCAACCTCATCAACGCCGATCTCAGCGTCGACGTGCCCTCCAACGGCGACTCAGACGACGAGGACGATGATTCGGGCTCGGGCTCGCTCATCAGCCTCGACCTAGTCGCCGACCTAGCCAGCCTCCTCGGCATCGACCTCTCCCTCAACGTCTTGAAGAGGGACGGCGCCCAATCCGCCGCAGACTGGTTCGCCAAGCTCTTCCTCGCCCTCGACGTCGAAGGTCTCTTGGATCTCGACGTCGGCCTCAAGCTCATCAAGGGCTTCACCAACTTTATGGGATCCAGGAGCAGCAAGCGGGATCTCGGAAACGACGTGCTCGACCTCATCAGCCGCGTCCTCTCCGACCTGAGCGAGGGCGTCATCGACGTCGCCGGCGCGCTCGAGGAGATTGGCGAGATTGTGCGCTCCCTCTCCCTCGCCAAGCGCGACCTGTTGCCTCAGGACGCCGGCCTGCTGGATCTCGTCAACCCCGTCCTGACCCTCGTCTCGCGAGGAGCCATCGGCGCCCAAGACGCCATCGTGCGCATTAGGAGCCTCCGCGACTCCGCCAACCTCCCAGTCGCCAAGCGAGCGGGCTTGTCGGGCCTAGGGTCCGTCCTTGACGCCGTCGGCGACCTTCTCCGAGGCGTGTTGAGCGGGGATGCGGTCAGCGATCTCCTCAACGGGCTGCTCTCCGCGGGGACGTGACCCCGACGCAGATCCAGAGCCTCTTGAACCTCGTCTTGAAGCTCAAGGTCGGAGACCTGCTGAATCTCGACACGACGGTCGATGTTTTGGATAACCTTGTGGGTTCTCTCGGACAGTGAGAACAAGGCTCCGCTCGGGGCAGAGCAAGCAGCGGTATGGGGTATAGGTATAGGAAGATATTGCGAAGTATATAGCGCGGGACCGGGGAGTATTCTTGGTCGCGGAGGCGTTCTCGAAGCCTGGGATCATGCCATAGGTGCAACCCGGCTGGGCTTGGGGACTATGATTGGGGCAATAATACCGCTAGTACAAGGTCATGGTCTAGACCTGTTTTTGTTTTTGTTTTAGCACCTCCATGTTTCAAAAACACCATTTTCTTTTTATTTAGCTAGTCTCGTAATTTTCTTCTTGTTCTTTGGGTCTTGGGCCCTTCTGTGTAGGTATAAAGATAGATCCGTCCACGGATGGATATAACCGTAGCTATATCAAATATTTTAATCCATCTATATCTTCCTTCCTTCGGCTCCTCCTCCTCCCCCTCACATTAGCCGTTTCTTCCCCTTGGGAGTGTACCAATGTAATAGCGTCGGCGTTCAGCTCTCGACTCGGCCGACGTCAGTATTGGAGCATTTCGACTTGTAGTCCCGCGTACCCAAGGAGGAGCTTCCGTTGTCTCCCCTCGGGCCCCCTCTCTCTTTTCCTCTTCTTCTTCTCGCTCGCCCGCCTTCTTATTCATTGTTCCTAGCGCGTTCTCCCTCTCTCTAAGACAAGTAAGCCTAAACCCGTTGTAGACTGTTGACCCGAGTAAGTCATGCATATATCCAAATATATCTCTGCTTGGGGTCAGGTGTCGCAGATTAAGGTGCGGATTAGGTTTCTATTTTCGGCCATTGCCAATCTATTTGACAGTTTCTATGCTTAAACAACAGACAACCTGCTCGAGGGTTTTTTACAAATGCGTAATATCGAGTCGTGGCCGCCCATTTGTCCTTTGAATGGTGCTACGACAGACGAAAAGGGACAAAACCACGATTACGCATATCCCCCTGCATCACCCCGTCGAAGATGGGCATGCGCATCTCCCAAGTGAATGTTGCCGGCAGTTCGTCGCGACCATACTTTTCTTCTCACTTGTCTGCGCACGGATAATGGCGCACTGCACCAGACCTCCCGATGGAGAGAAGGGTGGCGGGGAGAGCAACCGCAAAGAGAAAAAGGCGATGTCGCGCATATGTGCCTGGCTATGTGTGTGTGTGTGTGTGTGTGTGTGTGTGTATGTGTGTGTGTGTGTGTGTGTGTGCATGGGCGTGTGCGTACGTGTATCATGTCCCTATGTAAACCAAGTGCTCATCACATCAGGCACAAGGCACAAGGATGTGGTTGGGTAGGCTTTTGCCCTCCATCCGATCAACCACATTCATCCCGGCAGCCAGGGTTCATCGCGAGGGGAAAGGGTAGCCCACCCTCTCTACGGCCTCTACGTACTTTGAACGAATGCCCGCTCGCTTCAGTGTCGCCACGATCACGTCCTTTTTCCGTTCTCAAGTACTCTCCCCTCCGCCTATCTGTGGCCTCCTCCACTTATTCCGTCGCTGACGCATAGACCGCCCGGAGGCGAGGGAGGTCGTATGACCTTGCAAAGTTGCGGCGGATGGCCACTTGGGGCACGTAGCAACCGACGCTCTTCTATGTGACAGCTTTCTACGCTCTCCTTGCCGTACGGTCCGGTCTAAGCAACGGTCACACCTCCCTTCGGTCTTGGAAAATGCCACGTTTTTGGAAGACCCGCAACCGGTCGTAATGGCAAGGTAAAGAAAGCCTCGTTCTGAAGTGGTAGAGAGGGAGCCGACCCCTCACCCACCCGCCTTCGCTCGCGTAGCAGTCACTGGTGGCGGTCCTCTGCCGGCGGCTCACCCGGCAAGGGAAGGGGGCCCTTGACCCTCGCCTTCGCCATGTGCCGATTCCTCTTGGCCTCCTTTTTCCCCCTCATCCTCGTCACCATCTGCAAAGGGAGAAGAAGGGAAAGAAAAAATTGCTCATGATCGATCGGCACAAAGTGCTCTGCCGACATCGATCTGCAGATAACGGGATAATGCTCCGAGATGGCTTTTTTCAAAAGAAAACGCTTGTAGCCGTCGGCCATTGCCATCATGGACGGGGAGCTTTCGGTGAGACGAGAATCATAACAAGAGGGGGTGAAATGGAGAAACCGGTGGAGGGAGGGTGGCGAGGAAGGGAAAGAGGGCGAAGGGGGAGGGTGGGTGGTTGGTCGAGTCGACGGGATGGATAATTCATCCAGCCGATGTGCTTTCTATAAACAGGAACCAGGCACACCTCGTCTTGTTTAGTAGCTTGATTGCTTGATTGCCTGACAGATGCATTAGGATAGGCTCCGACGGTCCAACGCCATTTCTAAAAGTGATCCTCTGGTCTTTACCGGGGCGGGAGGACCAGCTCCATAGCAAGATGCTCTACAAGATCATTTATACCGGCGAGCTGGCTATTTTGGCCTTGATATAGCGCAAGGCTAGTTCCAAGTTTCCCATCCACGCAGCTAGCTTCCTGGGCTTGCCGTGCCTAGGGCGCTAGACGGCACCTCTTTGGATTCGTGGACGTGGGCTCATGGACGATCAGTCCAGCTCGCGCCGCCGTCGGGACTCCCAGATTCCGAAATGTCCTGATGGAAAAAGAGCATTTTTGCGGAGAGGCTCGAGGTATCCAAAGACTCCAACTGCGTACATGTAGATAACCACGGACGATAGGGCAATGAGCCGGAGGGCAGATCCATCCCCTCATCATGGGCCATGGACCATGACTAGCCGGGCCCAAGAAGAAGCGTCACCGCCACCCGTGCTTCCCTCTCGTTGTTTGGACGTTTCGGGTTATTTTTCTCCTAACCGAGACCGGGTAATAAAGCATCGGATGACGAGGAGAGGGAAACAAGGTCGGCCAAGGCGTCTTCGCTCTTGGGGCCAACCAGCCAGGAGCGGGAAGCTATTTTGGCTGTTTGCAAAAGAGGAAAGATTGCCGTGTCCCCCGTTTAAAGCCTCTTTTTCGGACAGGGATGAGCTTTTCCAGACAATGGGGTTTGCGGAACTAAACTGGGAACATTGAGTAGATGGACATGGATGGCATGGGTCGGTGCCCGCAGGCAGGCGAACGTGGTGATGGAGAGAATCTCCTCAAGCGATCTTCTGCGCGTGCACACACACCCATACACCCACACGCACGCACATACGCACATCCATGGATCAGTGGATCGATCTGAGTTCTGGCGCAGTGCGCACGTGGAAACCCCCAAAAAAACAGAGACTGCTTGTACCTATCCCAATAATACCTTTTTTCTTTCTCGTTTTTGGATTTCCTACTTCTCAGGCATTCGTGTCCGCGATACTGGGTTAGGCTGGTCTGGGCCGTTATCGTACCGGACTGTGCCGTCCAGTACCTCAAAGAAAAGAGAGGAAAAAAAAAGAAAAAGGACAAAGAAAGATACACCTTGTCTATGTCTTTTGAGTCTTTGGCACATCATCGATGGCATAGACCGTGGATATTAATGCGTCCCAGCCCAAATGAATCCTCCCACCGTCATGCAAGCCAGACCGAGCCCAGAGTAACCGCGAAACAAAATCCCCACCCGTGGACCATTTACGCTGGTATCGAGCGAGGTAAAAAAGCCCGCAGGCAACTGCCAGATAACGTTGGGGTGTTACAACATTGCGACTTGCATGTCAGGCGCATTTCGTTGCGTTGGTCGATGGCCCTGCTTTTCTTTCCAGGCACAAGCACAAGCACAGGCACAGGCACAGGCACGGGATCCTATAGTCGCATTCCGCCCTTGTTTCGGCTTGTAAAATGGCTTACCATGTCACTACTCTGACTGCGGCTCTGTTCCCCATGCGAGGCGACATAGAGCGTCCGCTTGAAGAGACAAAACCTAAACTCAGCTTAAAGACGCCAGGCGGACGGCGTTGGTAACCCGCATCGCGCCGAGCGCGGACCCAAGAAAGAGTGAGAATAGATAAAAGAAGGAGAAACGAAGAAAAGAAACTTACAGGTAGGAAGAAGAGGACGATGATAATGATGATGATGATGATGATGATGTAAAGGGAATCGGCAACTGGAAAATGGGTAATCAAGGCAAGTCGTTTGCCCGCGAATCGTCTCGGATCTTCGGGTTGTCAATAGCTACATCTCCTCCATGTCGGTACTTGGGGCGTCCCTGGACAATGGGCCGTGTGCTCCGGTCGGCGGCAGAGTTGGATATAATATAGCCTCTATGTCGAGGTGTATGTGTATGTATGTGTGTATATGTGGATGTGCGATGGGTGTGGTGTGGTATGTGGTATGTGGTGTGTGATGTTGTGGTTGTGCGTGCCGGCTCTATCTTTGGACCGGCCGCAAGCCCCAGTGGCCCGGTGCCTCCAATCCTGCTCTTCCCGTACTAGATGTACCCGTCAGCTCAGACGAGTTTGTTAGAACTGACTCGCTTCCCCCAATCAAATATCCTAATCCAAGCCTTGGAGCCGGTCGATTTCCTTATATCGGTGGGGGTCACCAATCGGCCGAAGCACCAAGGTAACACACCACGCACCACGCACCACGCCCCCTCCGGGAGCTAAAGACGGATCCGGAAGGGAAGGGATAAGAGGAGAAACAGAAGGAGAGAGAGAGAAGGAGACATGGGGCCGAAAGAGCAAGGTGGGCGGTGGGGAGCTTCGATCGATAGTGTTTCTATGGAACGCGGCCTGGGAATGAGTAGGAGGAAGAAGGGAAGGCGATCCCTTTTGTTTACTACTTCGATCATTTCTATAAAGACGCGCGGAAGCCCGCCGGTTTCCTCGCTAGGATTGCGTTCATGATACTCCCCGTTTTGCCTTCCTTGCACTTATACGTAATCCTCCCTTTCCCCATCTTACCATACCCGGCCCCTCCCCGGACGCATCCAAGTTCCGAATACCAGCTGCGTCTCATCGCATCTCATAGTGCGATCACGTTTGTTGGTCGCCGTGCTATATCCCAAGAAGACGCCAGGGCAGTTTCGACAACACCAGATACCACAATGATCACCACGCGCCTCCTCGCGCCCCTCGCCCTCGCCCTCCCGGCCATCGTGTCAGGGCTGAGCGGCCGGACGTTTACAAGCTGGGACTGGTGAGTGATCTAGCCAGCCACTCCAAAAACCCCCGTTGAAAGCACAACTTCAGTTCCCTCTTTACTCACACCAAGCATTGTAGCTGCAAACCCGCCTGCGGAGATAGCAAGTACATTGAAAGGTCCAACGCCACGTAAGCTACCCTGCCCTCTTCCCTACCCTCTTCCCCCAAAATCACACAGCTCCTCTCATCTAAACCCGCCACCCAATCCAGCGGCCTCGTCGAAGTCTGCAACGTAGACAACAACCCCATCGCCGACTCCCGCCGCATAGCCTCAGGCTGCGACAACGGCGCCGCCTACATGTGCGACAGCTACCTCCCCATCCCCGTCTCCGAGGACTTTAGCTACGGATTCGCCGTCGCCCCCGGCTACAACTGCTGCAAGTGCTACGAGCTCTTTTGGCTCAACGGCTACGCCGCCGGCAAGCGCATGGTCGTCCAGGTCGTCAACTGGATGCCCGACGAGGAAGAGGGCACCGACGCGGGCAGGCCCGGCGACTTCGCCATCCTCACCCCGGAGGTGGCACCGGTCCGCACGAGACGGGGTGTATTCGGCAGTATGGATCTACGTGGTAAGTTAAGGGTTTCCCCGAGCTTTTTTCGTCACCCATATCTATTTTGAAGTGTCCTATGAGTCGTGGCGCTCACACGTGTCTGTGTTTGTGTGTTATAGGGGCGAGGACTACGGCGGCGTCTCCAGCATGTCCGACTGCGAGCAACTCCCGGAGAACCTCCAAGGTGGCTGCTACTGGAGGTGGAACTGGGCCGGAGGCGAGATCACGGGCTGGGATGTTGAATACAAGGAGGTGGAATGCCCTGCTCGCCTCACGGCTGTCTCCTCCTGCACCCCTCCCGCGTTCTAAGGTCCGAGGAACAAGAGGAGGGAGGAGGGAGGGCGAGGAAATGAGGGGATACAAAGGGAAAACAGAAAGAACCAACCGAACAAAACAAAAAAACCACACGTTCAGATACCCATCTCTCCTTTGGAGATGGTGAGGGGATCGGGAATGGGTACGGCGCAATGTGTATATGTACGAATAAGAGCGCGACACTCTTCTGGCAAGGATTGCGGTCTCCGGTCCCTCACGCCCAGGGCCCGGTACCTTTTCCGTTAACCTTGTGAGATGGGTGCTCGTGTCGCAATATAATCATTAATAGCAAACCCTCCACGGAAAGGGTGCCTCCAGAAGATTTAAAGCCAGTCTGCAAGCGAGCCCATCCCAAAAAGACAGAGCTCCAGGGGAGACACCATTTCATGCACCAGAAGAAAATGTTAGGTGAGAGAGGAGGAAAAGATAAAAAAAAAAAAAGAAACCCCAAAAAGGTTGGAAACTTGCGTGCTTTGTCCTAGGGAGATCAAATCCCAATCACCGTCCAGGTCGCAGGTAGGGTGGACGAAGTCCGGCGATTGAGGATACCGAAAATATCCAGCATATTGCCTACCACACCCTTTAGCCCGCGGTGAGGCGAGCTTTAAGGGGGGCCAGGAGCCAGGACCAGCAATTAGTCTTTTTATCCAGCTATGAAATTATCCGTTCGATGGGGCCAAAAAGACCCCTAAATAATACTCGTTTGACTTGTGCCTTTTCCTCACCTTGTCCCCTGTCCCTGTCCCTGTACCTACTTGTAGTCCACCTTGTCCGCGACCTGGCTGGCCAACGAGGAAATGGGTATCCCGCGCCCCTGTCCGGCTTCCCTCTCCCGAGTTGAGCCGCATAGGTTATTCTCGTCTTGAATTCCCTACGTGGAGGCGAATGCCACCCCTCATTCTCTTTCCCTTTTGGCATGCGAGTATGGCGCAGTAGCGCCCCGATCCGGTGACCCGATCCTGCGACTTTCGGCGAGGGGCTCAAAGAGGGCTTCAGATGCGACTGCTAGTATGTGTGGCTGCTACGCGACCTTCGCGACGAAAGAGAGAGAGAGATAGAGAGAGATGGGAAGAGCGAGTCCCGTGAGATCAGGCATTAGGACAGTGAATCCATGTCTTGTCTCCAAGAGGAGCTCCTCTAGGAGTTCCTTAGGAAAACACAATGAAACAAACACGATGATGACAAGCAGAGTATATATCCAGAATCCATTTGGTATCAGTGTAGAGCGGTGCTCTGACGCAGAATAGAACGTCGAATAATACAAGTCGAAGCTCTGTTTAACACAGATGGATCCATAGATGTTGGTAACAAACCTCAGCCCAAGCCCACGTAGGAAACCCAAACGTAGCCTGCACCCGCTTTACCCAGGCGGGAGGAGATCCGACAACTCCGCTTCGACTATTAAATAGGAGGGAAAGGGAGCTTAAAAGAAAAAGAAGAAAAAAGAGAATAATACAACAAAATCTTCCGTAAAGGGACCGAACAAACCTTATGAAGGTTGTATATGTCATTGGGACAATCTTAGAATAGTCTTCGCAGCCGTGTAGAGAACCCAAAAAAGAAAAAAAAAAAGAAACATGAACGAAAGAAAGCGCAAAGATCCAAACTCCAAACCTGCCGCAAACCCGCAACGTGTAGATCCTGTATACACGTAGTACAAGACAGCAACGACAACAAGATAAAGATGCGATGAGCTCACGTTCTGTCTGCCGTGAAAATCGAGAGGCGGGGAGGGTCTGATCGCTTGTACCGTTCTCGCCCTCCTCCTCGAGCTCTCAAGCTCAGTCGCACCTTGGAACAGTGAAGACTTCCCTTCACCTACTTAATCCTGCACCAAGTCTGGCCTTGGCGCCTTCAACCACACTTCGCGATAGCGCCGGAGTACTCCTCTGGGGGTCCATACCCTCCTCGGCTACTGGCCGAATCTCCCACCGCTTCATGCTGGCGTTCATGCCGGGCCAAAGGTCGGTGGGGATGTACTCGCCAATATCTTGCATAAAGTTTTCTCGCTGCTGCAGGTCTTCCTGCGCGAGCCTGTCCACGCTCTCCCTCGCCTTTCTCCAAATGGCCTGAACGCGGTCCTCCACCGCGCGTCGTCGATCGACTTCGAGAATGAGCCTTTCGTAGGCACCGGCGTAGCCTTGGTAAAACTCTCTCAGCCGGTCCATCTCTTCGAGCTTGGTGAAGATGGCCCCCTTTCGTCGTCCCAGCGGGCTAGAAATTCTGTCTCGGCGGCAACGTAGATGACGAGCTTGCCACCGATATCCTCCAGCACCCGGAACGCATCTTGCGTGCCCGCGTAGACGCGGCGGATATGATTGGCCTCGCGCCCGAGCAACGAAAACTCATTCTCCATGGCGGCTAGGCGTTCGTTGATTTCGTGAACCACCACCTCTACTTCCGAAGCATCTTCAACAACAATCTTGACCATATCCGCACGGTCTTGGGACGTGATGGGTTCCAAGTCCGAGACGTGCGATTCTTGCTCAGCAATGACCCCGAGATGGAGACATTGAGCCCGTCTTGCTGCTGGGTCGCTTCGGCAGCCCTTCTGCGGGCCAGCGCGGCACCGCCTTCGGTCGTGCGGACCGCCGTGACGCAAAGGTCAAAGTGCTTGGTAAGAGAGGAAAGGAGATTGGCCATGTTCTGGGAATGGTCCGTGAGGGAAAAGAGTAGTATGTTGATGGGATGGCGCGACTCGGATGGGGAAGAAGTGTCGGTGGTGGTTGGGCCCTCGGTAATGGCCTTTTAAAATTGCGAATTTCTGTTTCAAACCGTAGTATATCACCATCGAAGGAAGTTTGTATGCTCTACACATGGCCGGACCTTCAGTTAGTAGCGGCAACGAGAATGAGGAACACCGGGAATATAGGTAGAAAAGGAGCTGAGCACGACTCACTTGCAACTCCTTCACGCTTGCCTTCAGAGCCTTGACCACTTCCGAGACACGCTCGTCAGCGACAAAGTCCAACAAAGACCTCTGAACACCATCATTCTCGCCTTCCCTAAACTCGGGCTGCACGATTCTCTCCCGCAGCGTGGCGGTGGTGGCCTGCATCCGCGCGTCCGCCGCGTCCATCATGCGTATCAGCTGCTTGAACTCCTTCTTTCCCGCGTCGTACGTCCGGTTCAGACTCCGCTTCACCCGGGCCAGCACGGATAGCTGGTTTGCCATTCCGCGGCGGAGGTACTCGGTTTCGGCGTTGAGGACGACGGACTCCTCGTAGGCGTGGAGCGCGGTGGTACAAATCTCGTTGGCGCGGACCACGGCCGTCATGGTCGAGAGGGAGCGTTTGGCGGCGAGGAGGTGCTCGACGAGGGTCTCTATGGGGACGTCTGACATGCTTTCTTCTCCTTCAAAGTCTGGCTCCTGGTGTTGTATTTGCGGTGGGGGAGCGGTGGAGGGAGGACGCGTCGCTCCCGCCGGAGCGGTAGGACGAGGAGGAGGCCATGGGTAGGGAGAGGCCGATCGCCTGTTAGAAATGGCCGAGTGAGGCGTGGGGTCAAGGGAAGGACTGGTGGGTAGTCGCTGGCTGACAACTGGGGGAAAAATCAAGGTTGAGTCGTCTGTAGGGGTGTGTGGTCTGCGACAAAGGGATAATGAACTGGCTATGATCTATTTGAATTGCGCTCAGGCCAGGTCCTGCCAGCACGCAACATGAGCTCCAGACGTATGGCTGCTCTCCAACAAGCAGGCGCCGCGGAGGAGAGGGGGCGGCGATCAGATGTTAGTTCCGCAGCACCCAGGGGGTTTAGTTAGTAGTCCGCGGTAGCCTCTTCAACGCCAGTAATCCCGGCGAATAGTATCGAGATGCAGAAGAGGGCAAGCACTGAGCGGATAGCTTGTGGATTGATAAGTGCACAAGGCTCTGCCCCGTCAAGAGAATCCCAAAAAAGAAGGAAGAAAGAAAAAAGGTTGAAAGAGAAGAAAAAGGTTTGGCCGTAATAGCTAATACTTTTGAGTTGAGAAGGGGAGGAAGGGGGCGTGTGTGAAGGTTGGGGGATTGACGTGAATGTGTCTTATCGATAAGAGAATGGGCCAAAGAGGTGCAGTCCAGCAGGCAGCTCCCTACGACAAGTCCTCGTTGCTAGTGCCCTCCCAACTCCCTACTAACACTAGCGTGCTCCCTGCGTCTTCAAGCCGAGAAGGCGTGGAAGGTGCTCTAGAACGATTGGAGGAAGACCCAGAAAAGTGGGGCGTTCCCAGATCGCGGGCCTCAACGTTGGATTGCGTCAGTCACAGGATCAATAACTCGGCCATGGACATCAATACTTGAATCAGCAAAGATAGAGAGAGAGAGACAAAAGAGACAAAGAGCCGGATAGAAATCCCCATCTTGACCCATTCAAAGAGGAGCTGCCGAGGTACACCACTGGGTTAGAGAAGCATTGAACTCTAAAGGAAATTTGTTGGCACAGCTCTCGGACGACAAATGGTCTATTGAATAAATACACTTGTTGTTGAAGCGAGTCGAGGCCGCTCGGGATATGCACGCACAGTGCAGCCCTCTTTGGATGTGCCGCGTGGGTTGAATAGCCTTGCCCAGCCACGCGCCTCTCTTCGTCACGTCATTGCATCTGAACCCGATTCGATTGAAACACCAAAATTCATCTTTTGTAGATATTACATCTTACTCAGGATCGGGGTGGAGCTCCTTTTCACCCGACGGTGCCGTTTCCCCAGCCCCTCCAGCCAATTTTTCCATCTCCTCGAGCTGCTTCCGGCCTCCTTCAGTTGTCGCGTCAATGATTTGTTCCTCCAAACTGAGACAACCGGCCTAGAGTCACATAGTGTGTTAGCAATCCGATTCTTCTTCTTCTTCTGCTTCTTCTGTGTAGATAGTTGTGTCGAAAAGCACGACAAAGTCTGCAGGGGACGGGGGTTGGGTCCGGGGGGTATCCAATACGTACATCTCCCAGGAGGCCCACAACCTCCTCTGCCTCCTCGACCTTCATATCGCCCAGAACCTTGTTCACCTCGTCCAAGCTGCCCGACTCGAGGGCTTTCCTGAGCTCTGGCTTAAAGCCCTCAAAGATGGCCCTCGCCTGCTTGACCTGCTCATCCTCGCTGGTCGGATCCGGTACCGTAATGTTGATCGTAGTGCCCGGCTCCACAGCGTGAAGTTGGATCTGCTCTACTCCGCCGCTCGCGCCTTCGGCAGCCCGCTCGGCGGCGATCTGGCGGCTACGGGTCCGGATCTTGGCATAGGTATCCTGCACGTCCTTGAAGAACATTTCGTGCGCGTTGCTCTTCTGGCTGATGCGCTTGAAGAAGAGAGGTACGCCGTCCTTGCCGAGGGCGCGGCAGTATTGTAGAAGCAAGGCCTGGTGGACGCACTGGCGCGCAAAGTCTTCTTTGTTTTCCAAGCTGGCGTCAAAGGCCTCCACGAGTAGCCCGTCGGATTCCTTCTCCGCCAGGATGTGTGGATGCGCCGTAATAAACTCGTAGCTTCGACGGTAATCGTTCATCGGGATGCGGGAAAACTGCTTGGCCTCGCTCGAGGCCTCGACGAAATCGTCGTCATCATTGCCCCGCTCGTCTGAGCCGGTAGCGCCGGCTGGTCCTGCTGCGCCGCGAGCTTCCGTTCGTACTCGGGGTTCAAGAGTTCCGGCTGGGCCTGCTTCTCCTTGGGTTTCGAATCCGAGGCCGGGCTGGCAGATTTATTCACGTGAGAGCTGTCGAAGCCGGTGTGGTAGTTTTCACTCGTAATCTTCTTCTTTTCCTCCCCCTCCAGTTCGTCCAGCTTCACCTGCAGCTCCTTTTGCAAGTCCTCGACGCGCTTGAGATGGACGCCCACTTCCTCGACCATGGCTTCGTACCTCTTCTCAGGCTCCACCTTTTTTCCTCCAGCGCCTTGTTGACCTGGTCCAGCACGGACGCCATCATCTTGGAGTATGTGGGTAGGGGCTCGCCGCCGAGGTGCACGCCTTCCGGTTTCGGGGAGGATTGTCATCCTCGGGATTCTTTGGCGCGCTTTCCATGACGGCTTTGAAAGCGACTTGCGCGGCGTGTTGCACAGGCGAGGTGGACGATGAGGCCGGGGCATCGGACGCGTGGGACTTGAGGGCAGCAAGAAGACCCGAGATTCGCTTGAGCAGGCCATCGTTGACTGAGCGTTCAAATTTCAAAGTCAGGATATGGTTCTTGCGCTGCTCGCGTTCCATGTGGATCTGGTTCTGCTTCGCGCGGATAAAGGACCGCTTGTCGACATTGGGATGAACTTCGATATCGGAATCATCGCTGAGCTCTAACGCATCCTAAAGGAAACGAGAATTAGAATCCAACCTCTCGCTTGCCTCTTCCGCTGCCGCATACCGCGTACGCCAACGTGCTCTCGTGCGCTCATGGTGGGGTAAATCAAGGCATCAATTGATCTATGGAGGGTAAGCAGCAGCCTCAGCCTTTCCAACTTACCCATTTACTATAGTCAACAGGCATGATGGGCAAGCTTGCGCAGTCGAGCGAACGCTTCTAATCGAGGGGTTCCGCAGTCTATTATGGTATATAAGGAATTGGACGATGATTTCGCCTTTCGTTACGTTTCGTTTCGTCAGTTCCTTTTTTCTTCTTCTTCTCTTCTTGGGGGGGTCGAGGTCTGGTCGTTGAGAGTCGAGAAAGACGGCAGACCGATACAGGTGCACGTGGAAGCTTCTGGACATGGCTCGAAGCTGAAGCTCTTGGGTGGTGCTCTGTAAGTGGGCCAAATGATGTATTAGCAACAGCATAGCTCAGCCGGCCCCAATTGAGCTCAGCTCAGGTGCAGGCTCTTTCTCTACACCAGATACGCCCACAGTGACCTCATAGGATACAATAGGATCAATTACATTGATCAACCAATAAATCCCTTGGTCAATCTTGAATCGACCTCAATAGGCGAATCTCGGCCCAATTTTCTTCTGTATCTTCCCATTTCTCATGGGAGAAAGGGAAAAATAAAATCGTCTGTTGAAAGACATCTGGGCCGTGTCGTCCTGTGTGTTATTCCAATGGATCCATTGGACTGTGCAAGTGTCTTGATCGTTCAGATCTGAGGCTACACTCCGCAAGGACATTTACGATGGAGTATTATCTTGTAGTGGTGATTTGTGACGTTTCATTTGCTATTGGTACAAAAGTATCGAGGCACTATATCGTGCTCGACTATAAAAAAGGCCTAAAAAACCCTGCCACCAATCCATGCCTTTTTATGCCAGCCCAGTTCGTCAGGGCGAATCCCTCCTCCTTCCATCTCACCGCCTCTAGTAGCCCCTTTGGGGGAGGGCGGAAAAGAAACCATAGGTATATCAAGTGAGCAGAAAGGAAAAATAAAAGGAAAAGACGGGATGGGGTCCATAGTGCGGTTAAGACGAGTCCAGCGGGTGATGGATCCAAAGAGCCTAATCCACTCATTGCATGGTCTTAAGGAAGCCGTCGAGATCGAAGCTCTCCTCGTACTGTTGGTTGTCCCAAAGCTCGCCCAGCCCGTCAAGCCAGCCCTTCTTCCCAGTCACCCGCACTTCACCCGTCTCTACGTCAATCACGTCTTCTTCGCGGCCTTCGATGCTGGCCGCCCCTTGCGGTTTGTCAGACATGAGTCCTCCGTCGTCTCCTATATTGAACAGGTCCAGGATCTGGTCCGTGTCCATTGTGGAGAGCCCTGCGTTCTGCTGGTTTACCACCGTGGATGCAACGTCAATCTTGAACCGTTGGAGGCTGAGAATCTTCTCCTCCAACGTTCCGCGGGTGATGAGGCGGTAAACATTCACAACCTTCTTTTGCCCGATGCGATGGGCTCGGTCCATGGCCTGGAGGTCCTTTTGAGGGTTCCAGTCGTGCTCCACGAAAATGACCGTGTCCGCGCCAGTCAAGTTCAGACCGAGACCGCCCACGCTGGTCGTCAGGAGAAGAACATCGTAGGACGGGTCACTGTTAAACTTGTTGACAATGTCTTGTCGTTTGTTGGCCTCGACTGATCCGTCCATGCGCAAGAAGGAGACAGACGGAAGCATCCTTTTGAGCACTGTGTTTTGAACCATATCAAGCATTTCCTTCATTTGACAGAAGATGAGGGCGCGATGGGGCTTGATGGGCTGGTAGAGAGGGTCGTTGTTATCGCCCTCGACCCCGATACCGCAGTCGACAAGTAGGTCCTTGAGCGCAGTGAGCTTGGGAGCGTGAACGGGGTCCTCGAGGCTGGTCCCTTGCTTCGCCAGCAGCCGCTGCGTGTCTGCATACTGCGCGTGCTCCGGTCGCATGACGAGGGCCGGTGAGTTGCAGAGTTTTCGCATGTATTGCAACGCCTGGAAAATGTGCTGTTTCGCGTCCTTGTCATCCTTTCCGGCTTCTGCTTGCAGCTTCTTGCCCTGCTTCTTTGAAAAGTCCTCAAAGAGCTTCTTCTGCAGGTCGCTCAAATCGCAATAGTAGTTTTGGAGAATCTTGGGCGGGAGGTCGTTGAGCACCTCTTCCTTGAGTCGACGGAGCAAGAACGGAAGCACCTGCTTGTGCAACGCCTCGATCGCCAACGCGCCGGCTTCTTGCTCTTTGGACGAGGCTTTGCTGAATCGGCTGTTGGCAATGGGCTTCGCAAACCGATCCTGGAACACCTTTTCCGCTCCGAGGAACCCAGGCATCAGGAAATCGAACAGCGACCAAAGCTCGACAACGTTGTTCTGGATCGGGGTTCCTGTCAAGATAAGTCTGTGGTTACTTGCCAACCGCTTAACCGCCATCGACGTCTTGGCCTTGGAATTCTTGATCAAGTGTCCCTCGTCCAGCACAACGTAATTCCAGTTATACTTTTCGAGAAGCTCAATGTCGTTTCGGCAGACATCGTATGACGTGATGACAATGTCTGGTTGGTCGAGCTTCTCTTTCACCAGTTTGCGTTCCGAGGGCGGGCCCACATAAGCCGCGACAGTCAGGAAAGGGGCGTACGCCTTGATTTCTTGCTGCCAATGGCCCGATAAAGTGGGAGGGCAGACAATCAGTGAGGGAGCCTTCGAACGTCGGAAGCCCCAGTCTTAGCAAACTCTTCTGCGCGCTGATGGTGGTCGCTAGCGACGATACAAAGAGTCTGCAGCGTTTTACCAAGACCCATGTCGTCGCAGAGAATGCCATGGAGATGATATTTGTTGAGGAAATGCAACCAGTTGACGCCCTCCTGCTGGTACGAACGAAGTTCTGCCTTGATCGCCACCGGAATCTTGAAAGACTCAATCTTCTTGGGATCGAGAAGCTGGCCAATAAAGGTTCGCTCGCGTTCTCTGCCCTGGAGCAATTCCTGGGAAAGGCCTGGCGGATCTGGGATGCCCGCTTCAAGAGGAACGAGTTTGACAAGAGTGGCAAATGATGTCGTGGCGATTAGTCGGATATCGTTATCGGAATCGCTCATACGTCCTAGAACCGGGACAATGAGGAAGATGACGTAAGGAAGGATGGCATCGCCCATCACGGCGATAAGGTGATACACGACCTCAATTGCACCCTGCCGGAAGTGGAGATCTACCGGGTTGCTGATGGATGGCAAGACCTTTTCAACGAGCACCGTCATGCATTCGACCGTGAGGACGCTGCACAATGTGGCCATGCACTTGGCAGCCATGTATCTGAAGACGGAGAGCTCGGAGTGGAGGGCTTTGATCACGTACGGCACCATCTGCATGAGGAAAGGATGGATGGCGGAGTCGAGAGTTGGGGCCAGTGTGCGAATAACCGAGAGGGAATCAATGACATCTTGGCCGAAAATGCTTTCGGGATCGTGAACCTCCTCAGGGAGGGCACCCGAGAATCCCTTGACCAGCGAGTTTTCCATGAAGCCCTTCAGACTAGGGACTTGCGTAAGGAGATTTGCTCCGTAAGAACGGGCCAAGACCTCCAACGCTTCCTTGGCACCACGTCGAGTAATGCGCGCCGCCCTGGCTTCTCGCGCAAACTTGGCTGCGTCAACGTGATCGACCCGGTCCTCTTCTTTTTGCATGGATAAGATAACATTAGTCTTGGCGGCGTGAGGGGAGAACTCTGGCGTCTCGGCTACTTCAACGCAAGAAAACTTCACCAGGTTAGAAAGGACCTTCTCAGCGGGACCACGGCGGCCCTTATCCGTGAAGACACGAATGAGACCCGCAATGGTAGCCGATGACCGGTTTTGAAGTTCTAGGTTTTCCTCTGTCTTGACGCTATCCATGATTGCCTTGATGAGGGTGCTCAGCTTCTTGGGGAAAACCTGCATGGCGACTAAACTAGCGGCGGCAGCAGCCCTGATGCGAACGTCCCGCACCCCCTTGGCAAGCTTCGCCTCAGTAATGGTTTGAAGGGTAAGGTCGCGAGCCTCTTCAAGTTGCTTTCCGGCAATTAGCTTCTGCCCGGGAGGTACAGCCTTCTTGAGGCGCTCAAAGTCCTCCGTCACGCATTTCTCCGCAGTAGCAATGGAGAAGGCGCCAGGCCCGGCCTCGGGTTCGCCTTGGACGACAACCGGGAGAATCGGAAGTTTGCTCGCGGAGACCTTGCCATGATCACGGAAGAGATGGAAGAGAGACTGGCATTGGGATCGAGCCCTTTGGACGTAGCTTGTCAGGTCCCGGTAGTGAGAGGGGCGCTCAGCTTCAATCATCTCTTGAAGTGGACCGATGAAGCTTTCCGCTAGCTGAGGGGAGGAGACAGCCTTGGCAAATTCTTCAATCAGAACTGAGGCCGTCATCTGGGTAGAAGAATAGGGTGACGATAGCCCGTGCAGAACCAAGGCGGCGTACTGCGGGAAAACCTGGACCGGAAGCTTCGCCATCAAGAAACCCATCGCGCGCGAAGCTGACACGCGAGAGCGAATCAGCACCTCGATGCCAACCAGGTCAACTTCGCCTTGGATCATATGGCCGTCAACATCGTGAGTGTTGGATGGCACCGGAGCTTCCTCAACCTTGGTCGACTTCCTCCTTCGTTTAGTTGCCCTTTGTTGCGGGTCTGGGGAAGAGCTTCGGGGTCCGGTTATGGCAACGCTTGGCGCGGTATATGTCCCGCCCGAGGGTTTTGGAATAGGGCCGCGTTCATGGGAATGGGGTGACGAGTAATACCAATGGGATGGAGGGCGAGTTCTAGCATAGCCTCGGCATGGGCTCCAAACTCCTCAGCCAAGTGTGTAGGATTGTGGCTGAGGCACTTCACTAACGTGAGCCAGAGCTCAATAGACGTGTTTAGTGTCTCCTTATCCCTCTCGACGACGATATTCTGGAAGATGAGGCGTAAGATCCTGCCATTCAACCACCCTTGAGAGGCATCTTCACCAAGATTGGCAAAAGTCATGAGCGCTTTGAGAACGGCAAGGCGGACCGAGGTAATGGTATGACGGAGGAAAGGATAAAGGCGTGGTACAAGAAGGGTAAAGGATCTCTCTTCGTCCATTGCTGCCGACTGCTTCATGGTGCGAAGAACCTCGGGGAAGCTGCAAAGTGTCGCCAGCAGGTCCATGATCTTTCCAGTACTCGCGGAAAGGTCGTCACCAAGATTAGAAAGGCTCTCCCAGACGATATTGATGAGCGCATCCAAGGAGTGCGGGCGAAGCGTAACGACCTCCTTGGCCATGGGAATTAGTGTGGCGGCGCTCACAGAGCGGACATCGTCGTCAACATCACCGAGCCCCTTCATGACAGCGTTGCAGACGCCATCCACTAGTTTAGCGTCCTCGAGAAGCAAGTCCTTCCTGACAGCAACAACGTAACGGAGGCCGACCATTCCACCATGACAGACTGCCCAAGCAGATCGTTCAAAGGGGTCCCTTCCTGCATTACCATTTGGTATAGCAAATGATATATGCCATATACAGAAGTGGGCGGAAGGTGGCGCAGAGCAGCGCCAAGAGTTTGACCGATGCTCTCTCGAATGGGAGCAACCGAGGTGTCTGAGCTGTAATCGGTGAAGCGATCTAGCATGAGCACGGCGCATAGTCGGCAAGCAAGGTCATCGAGCCAGACCTTGTTGAGCTTGTCGTTTTCGTTGCGTGACTTGCCACGGCAACGGCCGGCTCCACCGCCATGTACCCGAACTACCTCACGAAGAGCGAGGGCGGCGCCGTGGCGGGTCTCCCACTTAGGGTCAAATAGATCCATTTTAAGGAATTCGGAGAGGCGCTCATATGGCCATTCAGCGCCTTCAAGGGCTGCGTCCACCTGGAGTTCAGTCTTGATCTCCACAGAGGGTCCCTTGAATTCGCTAACAACCTTGGTGTCCTCGTCGACGTCAGCGGGTCGTTCAAGACTAAAGTAATCGTTGAGTTTCCCGTTCTTTTTCGATTCGGGATCAGCTGTTGGCGTTTCATCGCCGAAACCCTCTGAGCCTGCTGTGCCAGAACGCCTGATGGAAAGATCTCCAAAGCCGGATTTCCCCTGCGCAGCCTTCTGTGCCTCTCGTTTCCGTTTCCGCTTCAAGACGTTGAGCTGCCGCGAACTTAACCCGGCCTCTTCGCCTCCTTGGCTTTGACTATTTCCCGCCATGCTATCACCTCGACCTAGCGTGGCGTGATTAGCGCCATCGCCACCTGGTGTCTGAGCGTTTCCGTTAACTGGGATCGGCGGGAGTTCGTCGTCCTCGACACGTCGACCTAACAATCCTAGGCGAGCGGGTAACGTCTGTTTGAGGTAGGCAAGGCGCTCTTGAGGCTCTAGTGCGGCGAGACCGAAATCGATTTGACCGCCCCGGAGTAGCTCGCGACCGTTCTTGACGATGGATACGACGGGTAAAGACTCGAGCTGGAGATAGTCGCCCGTTCCAAGTGGTAGATCGCCATCACCCTCTTCTTTCTTTACCTGGCCGTTACTGTCAGGCACCTCCTCTTTCTTGTCGAGGAAGCTACCGGAGTCGCCGTCATCTTCGTTTGGATCATACACCGGAGCATGCTCAATAATTTTACCTATCGCCTTGGCTGCTGTGGAACGGGTTTCCCAATCCTTGTGTGACAAATAGCCCACCACACGCGACAATAGGTTAAAAGTTCATCAGGATGCTGCTTTTGCCAGTCCGCGAGCTGGTTAACGGCCGTTTCCCGGATGAGCCGGGTGCTCCCGGTCTCTATAAGACTGCATAGGGGTTAGTACTAGTCGCATTGGACGCTGCCACCTACCCGCACCGGTCCATGGGCAAGGACCGAGAGGACGAAGTGGGCGGAACTGGGCGGACGCGTATTACTCACGTGACTAATCTGTCAAGTCTATGGAGGGTTGATGTTAGTTGCGATTGTTCGATTACATAGAGTAAACCAGTTATGCCGGAGGAGGCATGGTTCCAAGCTCACCTTGATGTCATTTTTACTGGTGGATTCGAGTCTGGCGGAACTGCATCACTCGGCGCCAAGCCCGGATATGGAAGCTTTGTTTCCTTTCTCTAGTAATGTACCGAGGATTCTAAGAATCATGGGGAAGACCTCCTATAAAAGAAAAAGAGGGCTGCCCTTGCCTGGTCTGCCTGCTATCACGGCTTACTTAATCCCAATCTCGAAGTCAGGAGGATGGAGACGACATCAGGATCGATGGGCGTTTGTAAAAGAAAAAAAAATGCAGTCCAAAATTAACCAGTGCGGCTAACAGAAACACACGGGGAGGGGATAAATAGAAAATCGTGCAAGTAATAGAGAGAAAAATAAGATGTGTTTGGATTTCGGGGAGAGAGAAACCGATTGCTGGAGTATTAGTTGATGGATATATGAGGGGGATTAATGGCGGCGATGAGGCTCCAGCTCGCGATTATGCCGGGGTGTGCGACCCGGGAAAGTGTGTGGCGGAGGTCGCAGGGAGCAGGCGCGAAGCTCTGGCGGGTGTTGGATGCGCTTGGTGTGATCGTTTGCTTGATCCGGCGTAAGGCGACCAGAGGGGTAATACTAGGCAGGTGTGGTCTAGAGGGGCAGGCCACTCTATATGTAAAGTGCCTGCTATTTTATACACATTCGTTGCTCACATTCAGGCTGGGGTTTTGGGAGGCTGTCATTCGCTGAAGTGGATCCACCTATGATGGTACGTGCGTCGTACCTCCCGATGTATCAGGAGCTCCCAAGGGGCAAGACTTGTGTAAGGTCGAAGGGCAAGAAGGGATATGAAGTACCCCCGTACCCCCTTCCCCAGACACCTGCCACCTGGTATTTTCACTAATACATCATTTCCAGTGGAACTATTTGATGAGTACCTAGGTACATTGATCAACCTTTCTCAACAACAGGATCGATCTCGCGCCTGCACGAAAGCAGTCTGACTGTGCGACACTGCGTCAAGTGAGGAAGCAGGAGGGAGGGGAAACGCCTAGTTCAACTAGGCCTGCGGTCTCAACGTTGGCGGCCGAGTGTTTCGTCAAGTCTATGTCGTTCGAGCCGGCAGCTAACAAGCCATTTGACATTTGATCGTCCAGGTCTCGCCTCTTCGCCGAGCCCCGACAAACGAGGGAAAGGAACGGCACCGCTGCCTTCTTTGAGCAGCCAGAGACCGGAAAGGTACTTGTCGAGAACAGAACGATGCTGGGGGATACGTTTGTTTCCCGTTTTTGATGATGAAGAACCGCAGGCTGATGCATGCGTCAGTCCTCCCGGGAAAAATAAAAAAGGCGAGAATATCCCAAAGGGATGAACCTCGAAACGTCTTGACGCCCTTGAATATTCTTCCGGGGCGTTAGTCCTGGCGATCAAGAACAAGTATTCAACCTCCTCGCCGGACAGGATCTACCTGAACCTGACAAATGATGGAGAAAGAGGGAGGAGGGAAGAAGAGGAACGGCGCTGGGGACATGCCGTGCAAATCCCAGGATTGATTTTGCCATGTTTGCACCAGGTAGCATTCTAACCCTCGGGGGTTTGGACGCACAATCCAGCCACAGAACCAAAGTTAGCTCGAATTACTTCTGCAGGGTGCCACAAATTTTGATCGACTTATGCATTTCGCGTTCAACTATTGGCCTTCTTAAAATTCCTTGTCAGAGGGACTCAAGCTTCCTCTCTCCAAGGGCGCGTCTTTTTGTCCCCCACTTCGTTCTTTGACGGGTGGAAAGACATCCAAGGAACATCAGGCCTCCATTTCTCGGACATGGGTTATGGCTATTATTAACGAAGTAAATGACAAACTGCGGGTGGGAGGAGCGGTGGCCCTAGAGATATTGGCGGTTGACGGGATGCAACGGATTCTTAGTGACTTTTCGGAGTGAGACATCAAATGAAGGAACGAGGCGTGCCCCTGAAGCCCATCCGCCGAACCCAACATCGTCTCTAGATGCCGGGACACCGAACATTCCCAACCCAATATGACGACAAGAGAGGCATAAAGAGAGGCTTTCGAAAAACGCTTCTCAAAGTCGTGGAACGTCTGCAAGGCTGCGTGTTGTTACAGGAACCACAGGTCGTCAAATTCGAAATCGACATTTACTTGTAGCAATCTAAATGGAATACTACTACCGAGCCTCCATGCAACCACCGAAGCAAGTTCTGCCTCATTTCTGCCCCCAAGAGCAAAACGTGGTATTACCAGTCGCTGCTCTTGGCCATGACAGCCTCGATTGCCCCCTGTCATCCAGCCGTTTCTGGCCAATCACATGGGGTTCAAGGCGGCTCCGCCCCACTAATGGAGCAGGGGTCAGGAGTCAGCCATTGCCCGCCACAGGAAGAAAAAAGGAAAAGAAAAGAAAAGAGGGAAAAAGGCTGGTCGCACACATCAATTCCAGAGATGGAAATTGGCCGTTGGGGCCACCACACACGCCCCAGCGGATTAACAGTTTTTCCGCCACAATCAACACTGGCGCCAAACTGTTCTGCCCAAAGGCGTGACTTGTCTCCGCACGCCCCCTTGCCCCAAATCGCGGGTTTCGACGCGTCGTCGCCAGCTCTGACGTCCACCCTAACAGTCCACGCCAACACCCCCACGAGGCACGTCGACGAGCGGTGTCCCCACCATATTCATCTTCGCAACAAGGTGAAAGATTCGTCGTATCCTCTGCTACCCCTTTCATTATTGACTGGTATTGCGACAACGCGCTGCCGCCCGGCGGCAATTCTAATTCACGATGCATATCAAACAAATCATCATTCAAGGCTTCAAAAGGTTCGTCTAGTCGCGCTCACTCCGCCCCGCTCGTCGCTTCGGGCGCTGACATTCTTTCGCAGCTACAAGGATCAGACGGTTGTCGAGCCTTTTTCTCCCGGGACAAATGTAATTGTTGGTCGCAATGGTTCGGGGAAGAGTAACTTCTTCGCCGCGATACGCTTCGTCCTGAGCGATGCCTATACCCAGTTAAGTCGCGAGGAGCGCCAAGCGCTCTTGCACGAAGGATCTGGATCTGCTGTCATGTCGGCCTACGTCGAGATCATATTTGATAATTCCGACGAGCGCTTCCCGACCGGCCACTCAGAAGTCATTCTGCGCCGCACAATCGGCCTCAAGAAAGACGAATACTCGGTGGATCGCAAGGTTGTCACCAAGTCCGACGTCACGAATCTTCTCGAAGCCGCCGGTTTCTCGCGCTCAAACCCCTACTACATTGTGCCCCAGGGACGCGTGACAGCCTTGACGAACATGAAGGAATCCGATAGGCTAACCCTCTTGAAGGAGGTGGCCGGTACTCAGGTTTACGAGGCGCGCCGTCGCGAGTCTCTAAAGATCATGGAAGAGACGCGTGACAAGCAGGGCAAGATTGACGAGCTTCTCCAGTATATCCGGGAACGTCTAGCTGAGCTTGAAGAGGAAAAAGAAGAACTGCGTGGGTTTCAAGACAAGGATCGAGAGCGCCGTTGTCTCGAATACGCATTCTATCACCGCGAGCAGGTTCAGGTTCAGGATGCTCTCGACGAAATCGAACGGGTGAGGGAAGGGGAAAGGATAGCACCGACGAGTATCGCACTGAGTTTTTACATGGCGAAAAGACGATTGCACGACTGGATGCCGAAATCCATCGACTTCAACGCGAAATGGAGCTCCTGGGCATTGACAAACGCCAGCTCGAAGAGGATCGTCGCGAGAATGCCAAGGCTCGCGCAAAAGCGGAGATGGCTCACAAGAACCTATCAGACGGACAGTCGGCCCAAGAGCAGGCGCGAGCGACCCATGCGGCCGAGCTCGAGGCCGTTCGCGCGGACATCATCGCCAAGGACCAGGAGCTTGCTAGAATCATCCCAGACCTCACGCGACGCAGGATGAAGGAGGACGAAGCGAAACAGAATCTCGACACTGCTGAAGCCACCCGAGCGCGTCTCTTCACCAAGTCGACACGAAGCTCGCAATTCAAGAACAAGGCGGAACGAGACGCTTGGCTTCGCAAGGAAATAGACGAGGTCACACTCGCCCTCGGCAATCAAAAAGCCAACCGGATTGATGCCGACGAAGAAGTCAAGCGAGTCGAGCTAGCGATCAAGCAGCTGGAACAAGAGGTCATTCTCCTCAGGTCAAGGCTCGAATCTTGGGGTGGAGACAGATCATCGCTCGTGGACGATGTCACCAAGGCGCGCGATGCATTGGACCGACTCAACGATGAGAGGCGCATGCTACGGCGTGCCGATGATAAGCTTGATTCCGTTATCGCCGACGCCCGTCAGGAGCGGGACCAGGCAGAACGAGACCTTGGACATGCCATGGATGGTGCTACTGCTCGGGGCCTCGCGACGATCCGACACCTTAAGAAGGAACGCGACATTCCCGGCGCTTACGGTACCCTTGCTGAGCTTCTCGATGTCAGTGATGCCTACAAGCTTCCCGTCGAACAAGTTGCGGGAGCTAGTCTCTTCCATTATGTGGTCGATGATGAGCGGACTGCAACCTACCTCGCCAACATCCTCCACAAGCAGCATGGAGGACGAGTGACTTTTATGCCTCTGAACCAGCTTCGGCCCCGGCCGATCAACCTGCCGAGGAGTGCCGATGCGGTTCCGATCCTCAGCAAGATCAAGTACGAGTCCACCTACGAAAAGGCTTTCCAGCAGGTTTTCGGCAAGACGGTACTTTGCTCTAATCTTACCGTCGCTACCCAGTATGCTCGTAGCCATGGGGTTGATGGAATCACGGCAGAGGGAGACACATCGAGCAAGCGAGGAGCCATGACTGGTGGTTATATTGACCCTCGCAAGTCGCGTCTCGATGCTGTCAAGACTGTGAGCAAGTGGCAAGACGAATATACCAAGAAGATTGCGGAATCCGACGAGATTCGGAGACAAATTGAGAGGAAGGATCAGGAAATCACCCGTGCCATGGGTGAGTTGCAAAAGGCGCAACAGCGCCTGCGCCAGGTTGACGACGGCTTCGAGCCGCTCAAGGCTGAACTACGCGCCAAGACGGGGCACCTAGAAAACGAGCGGTCTCAGCTGGACGCGGCGTGGAAGCGACGGGACACGGTCGAAAGGCACATGAAGGCGTTTTCCGAGAATCTTTCTGCTCACGAAGCCGAACTTGCGTCAGAGTTTAAGAAGGCTTTGACGACTGCCGAGGAGAACCAACTGGAAGATTTCGGCCGAAGAGTGCAAGAATTCCACAAGCAGTGGAATGATTTCAGCAAGAAGAGGAGGGAGCTCGAGCAGAGGAAACAAATTCTCGAGGTCGACCTGCGTCACAACCTCCAACCAAAGCTTGATCAACTCAACAGCTTGGCGTTTGAAAACTCAGCCTCGGCCGGCACGAGCCTCTCGGAAGCCGCCCGAGAGCTACAGCGCCTGCAGAACTCATCGGGCGCCATCCGGAAGAAGCTCAAGGAGATCGAGGCTCAGCTAGAACGACAGCAAAACGAGATCTTCGAGTTGGAGGGCCAGAAGAGCGAGCAGGAGCAGTCTCAACAGGAAATCGCGGCCAGAATTGAGAGGCAACAGAAGAGAATCGAGAAGAATCTCCAACGCAAGGCCCTCCTAACCACTCAAGCCACGGAATGCGCGAAGCAGATCCGAGACCTTGGTGTCCTGCCTGAGGAGGCCTTTGATAAATACGAAAGGATGGACGGCAAAGTGGTACGTACAGTTTGCCCTGCCTCCTAGGATCGCTCTAGTCGCAATAACAAAACATGCTAATGTCTTCTTCCACAGATTGCCTCCAGACTCAAGAAGGTCAATGAAGCCCTCAAGAAGTACAAACATGTCAACAAGAAGGCGTTTGAACAGTACAACAGCTTCACGAACCAGCAGGATCAGCTTCTGAAACGACGAAGCGAACTCGAAGAGTCTCAATCGTCCATTGAGCAACTCGTTGAGCATCTTGATCTCCGCAAGGACGAGGCTATTGAACGAACATTCAAGCAGGTCTCCAAGGAATTCGCCACCATCTTCGAGAAACTTGTCCCAGCTGGCCACGGTCGCCTCGTGATCCAACGCAGAACCGACCCGCGCCACGATGCGGAAGAATCGGAAGATGAGGCTCAACCGGCCAGCAAGGTTGACAACTACATTGGTGTCGGCATCAGTGTCTCCTTCAATTCCAAGGAGTTTGACGAACAGCAGCGCATCCAACAGTTGTCTGGTGGACAGAAGAGTAAGTCTACCTCCTCCCCTCCCCTCGCTTGGGCAATTCTTTCGCTAGACTTCCCGTCTCTAACCTGGAATTAGGTTTGTGCGCGCTCTGCCTCATTTTTGCCCTCCAGCAAACGGAAAGCAGCCCTATGGTTATCTTTGACGAGGTGGATGCCAATCTTGACGCCCAGTACCGTACCGCTGTTGCCGCTCTTCTCGATTCCATCTCCAAGGAGGCCGGCACTCAGTTCATCTGCACCACCTTCCGACCGGAGATCGTACATATCGCCGACAAATGTTACGGAGTAACCTTCCACAACAAGACGAGTTCCATTGACTGCGTCCCCACCGAGCAGGCACTTGAATTCGTCGAAGGCCAGAAGAGGTAACCGTGGTTAGATGATATTGAAAGCGGAGGAAGACATGATGTGTATATGGTATAGGAGAGCTGACGCCCGGGTCATGACTGGTCGAGTGAGGGCACTCGGGAGTGGCAGAAGATTATGGCTTTCACTTGTCTTGTTCCTTCCGCCTTTCTCTTGGGGCTGGGTTGTCCTCGCCATCTCTCCTGTGGGCAGATGGCTCGGGCGAGCCCCGTGTAAAAGGCTCAACGGCTGGTGTTGGGGCGTTTTTTATTCTCCTTCGGGACCGGGGGAAGGGGAAGGGGAAGGGGCGGTGATTTCTCAACCTGGAAGCGTGCGTGCGAGCGGTGGGCATTCTGTGCAAACTCACGGCAATGACAAGATCAGATCTAGATGACCTCGTCGCTTGGAGGACTTGCGCCCCCATATGCGCTGATATATATTATTACATGTAGTACATTACATGCTGCTGGCTTCGGGTACAGGTGTTGACGTAAAAATTCGAAGGAAGCGAGGAGTAATTAGCTTTTTGGTCCCAAATAGTCGTTTCTTTTTGCACTTGTGTCGGCGTTTTTACACGTGAATTCTCGAGCATGTTGGGTATAGCATTCGAACGGACTTCCCCTCCAAGACAGCCCTTTAAACGCGAGCCAAGGCAAACTAATGGGAATCCTGCGTTATGGAGAGTGGTCCTTTTTCTCATGGGGTGCCTCTACTCTGTAGTAAGAGAATTCTATGACGCCGTAGATATACAGTAGATACGCTATGGTACACGATAGTGGTTCTAAACCTTGATTTTTACTCTTCATACACTCCACCAGACAATGATCCGACCTCATTACCTATCGGCCATCATGTTTCGTACACCGTGGAAGTACTCGGGGGTCAGCGTCTCCTTGAGCTCCTCCCTCGTTAGCCACTGGAAGTCCTGCAGGCCAAACTTGTTGCTTGCCAAGTCTGCCTGGCCCGCCATGATCCTGCCCTTGATGAAGAATGACTTGACCCCACGCTGGGTCTCCGTTCCATCCGTACCGACGACAGGCTTGTTGACGACATGCGCCACGGGGACACGGCCTACGAGCCATGTGTTCATATTGACACCGGCCGAATCGTCGAGTGCTCGGCGAGCAGTCTACCCCAGCGTTAATATCTGTTTTTGTTTTCTCCTCTTCTTTCTCATTCATATTGATTGGGTCTTACCTCGTGAAGTGCTTCATCCGTCGTGACAGGTGCCGTAGGAAACTCCCACTTGCCATCCTTAGTCTTCACAACCAGGTACAGTGTGCGGTCGAGCTTGCGGTCGAGCCTCTTCACATCGTTCGTCTTATCCGCTTCCGTCTCCCGTAGCATAGGTCGTTCGACGGGCACACGCTCTTCGGGGGATTTCTTCAGCATCATCGCTGACCCTCTGCTCCGCATCCTTCAGCAGCATGTTCATCAACGTTTCCGGGCTCGAAAGCTTATCCCCGACCCTCAACTCGTCGTCCCACGCGGTCGCCGACCGGCCGTTGTATTGGCCAATCTCTCGCGCCACGACGCCGTTGCGCTCCTTGAGTTTGATGGACCAATCGAGCTGCGGAGGCGTGTCGCGCTTGAAAAACGCCTTTTGGCTAAAGGGGAGGACGAGGCGTTCGTTGAGCCTCTTTTGATAAAAGTAGTATGAGCTCTCAAAGGGAGTCTCCTCCTTTGTGAGAAGCGGTGGACGGGTGAGGATGACACCGCCCTTGATAAGGTAGCGGACATTGTCCTTGGGGATAGATGCGGGCTCGACGGGCGGCGGCCGGGTTGTGGTAGGGGGCGGAGGGGAGGAGGGTTGGCTCGAGGATTGATCAATAGAGGGCGACGAGTAGCATCGCACAGAGACGGGATATCGTCGTATCGAGCATTTCGGCGTCAATCTCGGATTTGCTAGTCAAGAGCTGTTAGCTAAAAACGCGACGCGGGCAGCAAGCAAGAAAAATCGCAGGTATAGGGTGAGCTTAGGCTGCCAATCACTTACCCCTGGAGATGAATTGAAAAGCCTTCTGGCCTCTACTTGATGCTGCCATGCTTGTATACCTTTCTGCCCCGGATTTCCAGAGCAATCGATACTAGAAGGCGTCGTGCAGTTCGTGATAGACGGAAGGAGAAGGACTCGCGATGCGCGGAACTTTTTTCTTTCAAGGTACGTACCTGCCTCGAATGAAGCGGACCAAACTCATCCAGCGGGAACCCCCTGTTTGAACCTCGCAGCCTAAGGCGCCGAAAAGAGTCAAGGCCAAAATTCGTGAGGGCCTGCTGGCGGATTATGTCATCCAATTATTGACCCACCTCTGCCGCACACAAAAGTCTTCGATCCCCGTCCGCCAGTCCTCCCGCTTTTCTCTCTTCTTCACCATTCATGGCGCTCACTCCTTATCATCAAGACCTGTTTGACTTCACAGTACTGTCCTGATCGTTTACGAGTGCCTATATTGAGGCAGCGAATGCCGAACAGTCTTTTCGCTAGCAGTACCTACTAGCCAACGTGCTAACCATCACTACAAGGTCCTGTTAGATAGATTCTGATCACATCTCCTACGCTTAGGGCCAGTTGCACAAGCAGGTCCAGGCTCTCGCCGAACCGACGAATGAGCCGTTGGAGATGCTGGTCGGTGATAATCAATAACAAATGATGCTACTCGCGGAACCCGGTCTACACCGCTTTGTTTCCAGACCAAATTTCTTGGTCTCGTTCCCGAGATCGGGTTTTGTCGCAGCGGCCCTTGTTCCTCTCCATGCTAAAAGCTTTTTCTGATGTGACTGATTGATTTACCGAAGCGACAATTGCGCGCGAGAAGCCCTACTACCGATGCTGCCAAATACGTCGGAACCACCGAACTAAATGGCGGCAGAAACTTGATGCTTTCAGGAGCAGCAAATGAAAAATGTTATCTCCGTTTTGTCGTAAAATGAGCGCTTCGCTCACCTATACTTTCGTGGGAATAGATTTTGGGTGAATACAATGATTACACTACGAGCCTAGCGATCGAGCGAAAGCGACCTTGACTCGGATACGCGCTCAAGCGCCATTATCGACGCCCCTATGCCATACAAGATCACGAAACGAAATAGTGGCGGCTTAAGAAATTTAGAAAAGCGCAATATCAGATTAATCACGGCAATTGGTCTCATCTAGAGCAATCAGCCGGGTATCTATCCCCAAGTATTCAGTACTCCCGAAACGCCCCAGAGGACGAAGCTGCGTCCGGTATTTGCAAGAATCCCCAAAAATAAGAAATGGAAAAAGATATGGCCACCAAAAAAAAGAGGACCTTCGCTGTTCCTACGCCAAACGCTAAAATGCAAGCCGTGTTAAGCATCGTTTTCTCTTGCTACGCCTTAGATTCGGCAACAGCCCGGGCTACTTCTTTCGAAGCAACCTTCTCCCATGTCTTCATTGAATCATTGTCAAGCAAGGTAGGGTCCTTGATTTCGTCATAAAGTTTTCTTGAAACATCCCGGTTGATGTTCGAGTATTGCTCCGTCGTCAGCTCCCGAGCATGCCAGTGGGGCTTCAGAGCTGTGCGAACAATGCAGTTGATGCTCGCTTTCGCCTCCGGGGAGAGCTGGTCTCTTGTGGGTGAAGAGTCGATGGACCTTACAGCACGTTCTTCCTGAGGTCTTCGGGGTCGAGGTTGTCGAATCTCCAGCGTTTGGCAGGTTGGCAGAGCCTGCGGTGGGGGCAAAGCCTGTGAGGTGGATGGGGAAGAGGGAGAATTCTGTACTGTTTGAGGATGGCTCTTTTCGGCTCGCGCATCCAGGTCTTGATCACGCGATGTGGTCTGCCGCGTTGGGGAATAGTTGGCCTTTGGGTACCGAGGTTCAACATACGAACTCAGCGATAACGGCGGCGAATTAGGTCGTCCAAGACTGAGGGGCGGGGGTGTGAGAGAGAGAGCTCGCGGGCTATTCTGCGCGGAGATGGAAGGGGAGCTTGCCGGAGAAGCCGCATCCGTTGGGGCTCGTCCGAAATAGTTTTTGACATTTTCGTCATCTGACGGTGTGCCCACACCGACCTCGACTTCCTTCAACAAGGCGGAAAGAAAGGAGGGAGCTTCCGGGTCACCGATGCGCGCACCTGGACCAGCTTCGCCCGGTCGGGCAGCACCTGCAACAGCTGGTTTAGACCCGGACGCCTCCGAGTGTGGAGGAAGGAACCTCCGGGTTCTCGGTCGCTTGAGCTTCCGCTCGGGTTCCTGGACCGGCTCGGCGGGAGATGTAGTTGGGGCGCGCCGTTTCCGGCTGTTGGAAGTGGGGTTTGCTTGTTCAGTGATGCGAGCTCGCTCCAAGGCACCCCATGACCTAAGCTCATCTCGGGTTTCTTGCACGGGTTGTACTGGTTGCGCAGGGGTTCGTTGCTCGAGCTGTTGACGCGCAGCTCGGGGAGGCTGTTGGTGAAGACTTCGCCCGCTCCGAGGCGGCTAGCAATGCTGACCCGCTGTTGCCACCTCTGATACTCGCGCTGCTCGCGTTCACGGAGGACCTGAGACATGCGGAACTCTGCGAGAGCGTCGTCGTCCTCGTGGTTGTCCAAGTCAATTTGGAGGGCGTCATAAACACGACCGGCGAACTGACCCCACGGGCCAGCCCAAGCTAGGGAGCGAGCTTGGCGCCTAGCTCGACGCATCCTCTCCCGAGTGCGAGGAAAAATCGCGAAGAGGCACCAGCGGCGGTTCGGCGCTGGCGTGGGCGGCGACGGACTGGCCTCCCCTCGGCCTCCTCTTCTCCGGCAGCCGTGCGAAAGTCATCTGCACACTCCATGCAGTACCAGTTGCCCGAGGGAATATAGTCAAGCCGATACAGTAGGTATGATATGCGGCGTCGCATCCGTCGCAAAGAAGGAGGACATCTTCCCTGTCGCTCGAGCTACATACTGGGCAAGGTTGCTCAGGCTCGGCCTCCTCTTCCTCCGCGTTATCGGCGAGCCAGGCTTGAGGGTCAAACTCGGCCACCTGTTTCTTTTCCTCAATTTCTATGCATTCAATAATAGTTCCTATAAAACGGTCGCCGTGTGGGCGAAGAATGTTAGCAAGCTGGTAAATTCCCCAGGATGGCCAAGACGAAAAAGACTGTGTACGAGTAGGGGAGGAGCGTCTCATGGGTAGAGGAGACAAATGTGACGTACCAGAGACACCATCAAAGACGCGGAGTTGTCGAAAGGGCTCACGACAAATTGGGCATGTATTGGTCTTCTGAGCCCATAATCGGATGCAAGAATCGTGAATAACATGATTACAACCGTCAAGAGCAGCGATTCTGGTGTTGGCATCGGAATTCGCTGCATCAGGGTCGAGGATGCTCGAGGCGTCAGGTGGATCCGTGGGCACCTCAAGCGCCATGTCGAGCTCTGTGGCTGTCACCACAGAGGGGGCTTGGCCAGGATGACCAGCGGCTCCAGGCATATGATGCACTGATCGTGTTCAGTCATTTTCGGGTTTCGACGACGACGACAGGATCGTGATGGCTTCATAAAATTGGCCTTACTGGAATCTCCGATCAAATTCGGATTTTACAGATTAACCAAATTCCCCTAATTTGAGGATGAAGCCGATGAAAATGATGTTGAAAACACCACGAGGTAAATGGCTGGCAGAATGGAAATTCCGAGTTGCGAGAACCTGGACCGCTGCGCTGCACTCTAAAGCGAATGACAGGCGGTGGCAGTAGGCGGTGGGTTTTGGGGCGATCGGGGAGGTTTTAGGGCGGATGGGCTGCAAAAGTAATAGTGCTGGGGGTGGTGGATCCTTCCTCGCCCAGCGTAAGATGTAGGGGTAACAAGTAAGAGCGGAAGGAGCTGACTGGACTGACTGTGGGAGGGAGAAAAAAGTTGAGGAAGGAATTGCCCGTCCGGCCTTTTGGAGGGGAGGGGAAACCAGCAGTATGCTCGCCCCGAGTGCTGACTAGGCGGGCCTAACACACAGTGTGAGCGGTGTAGAAAGTGTGGACCAGGAGGAAAGAAGGGGAGAATCGGGCCAGCTCTGCGCCGTCAAGGTACCCAACTTTAGAACTGACAGAGTGTGAAAAAAGGTCGGGGTCAAGCCGGAAGGGATCTAAAGAGGATTATGCAATATGCCGAGGCAGGGACAGTGCGTGACGTGGTTGGTGCCTTGGTGTTGTGACTATACTATGCAGCCCATTGGCCAGCTACATGAATCAGTCCAGGACTCCCTGCACAACTCACTTGCAGACGACCAGGGCAGGGAGCAGAGTGCTCCGTGACTGCCCAGACCAAGCAAGTCTCGAGGAAGCGGCGGGGGCCACAAGAACCCCAGCGATGATCTCCTCCGAAAGCGCTGCGTGTTGTCGGGCTCAGATGGCCGAGCAATCGAGGGCCTCTGCTTCAGAAGCCTACCGATCTAAGTCGTCAATTTCCGGTCAGGACAAGGTGGGGGAAACACCCTACTGGAGGGAAAAGTTGTGTACCTCGCTGGTTGCAGGACGCACCGTCTCAATCTTCCGGCGAGGATGAACTCTTGCCTTGGGTCAAATTGTGGCATGTACTCGTGTGCGTATGCGTGCGTGTCTGCGGTACTCCCGAAACTTGAAAAATTTCCAAACTTAACACATTCAGTGTTAAGACAGGCAGACGGGGGATGGGCCTGATGGGGTCAAAAACGGCAGAGCGCCCAGTCATGCCGCATCTCCAGACCATGCGGACCGAACAGCCTCCCGCTAGAAATTGCAACCTTGGGTCAGCCAGAAAGGTCGGGGCTGGTAGAGAGGCAGCACAGGCTCCTTTGGCTTGTTCTCAACTACGCTATCCCAGAGGAAGGTAATAAGTACAGATCGATCAAATGTATTGCTCGAAACGTTAGGGAAAAAGAGTATCTACAAGACTTTGGGGGAAGGAGAAATGCCCTCTTTTTATCCTTCTTTCTTGATTGTTTCGATCCCCTCTGGCCTCCTAAACAGAGCTGTTTGACGGGTGATCCCTGGTGTGTACCCGAAGTGAACTCGATCCACGGTCACAGCTTTTGGTACGGTACACGTCAACACTTGCGTGAAGGGGCAGACCCAGCGGAACCGGCAGAAGCACCAAAAGTGATCACCGGAACCGTTATTTCAAGAAGGGTCGTCTCTCGAGGCAGGAAGAGTGGAGTGAAAAGCGGGGCCGCTAGGAGGCAACAAGGTACGTACACCAGCACTCTTCAGGCCTCAAAGCTTGTGCTGTCGTCGATAGTGCAGTTCAATTGTTGGGCAAGTTCGACAATTTCGGGAGAGGAGAAACAGTAGATAGTCCTGGGAGCTCGCAAAATGCTTGAAGGGTGGAAATAAAAGCAAAAGTGAAGTGAAATAAAGGGAAGGGAAAGAAGGGCGCCGATTCCGTTACTGAAACAAAGTTACTGCTTCGAGCTAGTTGACTCCTGCCTCATGAGTTGGGGAAGTAGGGAACATAGTAAGTCTTTGCACTATGTACGTTTAGTTCAGTCAAGACGGCTCGTGCTGTGGTCTCTCAGGCCGCCACAGTCCAAGGTCTTGCTTGTTCGTGAACAGTATCGCATTCCGTTCGCCTCGGACTGATATTCCTCTCTTTCGTGTGAATTCTGTGCTCAAAAATATACAGAGGAGGATTATGCAAGTTTAGACGATCAACGGAGAGATCCAGGCTCGTCTGCATTGGGAGGGTTTCCTGTGCAGAATAAAAGCTGCAGGTCGTACTCGCGGCCGAGCCAAACGGGGCTGGATGAGACAAATCAACCTGGCACATCTGAGCTAGGCTCAGGCTTAATCTGAAGTCCCTTTTTTGACTGTCGAGATAAAGAGGCAATACGGTACCTCGGTAGAGGCAACGCGTTTAGATCGGACATCATCGTATTTTCTACTCTCGTCGAAGCCAAAGAGACATCTGTAGACGGAGTGGGGAACTTTGTGTCTCAGTCTGGAAGCCGGTTTTCAAGCTTACCTTGATAGTCCTCAGGGAGTGCTGACTTGGGGAATCAACCCCTTCCTTGGGTTCGGAATTGCTGGACAGAAGAGAACGCTTGTTCAGTCGCTTCCATCTCTCCTTTTTCCCCTCCTTTTTTTTCTTTTTTTCTCTTTTGGTTCCCTCGGTTGCTCTACAACGTAAGAACAATGCCCCCTTTATTTGGACAGAGACAGGCCTTAACATGATAGCTCCCAAGCCGTGACTCAATATCAGTCATTTAACACATGGCGAGCGTTCCAGACACTCGACTAGCCGAGGAACGGGTTCACCAACCCGCGTGAAACTCTTGCCCCTAGACTGTGCGGGAATGCGACCTCTAGTTACGCACTTTAGTTACAAGCATCTATTGGCACGTAATATGGGGCGAGTATTCGTTGTATTGGAGGTTGCGCGTAGCCTTGCGTTTATCAGATGACTCCCTCACCAGAGTCTTTGCCGATAGCATTGAAGCAGTAGCCGCGCATTCACGCAGGTACAAGGACACAAGATTGATCAGCCACCACGGCTGATGGGCTGGCGTGCCCAGAGATGACAGGCAGCCCATAAACTCAGCTAGGTCCTTTATAGGGAACTCGCCGACAGCCATCTTCTTTTCGCTTCGTGAGTGGCATCAACGGCTACTCAGCGGTTGATGACTCCCTCAGTTAACTGGCGTAGTCACTCATGATTGGCCATGGAGATGTAAGCACTTGCCACCCCACGATGCACGAGTGAAGGGCGCCTCCAGAAATGACTTGCAAGGGTAAGGAGAAAACGCGAGGCAAAGGGCTTAAACTTGTGTAGACTTTCTGAGGCTCAAGAGTTATTGGTGGTAAGAGGGCGACTGGAGGCATTGAGCTCGAGCCGCGTGTGACTCGAGGCTGGGTCATATTCAGATACCGAAAAATCTAGCATGTTGACCGAGATGGGAGCTATCCACAAGAGATCTCGTTTAGTCGAGTATTAACGCTGGATTCAAAATCTCATTTTTGCAGGTCATCGTGGTTTTGGTGGGATTTATCTTGGATCCATCCATCACATAATAGTGTTCACTCACGCTGGACTACTTAGTCTTGGAGCTGAATATTCACAGGTCGCGGGGCCAGTGTTAAAATCGCCAGGCGGCGACAATGGCTAAACCCCGGCACAACATTGAGGTTGGCGGGGTTGGCTTGAGTAGGCAAGCTCCATCCCACCGTTGCTAGAAAATTTGGAAGCGTATAGAAGAGCCCCGATTTGAGCACGACACGACATACCAGCAGCCAAAGACGTACAATTCCTGGCAGACCTGCAATCGAATATCGCCAACCATGTCGTCCCTCAACATACCAGACGCCCCCAATGCGGGCCTTTTCAAGGGCGGTTACAACAAGTATAGACCATCCACCAGCAATTCTCCCATCCCACCGCCACCACGTCCCACGCATCGACGCTAATGTTTGTGATAGCTACGATTCCGAAGATGGTGCCATCCTCCGAAATATCGACGCCTGCCGCGCCATTTCTTCCACAGTCCAGACCTCCCTCGGGCCCTATGGCCGTAACAAGATTGTCGTCAACCACCTCCAGAAGATGATTCTGACCTCCGACGCCGCCACGATCCTCCGCGAGCTCGACGTCGTCCACCCCTGCGCCAAACTCCTCGTGATGGCCAGCCAGCAGCAAGAGGCCGAGATGGGAGATGCCACGAATTTTGTCATGGTCTTTGCCGGCGAGCTCCTTCGGAAAGCCGAAGAGCTCCTCCGAATGGGTCTCAAGACGGCCGATATCGTCAGCGGCTACGAGCAGGCTCAGAAGCATGCCCTCGAGGCGCTCGAGCTGCTCGTCGTCGACAAGGTTGAGGATATCCGCTCCGACGAGGAGCTCAGCAAGGCCATCAAGACAGTCGTCGCGAGCAAGCAAAACGGCAACGAAGAGCTGCTCGCTGACCTCGTTTCCAACGCCATTCTTGCCGTGCTGCCCAAGAACCCCGCCAACTTCAACGTTGACAACATCCGAGTCGTCAAAATCATGGGTGGGAGCCTTGAGAACAGCCGAATCATCAGGGGCATGGTCTTCCCAAGGAGCCTAACGGCTCGGTCAAGAAGGCCAAGAAGGCCAAGGTCGCTGTCTTCACCTGCCCCATCGATGTCAGCCAGACAGAAACTAAGGGCACCGTGCTTTTGAAGAACGCCAAGGAGATGCTGGATTTCTCCAAGGGAGAGGAGACGCAACTTGAGGCTGCTATCAAGGAGCTTCACGATGTTGGCTTGAGGGTTGTCGTCGCCGGTGCGCAGGTTGGCGATTTGGCCCTGCACTACCTTAACCGCTACGGTATCCTCATCATCAAGATTCTCAGCAAGTTTGAGTTGAGGAGAATCTGCCGCGTAGTTGGAGCCACTCCTCTGGCTAGGCTAGGCGCCCCCATGCCCGACGAGATGGGTACGATAGATGTCGTCGAGACCCTCGAGATCGGAGGAGACCGCGTCACCGTCTTCAGGCAAGAAGAGGAAACAACAAGGACAGCAACCATTGTCCTGCGAGGTGCGACTCAGAACTACCTTGACGACGTTGAGCGCGCGGTAGACGACGGCGTCAACGTGGTTAAGGCCATTACAAGAGACCCCCGACTGGTACCCGGAGCGGGTGCCACCGAAATCCAACTCGCCTCTCGAATCACCGCTCTTGGTGAGAAGACGCCCAACCTTCCTCAATACGCTATTAAGAAATACGGTGAGGCCTTTGAGGTCATTCCTCGCACCATTGCCGAGAGCGCCGGCCTTGATGCTACCGAAGTTCTTAGCCGGCTCTATGCTGCGCACCACAAGCAAGAGAACTGGGATACTGGTGTCGATGTCGAGGTAAGCTGGTCCCCACGCTCGAGCCTAGCAAACACGCCGGAAGCTAACTTTGGGGTTTTCTCCCCTTCTAGAACGAGAAGCGAACCGGTGTCTTGGATACCAGGAAGGAGAGCATCCTTGACCTCCTCATCTCCAAACACTGGGCTATCAAGCTTGCTTCTGAAGCCGCGAGGACTGTCCTATCAGTCGACCAAATCATTGTCGCCCGACAGGCCGGCGGGCCTAAGCCTCCAGGCCCTAACCCCGTAAGTAGCAGTTTTTAAGACAGCAATGTATATTGGCATATTATGATACTAACAATTACTTCTTTCTTACTATTTAGAACTGGGATGAGGATTAAAGGAAACAAGGAGTTTGGGTTTTTTGCCAATGACTATGGGCAAGGTGTAATTTCAAGAAGCAAACAAAAAGCAGTTCCGATGGCTAAAGAGCAGGTTTTGATTGGATGTCTCTTTGAATGCTCTACACGCTTCTCTCTGGGACTTGACCCGGGTAGACAAAAAAGATTTCAAGGCAAGCGGGAAGCAAAACAAAAGATTAGATGGGAAACAAAAACACTCAAGACAGCATATACCCACACTAAACTTTGATAGTTCTTATCAATCGGCGACGGCGGATTCTCTCCGGACCGTTCTTAGGATACGTGAGCAGGCGGTACTCATCATAAAAGACTATAGTTGCGACGCATCGCTTTACTAGCAGCCGTACCGCATTGACGTGGACCTTGAAGGAGAAGCCGCAGCTAGCTTTTTCCAGGAAGGGAGATATGCTACCTTGTAGGTATCCTAGTCTTGTAGAACTTTAGACTTGATGACGAAGCCCTGCTGGGCGAGCCTGTCTACGTAGCCTTGGCCCAAGCAAGCGGGAGTGTAACAGCCGCCGTCCAAGTCAAGATTATCCTCGAGAATTGTGAGGGCGGCTTCAGCCACCAACACAGCGGAGACTACCAGACCATGATTAGAGAGAGAAGGAATGAGTGGTGATGATGATGATGGACTCCACAGAGGCATAACTTACAGACATACATGCTGCCGCGGTACTCGGCTTCACAGTAGACCCTCTTCCCATCCTCCCTCGCGGGGTCAGGTAAGGCGACGCCGCGGAAGTTGATGGAATCCCCCTTCGCTGCCTCCACGGTAGGGCCGGCGCCGGGCGCGTACACGAATTTCTTAGCAAGCCACCTCATTGGGGGAAAAAGAGCGAGGAGGGCACCGCCGATGATGAGGCCGAGGTGGATAGCGGCGCCGCGCAAGGCGGAGGGGGCAGCGGCGTACTGGGCCCAAGAGAAGCGAGGCCCGTAGGTGAGGCGGGAGCGGAGAGCGGGGACGGTTTGGTGGAGACCCCAAGAGCGCTCGACGATGACGCCGTCGGTGCGGTTGGCGATGGAGGTGGTGACGCGCCCGAGGTCCGGGAGGACGCGGAGGCCGGTGAAGGGCGTGAGGAGGGTGGAAGGGTCCTTGGGCCGGCGGGTGGGGTTGGGGACCGGCGACATGGCGTATGGGGTGAAGGCCTTGCGGACCTCGGAGGGGGAGAAGGACTCGAAGAAATCGATGGCGCTCGCCAAGGTGCCTCCGGAAGGAGCAGAGCTGAGGGGGAGCGCAAGGACGCCGGGTTAGACTAGGCGAGAGACCGCGATAGAGGGAGGAGGGGTCGAGGAAACAAATGAAGCGGGGGCCGCGGGTTTGGGGATTGGGCGAGAGACGACTCACTTGATAGACATGACGACAGTGACCTTGCCCGTGTCCGCGGCGAGCTCCTCGCGGACGCCCTTGGCAAGGGACCAGGTGAGGACGTCTGAGGGGACGGATTCGACAGCGACCTGGCCGAGAAGAAGGGCGCCCGAGGTCTTGGCGGCGCTTTCGTACTTTTGGATCATGGCCTTGGTCCAGGGGCCTCGCCGGTGGTGTCTAGATAGTGTGTTCCGTGGTTTGCGCAAGCTCGGTAGGCGTACTCTCCGTACTTGGCAAAGGGGCCCACGCAGGCGATGAGGATAAAGGTGGTCTTGGCCAGCTGGTCAAGGTCATCCTGGTCGAGGTTGCAGATTTCGATGTCTGCGCAGCTAGGTTAGCGGGTGATTCTTTGGAGGCTGAAAAGAGGGAACGAGGCAGAGGTATCGTACGGGGTTGGGTCCTGTCGCGGTTGATCTCCTCGCACTCGTCAGCGAGAGTGCGGAGCTTGGACTCGGAACGACCCGCGATGGCCCATTTTAGGTTGATGGGGAACTGGGCGGCGATGTGGTGAGCGGTGCGCTGGCCGGTATAACCTACGGTACCGCTTGTCAGATTATCGGGGACATATTCTTTTTGCGACGCGGGTGGTGCACTCAGCCAGCCGGCGTTCAACTATAGTCAATGAAGATGGGTGATCTGTTGATCTGAACGGCTGGAACCCTCAACATTGGCCAATGGCATGGGCGTGCGACAGCAGCAGCAGGGGAGGTGAGGACGAACCGGTAGCTCCATACACCACGATATCATACTTGCGGCTATGATCTTTGAAAGGCATGGTGAAGATGACGAAAAAAATTAGGCCTTGTTCAACAAGCTCATGCGCGCACAGCAGGCAAGAGGGATAGGGGAAAATAAAGAAATCCTTTCTCCAGTTTAGGAAAGGAAGCTCAAGGATGACACGACACGAGTCTGCAGATGCCGATGCAAGCTTGGTTTTCTTCGCGAGCGAGTAGAATAGCGAAGCATTCGGATATTTAGTGGGAGGTGTAGATCTGGAGAATTGGTTCGGCCGGCTGCGAGGTGGCGTCGTACGTGGTGATATGATCAAAATGCATATGAGCCCCAGACAGAGGTTTCGTGAGTGGCATGACCTCAGACCCAGACCCGGGAGAATCATCAAATCGTGGAAGCATTAACAACAGCTGGCATTTCAATTAAGGTGTGAAGGAATCGATTCTTGTATTTCTATCTCGTCAGTTTCTCGTGGAGAAGAGGAACCCCTCTGGCGAGCTTCAAGCCTTGGTTACACTGGTTTCTTCTTCTTCTTCCTCTTTTCTGTTCTGGTTGGATAGCTCCGGTGCTATAACTTGATGCAGTTTCCCGGGGCTCTCGTCCACACACCCTCTTGTTCAATTATTCTTGATCACGACTCGGATTTGATGAATCGGCCGCCTGCCTAGAATAAATGATCAATTGGGTTGGTTCTTCAAGGCCCGGGGTGACCTCGCGAGTTGGTCACCCCACCGAGGCTCACCGTGGTCACCCAAGGATGCCAGGACCATGGAGGCGATCTGAACAGACTGCTCAGATGGGAGTTCTCTCAGCCGACAGTAAATCGGAAGGGTGGTCTAATCCGTAATATTTACAAGTTACAAAGGGATTGGTCTTGGGGGTCGATGTCGAGTTGACTTGGCTATTGATATTAAGGCTTAGGATTGGATTACGATTACATCAGTTGGAGCCAGTTCCGCTTGCAGGTCAGAACGTGCCTGCCCCCTTGCCCCTAAGCTCAAGCGAAAGGAAGGCACGACCATCGAGCCCAGCACCTCGGATTTTGGTGTCGGGATTGGATCAATTGATACTTTGCTACACGCCTCAACCACGTCTCAGCCCGGTTCCCTCCACCGCGGCATCGTCCTTTTGGACTTGTAATTCCCCATTATTCAATTTTTTTGTTTCTTCTTTATCCCATCCCACGAACGCTTTTAGCAACCTTCGTTCCAACGTCATCCTCGATCGCCCCATCTTTTTATCATCCGCTTTCATTTCTTTCCCTCGTTCCTTAATATCGCCGCAGCGCGCATTTATCTCTGTCATTGGCAGCTGCTTCTTAATCACCCGCGACGACCGATTCGCCTCTAAATTTCGTCACGTACTGGACCGGGCATAAACATCCGTCTCCAAGGCCATCGCCCTTTGTCCCAACCCCCACGCGATTCCTTACACAGCGCCCATCCACGCGATGGCCCCCAAGGCCCCGAGAAAGTCGACGCAGGCGAACGCGAAAGCCCCATTTGTGCCCTGCGAATGCCATCCCGCAACCCCTTCCTCCATCCGTCGAGGAAGCGTACCGCCGCAAATGCTGCCAGTTGAGGCACCGCTACAACCAGATCGAAGAACACAATGACGCCGCGAGGCTACGTTTACACCGGCTGCGCCGCCAGCTTGATAAGCTTCGTGTCGAGAGGGCTTTTCTACTCGAGCAAGTCTCCAAGAGGACGAGCATGAATGTTGAAGATTCGGACGGAAGCCCCAGCCCGCCCCTACGGTATGCCGCATCGACGCAGCTTAGTCTCTCAGCTCCATTCCACTCACGTCCCCTATCCTTCCCCCTCTCCTTTCACCCCTTGTTGTCTTGTGGTCATTTCGCCCGCTCGTGCTAATCAGCGCGCACGCGCGCAACAACTCTAGCCCAAAGAGAAGCCCCTACGCACCAAACGTGGCCACAGGAAGGCGTCTCTCGTTCCCGACCTCGACCTCTCCAAGTCCGCGAGCGGCACCGCACTTTCGCAAGGCGCCAACGCTTCTCCCACCTCGGAGGGCTTTTCTCAGGACAAGCCTAACGGTATCACCAAGCCAAAAGCCCGTCGATGCCTTTGAACTCTACTGTCAGGACAAGACGGACGAGATCAAGGAGAAGAACCAAGACAACGAGGACTTTAATCTCGAAACCGAGCTCGCCCGCGGCTGGAAGGACCTGCCCGATGATGACAAGGAGGAGTTCCGCGCCAAGTACGACGAGGCCGTTATTCAGTACCAAAAGGACATGGAAGCCTACACCGCAAAGAAGGAGAAGGCCGAGAAGGCGAGCAAGAAGGCCGCCGAGGCCGATACCCAGGGCGCCGATACGGAGCCCGAGGGTGATCAGGACCAGGACCAGGACCAGGACCAGGACCAGGACCAGGATCAAGACCAGGATCAGGACATCGATATGGATCCCAAGGAATCTGCCGATAAGGCCGCCTCCCCCGCCGCCGACAAGGAAGACGATGATGAAAAGAAGGCGGATGAAAAGAAGTCCCCGGCCGACCAGGACGAGGACATGGAAGAGACGCAGAGCGACGACAAGGCTAAGCCCAAGGACGACGAGGCAGACGAAGACGAGCCTGAAGAAGAACCGGAAGCACGCCAGGAACCTGCCTCGCAAGACGAAGACGTTGAGATGGGCGACGATAATGATGCCGACGAGAAGAAATAAAAGGTCCTTTCCTAGTGTGTGTGTACCACTATCCGGGAGTCTTTTCAGCTTTGTTTGTGTACCATTACATGCCACCGTCTTTTTCCACGTTGCCACTTTTTGCGGCCCTTTGTTTACCTCGTCCCCCTTTTCATGCCTTTTTTCTTGTTCTTTTTCTTGTCGTGTCGAGGTATCTGGTCTTCTATCTTTTCTGCTTTTTCCTGGGATGGTCTGTCGACAGAAATTGGTCGACTTGCGTTTTGTTCAAGCAATTAACCTTGAATTTGCCATGGCTGTTTTTTCTGGCAATGGGAAACACTACATATAGGGGAAGGTGAATAAAGGATAAATATGCTACATGTATTGATCGTATGCTCTACTGCTCAGGCTCCTCTCCTCCTGCCATGATTTAGTCCATGTTTCCGGGCTCCAATAAGGGTGGAAATTGGTTGAAATGAAGAGGGTGTGAAATTTTCGCTAAATGATGAAACCCTGGGCAAAAAGGAACAGGTGGAAAAAAAAAAAAAAGAAAAAAGGCACGATATGATATAGCAAGGGATCAAATTTGGGTGGTGACGTGATGATACAAGTCCCCTCCATATTCACCTGACGCCTGGATGTAGGTAGCTGGCTGCGCTATGAAGCACTCGTTGGAGAATCTATGCAAAAATAAAGGCCTGTCCACTCTCGTCTCCCTCGCTCCTGTCGTGCTCGCCACTTTCCCAACGATGCTCTTTCTATTCGAAAACGTTTATATTCCGACATATACGTCAATGACGATGTTAACGACAGCGACGAAGATCTCGGCCGCAATCAGGACGATGACTACCAAAACCACCCGGATAACGCGTGTCAGCAACGGAGAACGATGCGCGGCCACAAACGGATAGGCGAATATAAAGGTGTGATGGAGGGGAGAATGGGACAACTTACCAATCCACTCCAACTTTTCTCCGTGGCGATGACTCAACAGGTCCTTGAGGACGGCAAGCAAGTCGGCTATGACGTCGAGCCTATCGGTAAGCAGACCGACTCGCTGGTCCATTTCCAAGTAGCTCCGGACAGCCTGGTAGACGGGTTCGAGCTGGGGCTCGACCCAAAAGACCTCGGGTGTGTCGAGGATGGAGCCGTTGAGGTGGATGTTGATGCGGAGGGTGAAGAGCTCGCCGATTTGCATGTTGATCTCGGACCGGGAAAGGGCTACCTTGCCAGCGAGGGCGAGTTGGTTGGGTATTTCCTTGCAGGTTTCAATGGTTAAAGCAAGGGTCTCTTCGAAGAGGGAAGTCTGGAAAAAGAGTGAACGCAAGCCCTGGGTGTTAGCGTACGTACAGCGCCTTGGGTGGAAAAGGTAGCAGAAGAGAGAGGAGAAGAAGAAGAAGAAGAGGCAAAAGAGGGACGAAGAGTGGTTTCAGGGGCGTGTATCTCGGGAACGAAACCTTACCTTGACACTCTGGGCTAGGGCATGAGAAATGGCTAGCTTGGTCATGTAGTTGTGCTTGTCTCTTAGCGTGATGAAGTCATTGTATATCCGCGGCTGGTACTCGCGCGTGTAGTAAAAGTTGAACTCTTCCGTCTCGATGAGCTCGGCTGCCAACTTCTCCACTTCAAAACGGCCTAGGTCCTTGAGAAGGCGCTGCTCCTCTAGAATGGACATGCCCCAGATCACCACCACGCCGTAGTCGAATACAAACACTTCGGGGGTGTGCACGTGTGTGTCAAAGTCGCCCGCCGTGATGAGCGACGTTTCCAGCCGCGCCGTTTCCGTCTCGTGCGCCATATCGCTGCTGAGCGCCCTCGAGCTGCCGTAGTTGTCGGGTCTTTGCTGGTCGTCCTCCGCCCCAGTTCTCGGCGCGCTGCCGTCGGGCTCGTAGCCCCTGGAAACCGCGCCTAGATCCGCCGAGTGTCTCCGCTCGTAGTTGTGCACGGGGTCATCCGGCAGCCTCAGGCCAAGGCCACTGTCCTCTCTCGTATCCAGCTTCCCGTAGCTGTACGGCGTGTAGATGCACTCGTCAATGAGCTTCGGGTTCGCGCCCCTCTTCTTGCCCCTGCCTTTGAGGTACCTCATCAGCAGGTCGAGGTCGTATCGAGCCGCCACGCAGTACGCCGTGACTCTAGGAAGCTTTTCCCGGTCCGTTTTCCCTAGCCTCGCGGCATCCCGGCGGGCGGTCGGGTCCTTGATGCGCGTAAATTGCGAATAGACATCGCGGCCGCTCTCTTCATCTATTTCGTCCCAGGGCCCAGGTTCCGGTAGTAGCTTGAGCTTCTGGGCCGTTTTTGAACTTCGCTGTGGTCCAATCTTGGACATGGCCGCCGCGAGGCCTGCGGCGCCTAGAGCGGCGCCATTGTTAGGCATGGAGCCCTGGCTGTTTCGGCGGCGTAGGCGGTTGTTGAAGGCGGCGAGGACGGGAGGGGCGGGGGCCACGCCGCTCGAGAAGGAGGGATAGGAGCCGGAAGCGTAGCGGTCCTGGACGGCGCGTGGCTGGCGGGAGGACCTCATAGGTAGAGGGTCAATGGTGCGGGTTACAGGGTTCGGATTGAAGGTGACGGATCGAGGAGCCTTGGTTCGCGGCGAGTCTACAGTCGGGGCAAGGAGGGGCGTGGTCTCTGCTGCCGCCGCAGTTGTCGAATCGGCCCGGTCTCCCATTTCTTTTCTTTTCTATCGAGGGGGGAATCAATTGCGTCGGGGTGAGGGAACAAGAGGTTGCTTGGCAAAGGGCCAAGTTGGCCGAGCAAGGGCTGATGGTGTCTCGCTCCGGGCCACGAGTTCAGCTGCTGGATGGGGATTCGGAAAGGTGTGGAGCTGCGACAACTGATCCGGTGGCTGCGATGAAAACGAATCTGCGAAACTAGATTAGGAGAAGTGAGAGAAGCGTGGTGGGCGTCGCTTGGTCTGCGGACAGATTGAGGACTGGTGCAAGTTTGAGTCTGGAGGATGTGTACTCGGTCAAAAGTTCGCTTGGGGTGAGGGACGAATAATTTGATCAAGCGCGCAATGAAGAAGTGATGACGTCCAACTTGTACACTGTGCTTGCTTGCGTGCTGTTGCAATGGAAAAGCCCAGAGCACATGCCATACCACCGTTGCACCCAATTCCAGCACCACGTTGATTACTACGAGTTTGTTTTCCTCGATGGGGCTATTTCCTCTGAATGGGAATATTTATTTCATATTTATCTATTCTGGTTCAAATGTTCTGAAGAGTCAGGACAAGGAATCTTATGCAAGGTGACGGCTCTTGACGCCGCCGTCGACGAGACCCACCTGCTTTTTGAGTGACGATTAAAGCTCTTCCCGTCCTGTTTGTCCACAAATGGCATCTTATGTGCTTATGTAATCCGCCATAACCACGGACCTCATCAAGCTCATCCATCCGAGCAGAGCAAATGTGCGGACCAAGATAATAGCTTGTCGGTGGATGGCTTTAAAAATAAAAGTCTGCTGATTAGCAAGCTAGCCTAATGGTGGACAAGGAGGATTTGGGAAACAGGGAGCTTCTTAAAGTTCATGGATCTTTCTACAATCAGACTCTAACTGAGAGAGATGTTCAAGGTAGTGTGCTACCTGGGGTTCAGGCTAGCGTCTAGCTTTCCGCATGGTTTCTCAAGGCGATCCCGGTCCCTCGTTGTGAGAGCGTGTCTGCACGGCCCGAATGAACCTCATTTGTGTATGCACTTGGTTGGACTCTTCAGGGAGTGAGAGCACAAGCGTCGGTGTACATGATTTTGCAAGGATAAGAAAAAGGTATATAAACTCGTCGACCAGGCTAGTCCCGCGACACAAGGGCAGGCACTAACCACCTTGCCAGACATACAAAGCTAGCCTATGAATTCCCCATTATCATCATCAAGCGCCAGTACCGAGGTATAAAACAGCACGCATTCGCTCGGTAGATATCCCAAACAAGACAAGACATAAAAAGAAGAAAAAAACGGAAGGGGGATAAGGGAAAAAAGAATAAGAAAAGAAAGAAGAACGAGACGGGGCCCGTTCCTAGGTTGGGCTCATACATCTTCAATCGTCTCCTTTCCCGACGTGAAAATAATCATCCCAAGAGACCCAAACGAGCAAGACTCCCGACGATGCACTGGTTATTTGTAATCGCCACTATGCCACACGCCGAGCCAGTGCAATAAAGAGCAATACGCCGTGGCTGTAGAAATAGGATAGGTGTTAAAAGAAAGACGCATTCGGTTCTTGGCCTCCAACCGCAAATTCAACCATTGCTGTGAAATCACGCCTGCCCCTGAGTAAGGGAAACCCGTGCCCCTGTCGAGTCCAAAGGCTATATTGCTTGAGAGGAACAGGAGGAGCAGGGGAGGAAGAGGAAGAGGAGAAAGGGGGTTTTTGCGTGAAGTGTAGGACTGCCGGTGCCAACGTCCGTCAAGTACCAGCGTTGATCCGCGGATTCCTTTCCAACTGATCACTGCATATGCTGTCGGGAGAGGGATTCTAGCTTGATGTTGGAACCGGGAAGCCCCTATTATCCGAGGACAGATAATTTGGATATCCTTGCGTGTGACCAACACTTGGCTGCGCGACGGCATTTGATCGGAAGAGGTGTCCTTGGTGCGGGTCAAAAGATGGCGTCCGCTGAAGCCCATCGTAATGGGGGAGATATGGCTGTTGGCTGTGTTGAAGATTTAGGCTTGGCTGGGCTCCGTAGCTAGATTGGGCCGTTGGAGTTTGTTGGTGTGCAAAGGAGGCATACAGTGGTGAAGTCGCTGGTGCGGTCGATGCCGGTTGCCATTGTTGAGGGTACATGGCTGTGCCGCCCTGGGTCGAAAAGTCCGCCGACGAGTTGAAGACAAGCGAGTGGCGTCGGTCAGTCGTGTCGTGAGGACTTGTTAATATCTCCGACATTGGTAAGCTTGCAGCACTATGGTGGATTGTCGGATTCGTGACCCCGCTAATGGCACCGCTCTCGACATATGTGGCCTGCTGTTCCGTGCCCATGTCCGATTGAACTAGCTGCGCACCCAAATGGGAGCCTCCGCGCACCGGGAGTTCCGACAAAAATGGTGGGCCCGTCATGCCGTTTCCGGCATTGCTCGCCCCAGCACTGCTTGTCGATATCATCGCAAGTGGAGCTACAGCCTTGGACGGGGTGAGACCACGATGACCTGCCACCGCATCCTGCTCTTCCTGCTTCTCCCGCCCTTTGACGGAATTGTCTGCCTCCGGTTGGTAATACTCGGGGATTTTGTCGTCAGCCATGACGAAGACTTCTGTATCGCCATCTATTGTTGATAGAAAAAGTACAAGCAGTAAACGTTAGAGAATGGATCATATAGACCTGTTGGAACTTGGGCCGTCGCCCTCCACTCACCAATTTCGCCATTCCTATATCGTTCTTCAAAACGGGCAACCTTGAAGATCTCGGTCAAGTATGGCCGCTTCTTATTATTGCCAGGATTTTCCGGATCGGAGAAGAAGCTTGAAAGCGCCTCTGCGGTAACCTCCTCAAGTTTCTTGACATTCAGACACGATTTCTGCACATCCGGGTGCTGCTTATGGCTAGGATCCACGATTAATCGTAGAATATGGGCAAGAAGGTGCACACGCTCTGCCAATTCACGTCTTAGTTAGCCTTTTGCGCTCATGGGCGTCGTACCAGCCCAGCAAGAGTGTGAACAAACCTTTCTTATAGAGGTGGTCGGGTTCTTTGTGACGAACTCGCTCATCCTTCATTGTGCCCCATGGCTTCGGCCACCAATCCGGTGCCTTTTCGTCCTTGCCGGTATATGGGTGGTGAGACTGCTTTTTCGGCTCTACAGCCTTGACCCATGCTTTGGCGATAAGCTTGCATGCAGTTTGCTGGCAATTCCTAAAACGTTGCTGGTAAAAATTCCAGACCGCGTTTGAATCACCAATGCGGATAGGCTTTTGTCGCGCTAATGGCTACCGGCGGGTCCCGATCCTCGTGGAGGAGCTGCCGAGACGAATGGCTCCGGGGCCGCTTACGCGTTTTATATGTCAAGTCACTGTCCATCGCCTCTAGGGCTGAGGCTCTCCGTCTCTCGTTCATTCTGCGGCTCGCGAGGTCTCGCCCAAATCCAGATCGTAATCCATCACCGGGATATTCCGCATCGTCGTAGCCAGGTGCGGACACTAAAGTGACAAGAATGTTAGCACTCCATCGGACAACTCCAAGTATAGAGAGTTTCCCTCTCTCTCTGGGTGGGCAAAAACGGACCTCCTGTTGCGGCTTGTTGGGAGAAACTCCTGAAGGCTTCCATATCGAAGAACTGGCTAATCTGGGACGGTAAAGAGTACCCGGCCCCAAGAATGTGGCTGGGTTGCCATCGTCAAGGATAGCGGCGACGAAATAGGCTTTTACCGGTATGTTGCAGTTGTCACGCAGCGCTTTGGCAATTTCCTGTGCGAGAACGTATTAGTTTTCTCCGGATTGGACAGTGGTTCTGTGTAGAGTATTGGGAAAGGGGGCAAGGTGAACGAACAATAGGTGGCCGGCGAACTTCATGGGCTTCGGGGTAACGGTTGTCGTCATGGTGCTGTTCGCTTGGAAACGCTTCACGCTGCCAAGAGATGGGCTGCCTGTGATATTGGTCTCTAGACCATTCTCGCCCCATAGTAGGGGTGTGAATGCACGCGACATTCCGCTAGGAGTTAGAGAAGCTGGACGCACTCTCTTTCTAACTGATGATGAGGCCAACTACCCGGGCGGAAAGAGACGCTGGGATTAGAAACTTAGAGAGTATGGGCGGGATGCGCACTCTGTTTTGGAGATTGTTTAGACTCTCAAGTCCTTGGAGGAAAGAGCCAGGTCGGGTGATGTGTGTGTGTGTGTGTGTGTGTGTGTGTGTGTGTATGTGTGCCTTCGTGTATGGAAGAGTGAAGGAGGAGAAGCCCAGAGAGCGGTAATGAGGTTACCAAGCCGGCACAGATGGCGCAGGCAAGGCAAAGGCTGAGAGCGGTGGGTAGTAGAGCTCCCCCAGAGATCAAACTGACCAAGACTTTCAGAGGCAGGTCAGGTTAGCACATGCTGTGAAGGTTCGGGTGTTGCGGCGGCGGGGTATCGGAAGGTATATACACGGCCTGTGCGAGGGTAGAATTAAGAGTTGTCTGTGTGTGCGTTGGGAAACGGCCACTGCCCGTGTTCGTGCAGGCCGGTGGAGAGGGCTCGTGTGTGAATGAGACTAATGCCTTCCTGCAACTCACGAATGCGGCGCTCGGCTCGGATTGTTAATGGCCCCGTATTCTGCTTCGAAAGTCTGCTTCGATTCCTGGGTTCGCAGGATTTCACGGATACCCGCGCAAGGATGGATTGGTAAATAACTTATACAAGCAATGGCGCGGTGCAGACGTTTCCTAGATGCACAAGTCCTCTGGCTTGCGACCTTGGCGAGATAATCGGGCGTCACCGGCCGGCTGCAATAAGACGGAGAAAGCGGTGCCTAGGACGTCGATGCGCAACTGGCACGAACACTGCCGAATACTCGTGAGAAGGAATCCAACCCGTTGTGGGCAAGAATACACCAAGCCCTATCTCCTTCAACGAGAGACGATCAAGGTTGCAACTCAAGTCTCGGTTCTGTCGCTTCAACTAGCCACTCGAGACATCGGGTATTCTCAGCGCGATTGCAATAATCCACAGGCGAGCTGTCTACCAGTGTCTTGGAATGACAAGACCTTCAAATAACGAGAGCGACAAGACCACGGCAATAGATACTCTAGGTACTGAGCCAAAGACAAGAACCGGGACACGTTCGGTAGGGGCCAGGCCGCGGATGGCAAGGAACGGGCGATTTAGGAAGATGTCTGGGTGGAACAAAAGCGTAGGAAGCGGTTGCGCCGAGCAAAGCGAGGAGTTTAAAAAATGGCGCGATCTACCTTTTAACCTCTTGCCGAAAAGAAGAGAAGGCTGGCCTGGTTGTAAAGGGGTGCGGTTTGTTCTAGAGTCGCGAACGCAAACAGACTGGACGAGGATGCCGAACTCTACTTGAAGTTTTGATACCCGGACTAGGGGAGGGACCTGGTACCTGGCCTAAGTTAGGTCCTAGCGAAAGGCGACAAGACTCCGTGGGAGGGTGATGACGGAGAGGGTCAGTTCTTGAGCTGGTGAGAGCTGAGGCGAGAGATTGTAAAAGGGTGTTGGATAAGAAAGCAAGGACCGTCGATGGCGGCAAGTACTCTCTTAATCAGACCGTGACGGGGTACATTATACCTCTCTTAGGGGATTGTGAAGGAGCTTCGGGGAGGCGGGGTTCAGCAATTGGGACAGAGTGCGACCTCAGGCCCTTTAAAGCGATGGCTCGACACCTCCGAGTCGGTCAGCGCAAAAACACACGAGGTATTGTGCGTCGATGAGTGGCCGAGGAGGCTCGCTCTGCAGAAATGATGAGCGCTGCGGCGTCACTGGTGTGGACAACAGGGGAGAAGGGGGTCGGCTTTTCCAGGGGCAGTACCCTGGACGGGCGTGTGGCAATCAGCGTAAGAATAACGAAAGTTGAGAAAAGGACCCGTGCGGAATAAGAAAAAGGAAAAATTGGAAAGAGGAGAAAAACCAAGAACAACGGCGGCGGAAGGCGCAAGTGGTGCAGGGTGGTGCAAGGCGAGGAGTGCAAGGGAGGTCCAAGGAGGAAGCTCTCCAGGGTACCCACTTCCTAAACAGAGTAAACCGTTTTTGGTGTGTTTTCAGGGCTCTTCACTAGTTGTGGGGGACCAGGTTCGTCTGTGGAGCGGAGAGGGACAAGATTATTCCCAGCTGGAGAAAATATTAATGAAGCGGCCAAGAAAGAATTCTCGCGTTGGGAGTACAAGAGGCGGGCACAGCGGCGAGGAGCACAGGGAAAAGTCGAGCAAGATAGCACGGTAAAGGGAAACCCCGAAGCCACTCGATTCTTCAAGTACAAATACACGGAAAAGCAGTTTCCGGTGAGTGGTGGAGATGGTCTGGTTCAGAGCAGCACATTTGGCTGGCAGCGGGGTGGTGCAGCGGGGAAGGGAGCGGGAGAAGACAGCAAAACTTGATACAATGGACACCTTGAGAGGAGGAGGTGCGAGGATACACCTCTCCCGTTGGCTGGTTGACCTGTTCTCACCTGCACTATCCAGCTTCGTGAAAATATGCAAGGACGCCAGCCCAGCCCTTTGCGCCATATGACGCGCGACCGAGAAGCCTTCCGATTCCAGTGGAGCGCGTGCACCCGCAAGGAAAGTGAAAAGGAAAAAAGAAAAGAAAAGAAGGGACAAAAAGGGGTGGAGGTGGGCGGGCAGCGGGGGCAAGGGGGGACAGCCCTTGGTCGTTTTGAGTACTAGTACGAGGGAGCCAGTAGCCCGGGGTGAGCTTCCAGGATCAGTCCAACGGATTCATCGCTCACTGGATGGTGATAGGAGGGTGGGACCAATACCAGGAGCAACGATACCTCTAGACCCGCAGAGCGACATGGACCCTCGTCGGTCCAGTCTGAAGATGTATCAATTGGTCGAACATTGCATAAGAGTTGAAGGCCGTAACTGGCCACTCACCAGGCCGTTGAGTGCAAGGCCAGGTTGGAGCTACCTCCGCCCGCAAGCGCTTGAGCTTGGTTTGGCGACAAGTTGGGGATGACGAGGGCGCAGGCGCTATCAGTAGAGTTGTGGTGAAGGAATCCATCCCAGGGAGCGGATGAATACAGCTGGGCCAGTTAGTGTTGTATGGGGGTCCTGCATTCAGACTACTCCCGTTCTGGGCACGGGAAGAAAGTGGGACGGAGAAGAGGGGGCGGCCACATATCAATAGCGGCTCTCACAGTGGATTCCATCACCCCTTCCTCCGCCAGAAAGGCCTCGTCTTTGGAGGCACAGCTTGCACAAGCACCCCCTTTAGCTTTAGTGTCGAGGGTGCTCAGGTATGGCTTGGAGGGAGATTACCAACTTCATCTCTCATTGAAGGCAGCGGTTGCCCGCAAAGGATAGTCGGACGACAGCCCTCGAGCCAAATTAGTCGCCTTTGCGCATCGAGGGAGTCGGACTGGTTCAGTTTCCAGCATTCCGCCGACTGGCGAGTTCAAACCCCTAAGTTGTCGTTCCCGCCATCAATGATGTAGCACGCTGCCCTGGCTAGTGTAGACAGGGCCAAGTTCCACCGCCTGAAACGGAAAACGCCAACCCAGCAAGGAGGCTAGAGTAGGAGCCGGAGGTACTTGTATTATTGAATTGTCTTGATGGGCTACGAGATCTGCCAGGCTCTAAGCAATACCGCCGTCGCTCCAAGATATTGTAACACTGGAGCTGCGGGAGCTGCCATCATATCATCAATGGTTTCGTGTTATTATTATGCCCTGCTCTTTGCATTCCTTCTGCCGAGGCGAACGGAGATGGTTCAAGCTCTTCAATAAGCAGACACACACTTACCCGAAGTACATTTGTCCAGAGTTCCGTATCACCCCCACCATGGCACGCACACACACGGGAAAACCCACAAGACCGAGAGGAAGAAAAAAAAAAAAAAAAAGGGAAAAGAAAAAAACAGACTACCTTTCATCAATCGGGACCCACAGATTGCGGCGAGACATCGGACGGGGAACTGGGTGAAGCCGCCCACGGAAGCGAAATCATGCAAGAAACCAAGGGACCACTCAGGCAGTGGAGGTGGAGATCGAGAGTGCCGCAGTGTACACTTCGGCAGATCCATCTCACATTGATCTCCTTCCTTCCCGCAGAAACTTAGCAATATGCAGAGGGGAGAGGGGAGTACGCTTCTACAACAAATACAGAGAGAGAGATAGAGAGAGAAAGAAAAACAAAGAGAAAACAAAGAGGGGCCTTCCAAAGCAGACGACCATCCCCGTACCCTGAGGGGCTCTCGCATCCATTCATCAATCATAGTAGGTGTTTTTTTTTCTTCTCTAGAGGATTCCCTTTTTACGGCTCTAATTTGATGCTCTCGGCCACTAAACGCATGCCCTCCAACGGAAACAGCCGTTAACTGTTAGATCATCTTACGCTACCCATAGAACGCGGATGGGGAAACGCGGGGGTGGGATCAGGATGAATCATCTTATTACAATGGCCATCGTGGTCTTATCTGTTCCCGAGTGAGGAAGCGAAAGGAGTTAATGCCACCCTCTAACCGAGAGACGCAGGAAAGGTGCACCGAAGAATCTTCCATAATATCGTCAGGCATGGGATGGTGAGGAAGGTTGCAAGGCCCGTCCCTCAGGCTTCCGCCCGCTCCGTGGATGAGATGGTACGTGCGTGCGTGGGGGCGGATCAATTGATGTTCTTCCGGCCGGCTGCCCTCTGAGTACCATGAACCGTCGTCCTCTGAATGAGAGCTTGAATGAGAGCTTCGCCTAATAGCCATGTTATCCTTGACGGAGAACGCGAGGCTCAACATATTACAAGGGGCGCTCCTTTTCTTTTTCTATTCCATTTTTGGCTCAGCCTTTTGGAGTTTGAAATTTTGAGGGAGGAGGGGAGCTCTTTTCGGCCCTCACCCCTTCTTCCCTCAGTCAGATATCTCTGGATGTAACCTCGCCTCCCATCCCGCCTTGTAAAACCGCTTTTGGCCAGGGTGCAACCCTGAATTGTCACATTAGCTGAGATGTGCTTCCCCATGCTCCACCCCACTCACACCTCTTGAAGGGTGTCCCAAGGTAGGGAGCAAGTCAT